TTCCGTCCAATGACCATATACGGAAAAAACCGACGTTTTCGTGTTTGCAGTGTAAGGATGCCACTGTCTTAAATATACATGTTAAAAACTAGTAAGCACTATTTCTATGGTTTACTATTTCTATAGCAGAATATGCAGGTACAATTTACTGACGAAGAACTGGACGAAAGGTTTGGTTTAAATGCAGTAAAGTCACATGCCACATCTTAATGTCATTCCATACAATAAACACTTGCGACCAAATACGTATTCATGGTGATAGTGTTTACAGAGATTTCTGTGCCAGTTATATAATGATAAACTTATACAGCCTTTCAAAAAGCAATAATTCATTAAATAAAAATTGATGTAATGCTCAAGCCATAGCTTCGTCACAATAAAAACAATAAAAACGTGAATCCATACACTTTTAGGTTAATCATATTGGTTCTACCATGATGTTAGCCTGTTCTGGATTCTGATGTGGTCAGTCAAACTGAATCAGAGGTATCAAAGGAGTGTAAGTTGTCTCGTACGAAAGTATCAATATAACATCAGTCGGTAAAATACTTCGAACATTTATACCATCAAATCTAAGTGGACTTAACAAATAATGAATAATTAATATTTCGGTGTGAAATGCAATTAAATTGGTTATGGACCGCGAAATAATGCTTAATTTCACATATAAATCTAGTATGAAAGGTTTTTAATGCTGCGTTTGTTGCTTTCAACTGTCGTTTGTTTCGTGGCGTTCTTGTACAAAATCCCACCCCTTTCATATTATCATCGTTGAAAGCAAAGAGTTCATACGCAATTCTCACTATGTTCACATAATTATATATTCTCTCAATTAAAAACAAAGTAGTTTTGTTTCCAAAATAACACGATCTATTGTTGAAGTTGCCAGAATACTTATAGATAAATAGTCATTGGATTTGTCATAGTGAGTCGTATATAGTGTTTCCAACATCACTCTTATTGGAACAAGAAGTATATTGACACTGTATTCATATATGAACCGTTCACATTTATTTGTAGTAAGATAACTAAAAACGAGTCAAGAGGCGTCACTCTATTATCTAACAGAACCCTAAACGAATTAACAGACATTAAAACGGTAAGTTTTCGAAATATAATCAATACCCCATTCTACAGTTCAATATTTCTCTAGTGCATGCTCGCCTCAGACTCGGGTTTAGTTATGTAACTGGTCATGTATAAGATTTATATCTGAATGCTTGATGAACACAACGGATCCAATTCTGTTTTAGTGCATGGAAATTACAGTAAAGTTAAGATCTACAATAACTGGTTGCGAACTAGTTACAGTTTTATAATTTCCCTGTATCAAGAAGAAAAGATTTGGCATAATGCTCAGGTCGGCAATTAATGGTTGGCAGTTTTATCTCTTTCTAGAGTGATAGCTTTCATTATGGAAGAATGATATTTGAATTTCACACTTTCTAAAGTGACGGTTATCTGAAGATTGTCAACATATTCATCTTTTGAATTCCGATTACCCTCACGTGTATCTTATCATAACATTTTACGCATAAGTCTTTATTGGTTCTCGCTATTGGTGAAATTGTGCCGTCTATGTACGACTATGATATTTTTAATATATCATAGTTCAAAAGACGTTCTCGTCAACTACGGACATACCCAATGTCGTATTCTCGTTATGAAAAACCTACCTCGCAGTCGTGAAATGGTATCAAGGACACTAAACTAATTAAATATTTTATCTGGGAGTGGTATAGCCGGAGTTGTACTGAGACATTTCAGAAATTAACATACTCTCGACTCACATTCACTTTCGACAACTTAGACAGTAGTTTCGTATGGTATGAAAGCAACTTCTAAATCTGTTTGAAAAATCGCAAAGAAAAGCTGTTTACATGTAACGCATTGCCATCTAATTTACATCATATCGTCAAACAAGACATTGTTTTCAGCTTTCATTAATCAATATCTTCTACGCAACATAACATCTACATGGGAGAAGTAAAATGATTACTTACTTATTCAGTTGTTAATCCGGCCCTCTCCAGAAACTTGACCAGTTTCTTAATCTACGATGAATGGCAACTTGAGCAGGCAGCTGGGCAAACACAGGAATGCGATGATTGTTGAAGCATACCAATCAGGGTATACTCTGCCGCTGAGGAGAACGTGTCATATAGCACCAATGACCTACCACGTGACATAGCGAGCAGTCACGTGATATGTTACGCGCGAGAAGTTAATTCCATGGTGTGCAATAGTCTTCATTCCAAACTGACGCCATCTTTCAGTGCTTTTATACAAACAACATTATATTTTATTCATTTAGTTTTTACTTACCTTTTTTAAATAAAATTCACTTTCTGTGAAGCAGACGTTAAATAAACGAAAGAAACAACTCATTTTAGTATCTGAAGTAATCCTTAACTTATTATCTTAAAACTCACCTCTAGTTTTTACATAATATTCAGTTAGATTATTTACCATATCTTGTTTTGTGTTTGTACCCGCCGGGCACATCCCATTTGTGAAGCCGATGTTGAATGATGATGTGACACTCCCACTCCAAATAAAGGGGATAATAGAATATAAATATTTCAGATAACACTTACTGTTACCTTTAATAAATCTTTTCCTTGTTGTTGTTTTTAATGAATAAAAATAGCTTTTTGGGGTGATTTTTTTGTATCTAAAGATAGTAACCCGGCATGATGAAAGGACAATGTATGAAACGATGAAACAGAAGCAACATATATAACGGAATACGGTTGGTCCTTATAGCCTTCTGTTCTATTTGTAGGAACAGACTAAGCAAGAATGCTTCGCTGTGAACTTAATTTTTTCAGTGAAACCCCTATCAAAATACTACCCTTGTTTCTCTTTTCAAAGATTCTAGTTTTCACCTGTTTTGTCTGGTTTAAATTTAACAGTTTTTATTCAGAAAGGCCATACGCCTTTCATACGACAATTCACTGCAATAATGATGAGAAAAACAGATTGAGTTATATCATTGTAGATACAATTACTGGTAGCTGCATATTATATTTTGGCACTATTTACCACGAAAAGACCAAATCATGAGCACATTTAACTGAAATGTAAAGTGGCTACTCTTTATATTTATTTTCTTATCTTCCTTGTCTATAATCATATGACATTGCCTATGAAATTTGAATAAATAAACAAATATTTTGTTTTCCCATACCGACTGACGATTGTCGTAGAACAAAGATCGTTTCTACAATAGAGGGCCTCATTAGTAATATTTGAACTAATATATTATATTTTGTAAACGCTTTTGCTGGCTGTGACCTAGGCAAACCATGATGTTTTTAGAAGAATCTGCTTTGTTTAAATCACAATCACTGATCCAAACATGTGCGCCAATATGTTAATCCTTCAATAAGATTATCTTATCGTGAGAAGAAAGGTGCCGTTTATGAACTGTGCGTTGCGACTCAACGTTCAACTGAATTGTGAAAACATTTTAGTATTGGGCAGAGACGTCCACATTATACAAATTCTCACTTCCGTTTAAAAAATCCAAAATGGCCAGTTACGTTTGAAACGCGTTGAAAAAAGGCTGTTCATTATCTTGGATCGACTTTTTGCAATGGAAGAGGCATCACTGCATGGAATTTGGTCAGAGTCTGGAGAAAGCTCAGGTAAGACCAAATATCTACATATTTATTTATGTAAAGACATCGGTTTATTTCTGTGTAAATCACCATATAGAGGAGATACATTATCGTTCGATATTATTATATTATGCAAAACATCACACATAAGATTATGAAATGTTTTCCCTTTCTGAGATATTGCTCATATCTGACAAATATACATACATTGTAAAGGAATCGTTTAGTGCCATATACATGAATATAGAAATGTAATGACTACTCTATTAACATAAGACGTTCGATATAGAGTTGTGAACGGACCTAACAATTTACATCTACCATCTTTTATTATCTCTGTCGCAGAAAGCACACTTCGTTGTGAACTGCAGTGTTATAGTGAGAACCTTTGACACAGAAGACAATTATTTCTAAAATATGTTCTAAAATAACGTATCGCTTTACCGTATGCATGTACATAGTATAACGTTAGTTGTTATCTATTAGATTTTTGACCTGTACATTGCTAAAACTGCACAATGCGACACCCGGGTATACGACTATTAAAAAACCTCCAATACAACAATGTTGATAAACAAAGATTATTTGTGATATCTACAAGCAGTGTCACAATAAAACTGAAGATTTTGATTTTGTATCGCCTATGAAAAGTAATTTATTCTGCAAACATGCAGTGCAACGGAAACTCTAACTATCTTTTATTAAGAAGCTGCATATGTGTTATTTCGTTTAAACAATTTGTAACTTCAGTTTGAATCCCCTTTTTAACATGGACATATTATACACTTGATGAGATTGTTTGCGCGGCTCAGTTCTCAGTTCACATGTTTGACAAATGGCACTATAAAACGTTGGTAAAAATATCAAAAACAGCCTTTTTAATTTGGAATAGTATATGCCCAATGACGGTTTGGCAGAAACCACAAAAAAGTATAGATTGTCAATAACATGTCGCACATACCGGGCCCAAGTTCAAGATCAAAGATAATTGCCGCCTTGGAATGTCTAGCGGAATGATTGACACCTGTTATCACTGTAAATGTCTTGTCAAGGCTTGACTAACGATGACTCAACGCCAATTTAAAGAGGACATTACCACATGTTTATTGATAAACATTGAGAATAACCATAGACAGTATGGCGCCGCTTAATTTGACTGTCTGCCGCTTTCACACTGATTTGACAATATGCATAGGTAACACGCGTTACTGCCGCATGAGTTTGTTATTTTCTATGATGGGTAGTGATACGTGTGCGATTTATTTGCAATGAAACTTAGCCAATTCTCTATGACATCGGCATTTGTGCACGGGAACCACGGCGTGTATGTTTATTTCTCTCAAATCGTAAACGTAATTATTAATTACTTCAGTCACCTACTACAATATTTTGGGTTATTTGTCATTTGGATATTTTCTTAATAACTTAAGACAAATAATTGATATATGAATTATTTATATTAATATGAATTCAGGCTCTTGAAATAGAGTTTATTAACATCATTCCTCTATTTGGCTGGCATTTTGAGTAGATTGTTCTGACTAAATCTAGTTCCACCATGCAAACTACATGTTTTCCTCTGAATTTATAATCAGTATCTCTTCAATTGTAATTATTCTACCTGCGTTTTATGTTATAAGAAAAACGAACAGTTATCATCATTCGATAGGACAAAGGCTTAACTATGCTTCTTACCCAAACTACCAAACTAAGTATTCAGATGTGTGACCATATCCCTACAAACACGCTAAAACCAAGCAATCCCATTTCACTTACATATTGTTTGAAACACATGCTAGTCAATCGCAAAATACTGATTCGCATTTTAGATTCAAGGTAAGCAATGCATTATATACTTACAACATATTTATCATGTTCAATTTAAGGATCCGAATACCAGATCGACGAGGAGGACAAGAGTGACACATCGTCGGAATTTGCCACCAATTACCAGGTATTAATTGAAATAGTGAATAGATTATTCACTGATTATCCGGGGAAGTTAACAATTTTTGATTTAAACAATATTTCATTCGGAAATAATATAACGATACAGAATAGGGAAAAGGTGAACCGAAAACTAAATATCTATACTAAGTCTAACATCTTTCCTCTTACAATAATGTACGCAGTAACTATATTCTAATGTAAATGAATAACATTTTGTAAAAAGGAAATACGGTGAGACAGTTAAGTAATGTTGTATCATTTATTTCGGTTTCTTCATGTCCCAGGAAACTATACGCTGACCTCTTGTAATAGAGTAACATGAATGTGTTATTAGTAGACTGAATGTGTGTCTGTATGAACTGAATTGTATCATCATAGTGTTGACCCAAAAGGAATATCGCCAAGGTGAACGAGACAAAAATATTGAAAAAAATCATAGAGTAGGTTAGGAAAAAAAGTCATGGGAAAAAAATCATAAACAATAAAATCTGTATGCATATCAGTTTTATTCAAGTAACAACAAGTGATCTGAAGACTAAATAAATAAAGTCCTGTTCTGTTCTGAAGACGCCGTCATGTTGGCGCCAGCCTAGACTGTCCAATCAACGTGAATATACAAACCGTGATGATACTTGACCAGTTGATGGCACCTGTCAAACTCAAAGTGCCCCTGGTCCTCCACCCACCATGTGTAATACTTTAGCGCACTTGAACGTTTTATGTGCAGCTATATCACTGTTAGGCTGAGTGATGAGAGAATAAATTTGGTCGTTTTTGTTAACGATCGTTTTTATGTTCAACCTGGTAACCTTATAAGTGACTAACTGTTTTATCATGATGAAATGAAACATAAAAAAATAATCAGAGGGAATGACGGTCGCATTTTTCGCATACATGTCATGCTCGCATTAATTTCATGATTTACTCAAGATAGATTTGAGCAACGATCATGTTTGGGTAAGGGAGATAATTTTGTCTCCGCTTGCAATTGGTTTCAATCGGACGAGCAGCTCCGAGATCGCAGCTTGACTGTTCGGTACGGCCGAAACGCGGCATCCATGTTGTTCACGCTCCTTAGATCACGCGGCCTCATTGGCCTGACGAGACATAGCTCTACATGCCACTATCGCTTTGCTTCAGTTTCTGCCAGTCTATACCTTTCTTGAATCAATTAACGATTTCATTGTCAAAGTGGTCTTATTTCAGTAATGTTAATGAAATCGGTGTTGTAATATATTATAAACTTGAACATTGTGCACTATCTGTTATACATCTGTCAGTTATATATGTAATATTCATATTGTCAGGGATTGTTTTACTAAATGTGTTAACACTTATATCACCCATTTACATCATCTGCTGCTAGTGTCGAAAACAAGTGTTTGACGAATTCAAGTTTTACCGCATAACCATATTGTGGAAACATTTTAATTTTGTATTTGGTCTCAACGTAGAGTCCAGTCAAGCGCAAGAACAAAATCTTGAGACAAAGGGAAGAAAATGGAAAAAAGAATAGATTAGGAAGCGGTCCAGTTGCCTCATCTACACCTATGACAAGAGTTTACGACTTTTCAGGTATTTCTTACCGAACTTTACAATAATGGTTCCTAATTAGTGGCCAGGTTGAACTGTTGAAATGTGTCTGTGATTGCAGAAAGTGTCTCTCATAACCTGTAATGGGTTGTTCATACATAATTGTTTTAAATAGATTTTATATTGTAAATATGAGGTGAGACTGTAATAAAATATCTGTCTGTAATTACGACAAGTAGGACTGACCGTTAGCTTTAGCAGTCCACGTGAAGCAAAAAAAGTATAACGTTTGTGACTCGCCTGCAGTCGCAGATGAATTTCTTTACCTTTTTAAATGTCCAGGGCTCAATCATCAAAGAAAAAAATGAACTGTAAATTATTGTGCATGGCAAAATGTATATAAACTTTGCAAATGTATGCAGTCTAAAAACTATTATGTTTGAGCAATAAAGCACGTTCAAGATAACTGATTCATATATTTTCATCAACCCAAGCCCATTTCTTAAATTGTACTTTTCTATGCAGATGGAGAAGATGACGGTCAGGACTTACTGAGAAGAGCCTCAAGCTGTAGTATGTATTTTCATCAAACACAATTCTATGAGCAGGTTCATGAATTTTCTTGTCACATTCGTGTAGTTTAACATGTAATTTGCTTTCATTTCAATCAGAGATTATCGTAGGTATGCTTAGACACGCAGTTATTTTCAACATCTAAATGGATATTCATAAAGATAAATGAAATCCGTATCCATCGGCGATCAATGGTATGTAGTGCATCGATGTGTCTGCAATTTGCTTAGAAAATAGCACTCATACGGCATCTGATAAACAAATTAATGTTTCAGAGAAACAAGCTGCAATTCAAGCTGAGACTCCTCGTATGAGACAAGGTATGTCACACAACGTATGAAATGATTTTTCGCATTGTATGAATAATCATACATTTATATGATTTTGGCACATCTTTAGCTGCCACAAGATACGCGGAATGACACAGGAGGAACATCTCCATTATTGATAAGGATTGCTTAATCGACATTAAAATGCCCTAGCTAATGATATTCAAACACTCATTCGTCAACACCAATTACATTCGACCAGCAACAAGATCATTTAATGTAACTATCCTTTTTATGTTTGCCGCTGAGGCTTGTCTTATATTCCAGCGGGATTTCAAATGACTGCAACCTAGTGCTTATAACACTTCAGATTGCAGTTGATGGCAAAATTAGCTTACTCTTTTTAATAAGAATATCAAGGAGGGGTAGTTCTGTTTGGCTCGAATATATTTTGAATTTGATATTTGAGTGCATATTTTGGAGAAGGTTGCACTTGAATTTTTCCCAGAACGTAAAACGGTCATCCAGGTGCTATGTAAGTATTTAATGTTTCTCTTAATTACAGGAAAGTCAATCCCCTATGCGGAATTTCTCCAACTCATGAGGGTCATGGAAGGACGACTTCACAGGGCCATTACAGATTTGAAGGGCGAAGTCGGCGACCTTAAAAAGGAAATTGGAAACTTAAACAGCGAGGTTAGAGACCTCAAGAGCAAACTTACTGAAAAGAATACACAGGTAAGTGATGATGGTCAACAGTGTATTCAGTTTAAAATGCATTCTCGATATGATTTATCGTGTTTCAAGGGGAAAATTATAGTTAAATATATATTTACGTGTCATTACAAGGAAACATTGATTTTAAAAATTGCATCCAGCCAGTGTTGGATCATGCGATATAACAGTAAGTGAACTAGTAGGGCATACCATGATACGTTTCACCGTCAATTTTCACTATATTTGTATTTCCAGGTTACCGCCCTAACTGCAAAAGTTACACGTTTGGACAACAGGGTCCAGGAACCAACACAAACTTCGACCAAATCCAGCAAAGTCAGTACAAACATAAGGGTAAGATCCCATCAAAACGGCGGATATGTGGAAAACCGTGTTTAGCGACCGAGATTATACAGCGCGTTAAACGAGGGCAATCAACATAAACTATGTGTTGTTATTGGGAAGAAAAACACCATAACGATTGTTTTCCCGAAGTACTCGGCACTAATAAGCGGATTAAGGTTCAATTCAGATACTTTCGGCTTGAAAGCATTCACTTTCTTTATCTAAAATAATATTTGGCATGGGGGAGATTGCACTAGTGTAATGATAAAACACCACTTTGTTTACAATCAAGTTGTAAACAATCAAGTTGTAAACCAACGCATGGACCTGTTACTGTTGTGGTACGGTATATTGTAGACATGGAGCATAGAGTGTTTTTGTATGTTGGATGAGTGTGTTTGGATGAGAAAGTGTTTGTATGCGTGAACGTTGTGTTTGTGTCCAGAATGGTAAATGCGTATGAGTTTCGTATGTACCCCGGTATGCAAGTATGAAAGTAATTATGTCTTGAGTGTATGTGTGTGAACGTTACGTAAATTTGTGCATGGAGGTATCTGAGTGAGGTAGGTATGTTGAGGTGTGTCCACAGAGGTGGATGTGGGATGCAACTGTATTTTATTGTAATTTTTTAATTTTTTTTAAATGGCCAGGTGTATCTATTTTAAATAGCTTGGGTTCAGCAATCGCATTAATTTCACGATTTACAGTAATCGATGCGTTTCTCATAAGACAATATCAAGTTTCGATAGATTTATCTCACAGATAAAATCACCAATATTGATTCTTTCTATTGTCTGTTAACTATATTTTATCAATTTTCTTCCTTAGGCAGCATTGAAGGCAGCGATCGACCATGCTGAAACTGAGAAAGGGTGGACTATGGAGCCTATGTTCACGTAAGTATCGTAGTGTGCAGTGATCATTTTGGAAAGGACGATATGTTCATTCTGTTACAATCATTTAAATAATTCGAAAATATCATTTTTACCATACTTGACAACCATTTGTTTGGAGTCGACTTACACCAGGAAAACGCTGTGGCATTGTAAGCACTATTTCTGTTGATATGTGTATCTTTGCGTCTGTGAGACCGAGTATGTAACCTATATAATTATTTATCTCTTTTTAAACCCCTATAGGTTTGTCGCTGATAAAAGTTAATCAAAACTATCAAAAGTCATATGTAATTTATCTTTGTTTCACTTATACTTTTATTACAGTACTTTTTATTCAGATGAATAGATAGGCTTGTTTTAAAATCTTATCGCATTTTTAGTGTTCATTTTACCTCCATAATCAATGAACGAGTCGCAAAGTTTTGTGTGCCTCAAGTTTTTCTGATAAAATTGGAGGTACATCCGAAAAAGACTGTTACGCAATTTTGGCAAAAATAATATTTTCTTAATACCACCACGATTACTTCTCTTCCATGAATCCCGTTTCAGTAGAAAATAGTCATAAATAAAGTCTTAGGAATCTTTGTAATGGGAAATTATATGAGACAGTCACATAAATATATATCTTTTTGTTATTTTTGTACCAGAAAACTGTACCACCAATATATCTCAAATCTAAACGAATATGTCTTAATTATGCAGTGAAATTATACCTAATAATCTTGCTTCTTTTAGTTACTTCAAAATAAGTTAATAAGTTCATGCTGAAGTCGTTAAAGAAGATTATATGTAATAGTTATTGGCATATGTATATTTCTGGTCATATAATAAAAGTAAAACATTTGTTGCAGGTTGGAGTCCGCACAGAATCGACAAGTTGTCAAATACATCTGGGACTTTTCTAAGGTGATAGCTCCAAGCATGACAAAACAGGAATTTAAAGGTATTTTTATCATTTAAGTGTATTTCAAATGCATGTGTCCGTCATGTACATTTTTAAAACATTTCAATTCCATACGTCAATGCAAAGGTACACATGCCTACTAGTGGAAAGATTTAAACCTTTTTTCAGTGTTTTGAAATGACTTATCTATGATGCGTAACATTCCCATTAGTCTGTCAGGAAAGAATTATATGCAGCATTCACAGGTAAACTAATGGTTAAAGACTTGCTGTACACTATTTGAAGATATGGAAAAAAGACCGGTATGTTGCAGTTCACATCCAAATAAGGAAAGAAACATTATGTTCCAGATGGTATGACCAGGATCATGTTAACGAAGAAAGAGAAGCTATCCCGAACACGTAACGGAAAAGAGAAAGAACACACGGACGCGTCCAGAAAGAATTCAAGGAAACTGACGGTAAGTTGAAAGATTTGTGTTGCTGGAGGGATTAAATACCCCCTTAGGATATAAAATTTGGATTATTGAAGATGAATTTTGAGTGAAGCTTAACTTGGGCAAAGTAAGGCCAATTGTTGGAAGTGTTTGAGGTGTGACTTTATATAGGCCTGTTGGCCATGGCCGCCGAGTTAAAAAAAAGAGAAATTTAGAATGAGGTGAGTGGCGCCTTATTAATATATAATTAAAAGGTGCCCAGTGGAGTAAGGTTATAGGGAGAGGTGGAATTTGGAGTACATATGTTTTTTGCAGAATTAACAGCAGGATAGATTAGAATAGAGAATTTTATTAGGACAACCGGGGTGTATAAAAATTGGTAAATTGCCTGCTTTTAATATTTACCTATTTACCCTTATATAGTTTACACCCCGGGTAATTTTCTGTTGTTTATATTATGAGTGTATATATATACATAGTGCCCCAGGTAATTTTACAAGTATACACTACAATTCTAAGACGGAAAGGCCGTCATGTGTTGTCTAGACTGTCCAATCAACGTGAGTTAACAAACCGTGATCACTTGACTAGCATTGATTAGCTTGTCTATAATGCCCACCTTTGTAACATGTCAATATATTGCTTTGTCATTATATCATTGTAATTAGTGCTGAGAAAATGTTGTTATGAACAGTGGCACGACCATCACCCGACACCTGTATATATTCAATGTGTTACGTGACAGACTATTTCTTTTATCCCCCAGTCTCTGTCTTGTTAGTTAACGCCAGAGTCGACACACGCGTAGCTCAGCTATTTTAGTCAGTCTTCTAATGACTGGGACAACACACACGACTTGTGTAACTTGTTTATAATTTCAATCACTGTTCAGAAAACATTTGTGGATGTGTAATAAACCACAGGCGCGAAAGAGATTTTTTTTTAACCTTTAATATGAAAGTATATATTTTACAAGAGCTTTTTGCCAGTCTAGCTACCACTCGCTCGTCTTCTACATAAGAGTAAAAGTGGGGCACATCTCTGCCGGTATTCTTCCATGTATTCGCATAACAGCTTCGAAATAATATTTTGGGCGTCCATTGATGCACATATGCATCGGAGAGTCAACTAGGACATTGGCAAATGAATTCATGTAAATGCAATATCATCATACAACGTGTTTAGAAAATAATAAGAAGAAGAAGATTCCAAGCGATGCTCCCGAGTGCTTTGCCGGTACTGACGTCAGTGGTTAGGGCTTGTGGTTTTGCACATTAGTAGATAATAGAATCCAGTCAATATATATAATATCGTTTTTTAAGTCTTTCACAGTATTTTAACCTGTGAAATAAACTAATCATAATACTTATTAAGAGGTGTGTCGCTAATCACCTCGGGATATCTTTGATATTCCATGTATAACTTTGCTCTGACTTATTGAATTTCCTATTTACCTGGCTTGAATCAATTCATATACAGAAGAGTAAAACGACTGAACCTGCATACATTTTAAGCGGTCATTGATCAAAGGATATTATGAGGCGTACTACTTTTTGTTTGTCAACATCACGCCTCGAAACATTTTATAAAGTAAACCGTGACTGTTCTGTTGTTAAAATTAGGTATTACTGAAACGGATTTTTGAGCAGTTGTCAATATATGAAATAATAGGTCATGTGTATCCATTAATGCCCATCCGACGGATATGTTTCCATTACCAAGCCTAGTAAGGCAAGGTTGCCTGTTGTCCTCAATACTATTTTGTGTTGAGCAATACGATTTAGCAACAAAATTTAAAAAATCATTGGCTTGCTATTATATGCGTATGAATTTCTCTTTTAACAGCAGGGTTTTGCCCGGTCTCAGTAATATTGAATTGTATAAACGTTGTTAGGTAAGGTTTAAATCTTACCATTTCTTGGTAGTTATTATTGTCGTTGCAAGAAATTAATAGTTTCTTTTAAATGTTACTTGACGAATTTACATTGCACCCTCAATGTAAATGTGTTGTCAATATATTCAAATAGTTGAAATCATTTCCTAAATAACTAATGTTACACAAATAACACTTTCCGCCATAAAAAGGTACATAACGCCATCTTTCTACCTTTATAGAAACCCTGAGCGTCACCCAATGACCCTAATAAATCTGTCACCCGCGGCCGCATGTATATGCACATAGAAAATTGGTTAGAGGTAGATATGCCACAAATACAATTACAGAAACTCTCAGAATATGATAAATTAGGAAGCATTTGTTTTTAATGATTTAAAGAATGGTTTATCTCAAATAAAGAAGGCCAACAGACAATGCCTATATGAAGTTCCCTCCAGACAAATTCCTTCCACATAATTTACTATTGCATCTCAGAGGACTGTACCTTGGGTACTGAAACAGATAATGAACATTACCCTGATAAAAGTAACCACAACTAGAAGATAAATTATGAGGAGCAAATCTATCAAATTTGTAGCCATTTATTTCACTACGTTCTTATCTAAATGTACTATGTACTATCCAATTCTTTCCGTTACCAAATATTCTATATTGATGAGTTACATTACTATCGATCCGGACTTTCGTTGTCAAACATGTTAAATCGACACAAATTAGCCTCGAGCAGATCACCACTCAGCTGCCCAGCCATTCCACAGAGATTTTTCTTAAATTGTTCTGATAAACAAAACCAGAATATCGGAATCGTAACTGACATATCTCCCTTACTTGCGATATGTTCCAATGTTGTTAGAAATGTCGTGTCATTTTAAAACGTATATAAATCCAATCATACCTTGAGATCATTGTTGTAACATGTCTTTTGGTAGTATATTTATCTATACTACGAAATGTTTCATGTTTCATACTCTGTGGGGAGTGACTAATATTCACACCAAGTACCAGATAGATAGTTAGGAATGTAACGATGCGTATAACTATAGTTGCTGCAATTGCTTCTCTGAAATGAGAATAAAATGTTTCATGTTTGTTATTCCTGCATTAAAACGTCTTAAATAACTCCTGCTTGTACGCAGTGAGTTTTACTTTAGGAGTTCAACTGCAAATAATATGTACTATGAGTTGTAAGTTAATGTTACTGAAACTTGAAGATTATCTGTAGACTTCTTTTTATAGATTTAGATATATATTTCTTCCCATTTACAGAATTTCGATTTATAGTGACTCTAAACACAACATGCTCAGGACAAACTATTCTACTGAAGTAATGGGCACATTTCTGTTTTGTCTTCGTTTTATTTCGTGTTTAAGAAAGGTGGGTGTTATAAAGTGAACGGTTTTGCTTTCAGAAAAGCAGAAACCGTGTAACTGGCATTGAAAAATCCGAACTACCTCATCACACAAGGACCAAGTACATTCGAGTAATGAAAAAAACGCAGCTCATGTCGTCAGAAGAGAGTTCGGTCGACGAGGATGGCAACCGGGTCTTCAATGTGAGAAGGAGGGACTGGGAGAGTCATGAAATGAGGGCCGCTAAAAAAGTGGCCGACGAGACATTTAGTAAAACAACCAAGACAGCAGCGTCCATCGTACCACGGACGAGACGAATTACAGGCGTCTCGTCATTTGCACCACCTCCTGCCTGGTTGCAGAAAGAAGACAGCTGGGTCAGCTCAGCACTGACATACCATGGAGTAGTTTAGAATCATCATCATTCATATCCTCATCAGAACATGCTTACTTACTTACTAAAAGGGGTGTTTTTTTAGGTTAGGAATTTTAGGGTTTATTGGCAGCTTGTTTTTTGTCCTTTTTTTTAAATGCGGCCAAGTAGGCCTGGTTTGATTAGATATATGCTTAGTGCTTCAAAGGTTTAAAGTCATGTAGGGGGTTCAGTACAGTCATGTGATTGTTGCAATTTAGTGAGGATTGGAGTGTTGTTTGGTCTGTGTTGCTGGTAATGTGTTCCATAAAGTATTGAATAGGGCGCTCTAAATGTAAATGTCACACGGGAATAATACGTGTTCGGGCGTTTCTTTTTAAGTTGCAGTGGGGGTATTTACCGGTTTGGTGGTTTTTTTAATTAGGTGTAGGTGAGAGCTTAACTTAGTGTGGCCTGTTTGTAGTTTGGTTATTACTCTGTCAATGTTTTTGGTTTTATGATGGATATGTTTTTTTGAGTGGCGTTTTAGTTTGCAATCATATTTCTGATTGTTATTTTGCCGCTATTTTCCTTTGAGATACTTTTAATTTCTTTTTTTTTATTTTGGTAGGTTGATGCTTGGGATGCTTACTTCTTCTAATTTTAGTGCTGATTTGGCTGCTTTGTCTACATGTTCGTTGCCAAACACCCCAACGTGGGCAGGGATCCAAACTATTTCTATGTCTTTACCTAGTTTACGTAGATTGTTGGCGCTTTTATCTGTTGTATTAGTTTGGGGCGTTTTTTGTGGTTTTGTTTTTATGGCCTGGAGCCCACTTAATGAGCCGGGATGCGCATGAATCACGGTCGTCAAAACGAATATATTTACCAATTATATGAAGTCAATTAGCCAGTTCAAGAGACAATACCCTGGTGTAATTACGTCGCATGCCTCTGGTTCACGGTTCGTCTGATCTCCCGTCATAAAACCACGATGTTTATTTACCTGGAGCCCCAGACAGCGCTGACTTCCCTGTGTGCAAGTACGTACATGGCAATAAATGGTTTGACAGTTGTTTGACGGAATCCCCCCCCCCCCCCTCCTTCTACCTTTTATGGCATATTTCAAAATTCCAAACTTGACCTGTTTTGTATATATGTATATATTATTCTGTTAATATGGACAATGGTAAAATTCATAATCACAGTTCAAGGGCTGTTCACAAATTATGTAAATCTGCTTCGTGATGAATGAAGCATGGTAATAAATGTATGCATCTGAGTCATTTGTTCTGTATTCTTTGATGAGAATGAGTTTTCTTATATTAATGATGATTACTCTCACAGAATATTTGATAAGAGGATAGGACTTTCAGTTGAGAATAGTTATGCAAAAGTATAGGCGGTCTGTGCACATGTGGTAAAACTGATATATCATTGACATGATAATCGGGACTTGGAAATCATAGTCTCTCATTATATGACATAAATACACGTCTATAAGGACGCCCGACTTGTTCACGAAGCGTAATTTCAGGTTATCTGAAATCTGTCGGTTTGGAATTATTATTTTTTGTTTGTAATAAGGATAACAAAAACATGTTTTGTATTCTATTGAAGCATTCATAAATAATTCAGTGTTCGTTTCCCGCGGTTAAAGAGTTTAAACTGATTGCAAACTGATTTTAAAATATATGGTTCTGTCTGTAGTACGTCCTGATGTCATAATATTATGTCGTAAACATGTTAAATAAAACAATTATTGATAACTTCCTGAATTCCAATTGTTCAATGAACAGAATTATTCACAGCTCTGGCCTGAGACAACAATCAATTAGATGTTACTAAAGATTGTCCATTCTATGATCTTAGGCACATGTCGGCGCACTTACATGTGAGCCGTCTAGACGACCGTCTGTTTTGTCATTAAATGGCAGCTGCCATCCAGCCGAATACTTAATCTTGAGACCTATTAGGGTCTTGTCGAGTCAAGTGCGGGTCTCTCTCCCACCTTAGGGACTGAGACTGTAAAAGCCCCTCGCTACACAGACAAGTAGTGAATGTTTGAGATAAATATATTATTATATAGTTTAAACTCAATAAATAACTGTTGTTATTGTCCAAATTACTGATAAAACATATTTTAACTTTTTCCTTCTAACCATATTTCCAAACCATTCCAAACCATTCCAAGCCATTCCAAACATTTCCAATTTTGGAAATATGCTTGGAAATGTTGCCATTCCAATTTTGGATTTTTTGGAAAGATCGATCTTTCCAAGCTTTGGAAATGTTGGAATGAGCGATCTTTCCAAAGAAATCCAACGATCATTCCAAATTGGAATGGACGCTATTTGGTCTTGTGTAGGCGTTTACCCCTTTAGTCAATATCACGAGCAATTTACAGGCAATGGTCCTAACAAAACTGAGTGTGAATCTAGGATTCCAGCCCACGATCATAGGATTTTGAAACGCCCTATAAGGGACGCAACGAATATTGAGGGCTTAATGACAGGGCCATCCATTGGAATGTTTGTTTCTATTACTCAAGAATCTAACGAATTCGGTAATAGACAATATAATCGCGGTGAAAATATCTTAAGAGTAAAATAAAAACATTTTAAGTTCTCACCTGAGCTATATCCGACCCCGCCGGGATGAAATAATAAGGTACAGAGGGGTTAGGTCATCCTAAACTATTCAGGAAATTTGATTCCGTCAAAGGGTTTATATTAGACAATAGAAGCTGTACTCTGTGGTTTGGATATATATTCATAAACTCTATATTCATTGCCTGTGCTAGAATATGTTCTGATCTTTCGTGGCAACAGTTTGCGGACAAAAGTGGTGCGGAGGGTTATTTTTAGTGTAAATATATATCCAAACTGGTTGTTACACTGGTGTCTTGTTAAGAAATAGAGAATCTCACCCGAGTGTCTTTTGATATCAAATATATCAACACGACTTGATAAAAGTGGTAAAATTCCGAGGCTTGCCGAGGATTTTTGCCACTTTTATCAACGAGTGTTGATATATTTGATGTCAAAAGACACGAGGGTGAGATTTTATTTATCATCCAACATCATTCTTTCAACTTTTTCAATTTGGAGACAGTAATTAGCAGTGTCTTCAGTGTAAAAAGTACTGCTAACAGCTTCAGTAGCAGATCCATTAGTGATGTCATTTGATTGTGACGTCATGGTAACCAGTGATGTCACAATGGTCTGCAAAGCATTGTGATGTAATTTCATTGCAGCGATATCTACAGTGTAGATATCGCTTGATCTCATCCCAGCGATATCTCCTGTGGGAGCCAGTTTTGGATGATAAACGGAATTTCACTGTGACATATACACGTATTGTCAGAAGTATCGTTTGCCGGCCTTCTTTAAATTGTCATATTATGTGATTTTCCAGACCTTCACCATGTTTTCCGAGAGCAACAGAGAAGATCTTAAAACCAAGGGCTACACTGTCATTCAGAATGTACTGACTGAGCAGGAGGCAGACAAATACAGGGGCGCATATGATGATTGGATGAATCAGTTTGAAGGGGCGTGGCCTCCTTCCACTAAATCCTTCATTCAAAAATTCAAGGTCGGTCATATGGAGCCAACATGGGCAGTGCGCATGAAGGCAAAACCAGTCTTTGCCCAAATATGGGGAACTGAGAAACTTTTGACAAGTTTTGATGGAATCGCTATGGGGCGTCCCCCAGAAGAAGGAGAGGAGGATTTCTACGCTCCTGGGCAGGACTGGCTTCATGTCGACCAGAACTCCTCGAGGGTGGGGCTTCATGGATACCAAGGGGGAGTTTACCTTGAGCATTGTGATGAAGATGACTGGACATTTGAGGTCACAGAAGGGTCTCATCATTTCTTTGAGAAATACTATGAAGAATGTGAATATGCGGTGGAACAACTGAAGAAAAATCCAACATGGCGTGTTCGAAACTTCCGGGATGAAGACGTCCTATGGTTTAAAGAACATTGTAACTGTGATCGTAAACGGGCTCCGGTTCCGAAGGGGGGAATGGTCGTGTGGGAATCCAGACTTGTCCATGCAAATATTCGGCCCTTGATTCGTCGCAAGAATCCCGGTAGGTGGCGCTTTGTGGTGTTTGTCTGTATGGCGCCAGCAGTATGGGCAGACGAAGAGTCGCTTCGGAAGAAACAGAAGGCTTACAAGGAAATGTTGCTCACAAAACACTGGCCTTGCAACGGCATCAGCTTTTTCAGAGAAAGAGCCCCGAGACTGAGAGAGATGAGTATTAAAGTTGTGTCTGAGCTGCCCCCATCGGCAACCACAGTAGAAGCTCAGCAAGCGGCTGGAGTTCTGCCCTATGAGCCCTCTCCCGAGGACGAACATTTCCTAAACAGAAAGCCCAAATGGCGGCCTTTCCCGGGCACGGAAGCATCCGAGTGGCAGTGAAATTTAACCTTTTCATCAATATTGTGACCATAGTGCGGCGGGGGACACCAAGGATAGACTTCGCACATTGTTTCCATGTGGGGAATAGAAATCCGACTCTTCAGCTTCCTGATGCTACTATGCTAGATAGACACGGTGATACATCATTATCTATCTAGTAATAGTATGTATCTGTATTTGCAGTGAGAGGTTCCCTGTAGCAAAACGGATACTTATTTAAAAGTCCAGATCAGTGGAATTAGAATAAACCAGAGCAAATTGGCCTTGTCACCCTGAAGACCAAGTCCCATTCCCACGTGGATACATTATGTATTGGGGCTGTTACACATCACTCCCACAAGAACACTAAAGAGTGATTTACCATGATTCCATTTTCAATGTGACAAGCGAATGTGAACACACCCGAGGCTTTGACGTTTATTTAAGCTGCGCGTTCCAGATCTCTTCACTTAGAAGGTCACGTCATATTTACACAGGATGTTTGTACGATTGTTAAGTTTGTTTTTATAAAACATATTTCAAAATGTAATTTAATATTTTAATACTATTATTTATATATATATTATTATATCTTATGAAAATTAAATACTACTTTGTAACTGGGGTCGGTTGACTTTCCGGATGTTGCGGTTTCTTTCCAGATGAGTTGCTTTGCTGTATCGCCTCTTTGAACATTTTGTCAGTTACTACACGGCGTAGTATAAAAGCCGGAAGTAACGTGACGTAAATATTTAGCCTTTGGTGCACCCATCGAATACGGGCACTGTGCCGAAAAACTAGGGATAATAAACGAGACTAGCGAGTAAGTGAATTAAAAGTAATATTTCATCACAAAGCGACGAAAACCAATTTAAGACCTGTTATCAACACATTAACGTTTCATTTCATATCAATTTTTGACACTTAATTGAGCATATCAAATAATTCAATAACCGGGATTCGAACAACGATCCTTGGATCCTAGCACAGCAATAGGGCGCGACTCTGCACAGCGAACAAAAAACTTTTTTCAAATGAAGAAAACACTTGTCAACGTATTTTTCACACAAGTATCCGCCTTCCCGAGGTAAGGGCGTTTAACTGACTATAAAAGTCAAGTTGCCACCCTTGCCGAACTAGGCTGGAATTCCGGAGTTACATTTTCCCTGCACTAACGAATTTATAGTCCAATCATAATCGCGCAACGAACCAGATATCCCGTTTGTAAACATGGAGTTCATCGTGCAGATTTCGGTCGACTGCAGGATTTGCAAAGCATGCGTTCTGTCAACTGGGCGTCGACAGATATTTTGCAAATATTTTCATGTTTTAAATCAAGGTAATCAAGTGATTTATAAGACCTGTTTTATAACAATATAGATCTTGATTATCGATGAGATCCTCTTGACTGATCCCCGCCATTTTGTTAGAAGCAAATGCGAGTGATACGAGAGATGGAATCTTATTGGTCAATAGGTGGGACATAGAAGGGACAAGATCGCACATTGTTTGCAAACTACCGATTTGTCTCAGTGATATGGCATCTCAAATCCGATATATAGAAGATATCTAGCGTGTGTGTTTTGGGGTGGTAAATATATCGGGTGCCTGTTTTAGGAATAAACATGGTATATAGCGAGCCTTGGCGAACTAAATACATAGTACAGGATATTTACAGGATATCGTCGAAAAATCTGTACACATCTCTCACAAGCATTCCCTAAACATTGCAAGTTTTCCTGGAATGTGCGCATTAGTATACGTTTCGTCAGAAGGTGGGTGACTTGTCAGTCGGACAGTGACGACATTAAAAAAAGTTTCAATTGAAACCTGTTTCTTAAAGAGTGGCGTAACTACATATAGGCAAAGTAACTGTCCCTATAAGAGAAGCTACTCTGACGTCGTCTCTGAGACGTCACGTTTGTAAAATCTGTCAAAACTGTCAGACGACCACACAGACGATGTTGTGGGTTGGAGTGGGGTAGGCTAGGGTAGGGTAATATAGGGTGGGGTTGAACTAGGGTGGGGTGGAGTGGAGTAGGTAGGTAGGGATGTATTAGGGAAGGGTAGGGTAGGGTAATATAGGGTGGGGTTGAACTAGGGTGGGGTGGAGTGGAGTAGGTAGGTAGGGATGTATTAGGGAAGGGTAGGGTAGGGTAATATAGGGTGGGGTTGAACTAGGGTGGGGTGGAGTGGAGTAGGTAGGTAGGGATGTATTAGGGAAGGGTAGGGTAGAGTGGAGCGAGGTTTGTTGATGAAAGGTAGAGTAGAGTAGTGGAGTGGAGTAGGTAGGCAGGTCGGGATGGATTTGGAAAGGGAAGGGTGGATTGGAGTGAGATTTGCTGATGAAGGGTAGGTAGGCAGGGGTGGATGGGTTAGGGAAGGGTAGGGTTGGCGGAGTATTGGTGTCACGTGTTGTACAAGGCCTAGTGTGAAGGTGTGTGGAGTGTACAGCTACAACCTACAACATACGACAGATAAAAGTCGTTTTAAGACATAGGAGGCACTCGATACATTAGCAAAGCTGTAAAGCACTTCAAGTGCGTAATGTACAGTTGAAATAATAATGTAAGAAATAAACTACTGATGACTTCATACGGTTTAGGGTTAAAATGTCATTTACAATTGTCCAACGATATCACACTCCCCATATCGATGTCATCCTTGTGATATCTAATCTCTTGGTCAAAGTTAAACGTGTCGACCGTTGTCACCAAACTGGGGCAGATCCGGTGTATACTATGGCGACACGCTACATATATCATGACTGAGGAGACACACACACAATGCATTGATAGACGGACAGACAAACACATTGAGACAGCGAGATGGTGATATACATAAATACTGGTTTGGGTTTGGTTTGTTTGTTGTTTAACGCCACACTCAGCAATATTCCAGCTACATGACGACGGTCTGTAAATAATCGAGTCTGGACCAGACAATCCAGTGATTGATATCATGAGCATCGATCCACGCAACTGGGAACGATGACATGCATCAACCAAGTCAGCGAGCCTGACCACCCGATCCCGTTAGTCGCCTCTTACGACAAGCATGGTTACTGAAGACCTATTCTACCCCGGATCTTCACGGGTCACATAAATACTGAGTTACCTAAAAGAAGGTGCGACATTACAGACACTATAATCGATGATGAAATACTGTTACAACGAGTCTACAGTGAGGATGTTGTTGGTCACTGCATGTGACTTCTTCAAAATTCAACATTTTGTCTACTTGTGTGTCTACTTGTGCATTGTTTTGTGTTGATGTATTTTATTTTATTTTATATAAAAAATACCTATTTTATATGCTCCGTCAAATATCTTTCTTTAGAAGATGTTTCTTGTTTAACATGTCCCAGGATACCCATGAGATGAGGGGCTAACAATATACGCACAACCATTGTCATTCATCAATGTTGACACTGAAAGAGCTCGAATGTCCAGTCGATATCTATACGCATAGCAAATCGCGCAAACAAATGACTGACCCAGGTTAGCAATATCCTCTCTGGCCAGGGACCGTATCAAAAGGAATACAGAAACAGCTAATATAATGCGTGTGCTCATCATCACTGGTGTCGATAAAACGGAACACATGTGAAATGTAGGTTGATGTAAACACCCCCAGAAGCACACTTGTTATTATTTGAATGTAGGTATTATATCATATATCATGTGATTTTATTTATGAAATCCATTCAGTTGTTCTTTTTATTAGTTTTGCGGTTATTTTGCGACTAATTACACTTTAAACGAAATTTACATCTGGGAAATATATTAATAAATGATTGATTTATATAACGCATCTTATCCAGACACTCAAGAGCGCTCAGTCATATGCTCTTTTGAAAAAGATAGTCTTGACTACTGCTAATATCAACAGATCTGCTGACATCCACTGGAAGCTCTAAAGCGCCGCGATTCGCTGTGCAGAGTTGCGTCCCTTGGGCACGCCAGAAACCTATGATTGTGGGTTCGAATCCGGGTTCGCCCCGATCATGTTTCTAGGATTGTCAGCACCATACCCTCGCTCGTGGGTTTCACTGAATTGGTAAACGTCTGAGACCTGCATCACTTCGGGCTTTCCAAGCTAACACGCCGTGATATCACTGGAATACTGTTAAAAGCGGCGTTAAAACCAACTCACTCATGGTTGTTTGCAGTATTTTACTCATATCCTGGGTGTCAACTTGATGTTGGAGGGATGTCCGAATTCGAAGTGATGCCACGAGCACTGGCATGATGCACTGAGGCGCCTTAGACGCCTGGGCCATCCGTTCTGCGACCCTTAAATAAGGACCATAAGAGGTCACTGTGGAAATATGACACGGGAGGTTTTCTAAGATAATACTACTGGTTTCAATGACGACAAAATGACGATTTATAACTTTATTTTTGTTGTTCAAGAGCCCTGATGTCCCCAAAGGATGCAATGCTTCAATACAATCATGACAATACGTCCTTATGTCAGCATGGGTGTACCGGTTTACCGTGACAGTTTCACAAATTTCAATTTACGACCTTGTAACTTAATACAAACTTTATACTCTCACCAGAGAGGTCAATGATTTCCACGTGAGAGTCATAACAAAGGGAATTTCTCTCCGAACACCGCCTATTGGACAGGTATATCGTGGAAGTTGCATCACTTCCCATTGGAAGTGATCTCCGAACGCTGACCTTTTCGTCGAATATATCGTGGTGCTTACATCAGTTGCCATGGCGACGACATCAGGACTATAATTTCCATTGGAACAGCGCTCTGAAAACTGACTATTGGTCGAGTTTATCTGGGAGCGTGCATAATTTGCAATGGTAACGACACCATGAACATAATTCTCATTATATGATTTATCAATAAATTAACCAACAGGAATCACACCCGAGTCTACAACCAGTGGTCGATCTGGCGCTTGGGCACTCCTCTCTGTATGTGGTGAAGGTGAAGGTGGAATGGGGTTTAACGTCGCGTCCAAGATTATTGCACTTATATAGCGACGTGCATGTACGAGTGTGTGTTTGTGTGGCTGCTTGTACTAGTCCGGACTGATGCCGATTTATAGTGCTAGCACACTGAGATACCATGCCGCAGTTTAACATGAATACCCCACTCAGACACAGTATACCGACTCCGAGCCGACCAGTCCTTGTTTTAGCCCCTTCATGCCGAGCGCCAGACAGGGTAACAACAAGTACCATCTTTTAACGTCTTATGGTATGACGCGGTCGGGGATCGAACCCCGGACCTTCCGCTCTCCGGGCGGACGTTCTACCACTAGACCACGGAGGCGGTCTCTCTGTATGTGCATCAACAGCGTGTCCTTACGTCAACATCTCCTCTCTGTATGTGCATCAACAGCTTGTCCTTACGTCAACGTCTCCTCTCTGTATGTACATCAACAGCGTGTCCTTACGTCAACGTCTCCTCTCTGTATGTACATCAACAGCGTGTCCTTACGTCAACGTCTCCTCTCTGTATGTACATCAACAGCGTGTCCTTACGTCAACGTCTCCTCTCTGTATGTGCATCAACAGCGTGTCCTTACGTCAACGTCTACTCTCTGTATATGCATCAACAGCTTGTCCTTACGTCAACGTCTCCTCTCTGTATATGCATCAACAGCGTGTCCTTACGTCAACGTCTCCTCTCTGTATGTGCACAAACAGCGTGTCCTTACGTCAACGTCTCCTCTCTGTATGTGCATCAACAGCGTGTCCTTACGTCAACGTCTCCTCTCTGTATGTGCATCAACAGCGTGTCCTTACGTCAACGTCTCCTCTCTGTATGTGCATCAACAGCTTCTTCTTAAGTCAACGTCTCCTCTCTGTATGTGCATCAACAGCTTGTTCTTAAGTCAACGTCTCCTCTCTGTATGTGCATCAACAGCGTGTCCTTACGTCAACGTCTCCTCTCTGTATATGCATCAACAGCGTTATCCTTACGTCAACGTCTCCTCTGTGTATGTGCATCAACAGCTTGTTCTTAAGTCAACGTCTCCTCTCTGTCTGTGCATCAACAGCGGGTCCTTACGTCAACGTCTCCTCTCTGTATGTGCATCAACAGCGTGTCCTTACGTCAACGTCTCCTCTCTGTATGTGCATCAACAGCGTGTCCTTACGTCAACGTCTCCTCTCTGTATGTGCATCAACAGCGTGTCCTTACGTCAACGTCTCCTCCCTGTATGTACATCAACAGCGTGTCCTTACGTCAACGTCTCCTCTGGGTTCTTTGTTTATGTTTTGAATGGGTTTTGCGACATCTGGATGACGTCTAATCTGCCTTGGAGAGGACCACGTTGCCAGCGTCGCCACGCGTATGTGCATTTTTGTGTCTCAACATATTGTCTCGCCGATGGAACCTTCGCCCACATTCATCACATTGGTGTGGGTATTCCGCAGTGTGTGTTCTCATATGACGGGTTAAAATACATCTAGAAGCATATACCTTGTCACAGACAACACAGTCAAACACTTGTTTTTTATCTTCTAAATGACAGTTTGATGACAGTATATGCTTCTCAAACACACTTTCCCTCGCAAAACAACGCTGACACGAATGACACTGATAAGGATTTTTACGAATTTGTTCCACATTTTGCTGAGCAAGCACCGATTTTAGGTACATACCAAAACTCTTTCCGGGTAGATTACCAGAAACGCGGTTACTTCCCAACACGGGGCCGATAACAGCGGCATCATTGTCATGAGCATGGCGTTGTGTGTTCGGATTCCGACACCCCAACACTAAAGGACGATCTGTATGATTTTCATCACTATCATTAGCTGTTGCAACGTTAACGAACGATGGAGGAATGCTATCACACATATAATTGAAATCTTTTACTTTCGACTGTTTGAATCCCTGATGCTTTTGGGTGTCTTTGAAAGTAGGGACGACATCGTCGTCGATCACAAACACTCCCTGATCAGCGGTCCCATCTTTAGTTAGATGCTTCACGACGAGGTTATCGCGACCCGCACCATCTAACCTGCTTGCATCGCTATCCGTTTTTGTGGTTCTTTCTTGTTTTCTTTCACTGTCACATATACTTTTATCCGGGTCTTTGGTTTCTTTTCCCAAACGTTTCCTCTTGATATTTGGGAAACAAACCTTCAGTTGATAGCCTTGTGTGGTGGCCGTGTCGTGTTTTCGCTTGTGTCTACGTAGCCCGCTCTTACACAGATATGTCCTGTCGCACTGGGAGCAGTGAAAAGGCCTCTCTCCTGTATGTATCCTCAGGTGACACTCAAGTGCACGTTTACTGGACATTCGTCTCCCACACACCTCACACGGAGCTGCATCTGTCCTGGGCATGGCTGATACCCGTCTTGGCCCTCACCAGATGCAAGATGGCCACGAGTCAGGGCACAGGAAGTGACGTCATGATGCAATATTCCGGTCACGTGGTTCAAGGTCGACTCTACGGATGCGGTCGATTCACCTTAATTTTCTCGATTAGTTGTTTAATCTTATGTGAATTGATATTTATGTTTGTAGATAACGCTCTGGAAATCTTGAAATCTGTTCACCTTGGTACTGAAACATAAAATCGGTTGTTTTATATTTTAATTGGACCAGAACATTTATAAAAAGCCTTTGGATGTCAATTCGAAGGAAATAATTGATGTCAGTTACTTGACATTCTTTTTACGTGAATAATTAGTATTTCGTTTTTGCATATCGGAAGGTACATCCGACAGAACTGTACATCAGAATGTTTAAAGAGAAAACAAACAACGTATCGCGGCGAGTCCATGTTGTACAGTTACAAGACACGTATTTATTGTGTGGCGATTCTTGTACACTCAAAAAAGCTAGAGCTCGGCAAAATGACGGTCCTAGCAATCGTTACTGAAGTTCATTAAAACCTCACGTTAGTTGTCTTCTCACTCTTACTTGGGCAACGCATGGCCAAGACGTCTAAGGTGACACAATTCGCTGTGCGGAGTTGGGTACGAATCCAGGTTCGCCCCGATTATGGTTCTGGGTTTGTCAGCACCATATCCGTGCTCGTGGTAAACCTGCATCACTTCCTCCTTTGGGCTTTCCCCCCGTGAGTGAGTGAGTAAGTAAGTGTTATATCACAGCGTGTCAGCTGGATGTGGGAGGAAAGCCCGAAGTGATGCAAATCTCAGACGTTTACCAATTTGGTGTAACCCACGAAAACGCGCTTGGTGCAGACAAACCCAGAAACATAATCGGGGCGAACCGCGATTCATATCCTGAAGACATGAGTAAGAATAAGTCTTCAGCAACCCTTCAGCGCCGCGATTCGCTGTGCAGAGTTGCGTCCCTTAGGCATACCAGAAACCTGTGATTGTGGGTTCGAATCCCGGTTCGCCCCTATTATGTTTCTAGGTTTGTCAGCACCTAGCCGTGCTCGTGGGTTTCACAGAAGTGGTAAACGTCTGAGACCTGCATCACTTCGGGCTTTCCTCCCACATTAAGCTGACACGCCGTGATATAACTGGAATACTGTTAAAAGCGGCGTTAAACCTAACTCACTCACACACTTCTACACTTTATGTATTTTAAGAAAACTATATATTGCTTTCAGTATGATGTTGTGACAAACGGCAGTCGACGGTCAGGGTGTAACTGACGATGCACAACTCTCAAGGACAGTGCAGGCCGAGGGCAGAGACTGGCACAGGTGTGAGCAGGTCTTCTCCCAGGGGTGGTTGTCAGAACCCCCTATCTCCTGTACGTGTGTGCGACTTGACATGTCGTGTAACGAAAGAAAAACCCTTCATCGCCCAAATTCCAACGTCGTGTGTGGTGCAATAGTTGTGAGGTAATATAATTGCATGTTAATGTTCATATTCTAGCATGTAAAACGCGTGTATATTCAGGACTGCAAAGCTTTAGCCTAATCATAAAACGCACTGAATAATATTTTCATTTCTACCAGACAGTTGATTTACGTTACGGTACTTGACATTAACTGAAGGGGGTCTAGACATTTTCCAACAGGTCAATTCCCCATCCAAAAATGCTCATTTCCCCACAAAAAGAAGAAGTTTGGTAGGGGACTCAGGCTATGATTGGTCAAACTCTGAATATATCTTGATATAAATTATATGTTGTCTGTTGATTTATATAATTTGTATATTTAAAATTGAGAAAAGTCCCAAGTCCTTGTGCATTTTGCGGGGCGATCGTCTGGCCTAGTGGTTAAAGCGTTCGCTCGTCACGCCGAAAACCCGGGTTCGATTCTTGACATGGGAACAGTGTGTGGAGCCCATTTCTGGTGTCCCCCGCCATGATAAAGCGGCGTAAAACAATTTTCACTCACTCACTTGTGCATCTAGCGACGTACATTCGTACACTGTTACCAAAACGTCGCGAAATGTTAAAAAACAGAAGTTGTTATCCATAAAGTCAGTACGTTTTCTTATTTACTCACCAACTTCAAGAATTCGAGTCAAACAGTCCATGTGGAGTATTGCCCTGTGGGGAAATGTCCGTGTGTGGAGAAATGTCGGTCACTTTGGATCTCCATGTATTAGTGACAAAGTAGAAATGAAGATGAAAACATCATTAAAGTCAGCTAGGACTGGAAATCTTTGCGTTACGACCTATAATTTGATTATTGTCCAAGCACCCATCAACGTATGTGTCACGCATACCGGTGGACAATGGGCCAACCTTTTACCCTCGCTGTGGGAGGCTGTTTTTATTACCGCCATGCAGTCATTAAATAGCTGCTGACAAAGGTACCAGTGACTTGCGTCATACTATACTATCCTCGACACACCAAGGGGCTATCCTGGCCTGGGGCTACTGACACTAATCAATGATTTATGCGGACAGCTGACGAGTAAGGAAGAGAGTTTATGGATGTCAACATCTTTATTTTGAGGAACACAACGTTTCGGAGTATATGCTTACTCCTTCATCCGGTGAATAAAATCTGATGAGTAGTATATTCTGGGTGAGGCCAGTGATGCCCAAGTCCGAATACAGCTTTTTGGAAAAGGAGGATTTCATATTCCGTCAAAAATCAATTTGAGTTTTGTAGTAGTGTTGCTATTGTTTCGAACATCAATGCGTGAGTTAGACATAGTCTTTCAAATTGTTTACATTTAGGATATCGTTTCAATGAAACTTCCAAATTCATTAATTCTTATAAATGCGTATCCCCCAAACACTCGCACATTCGTGACCAACTCGTGTTATTCCGGGACAAGCCGAATAGCTTCTTCTTGCAGGTTACGGAAAGGGGCGAGCGGTGACGAATGGCACACTCACCCGATCATCTCTCTGGGTCCGCATGACACTGCGGTGTAAGCGTATGTTATGACCAGACAAGACGTCCACCACAAGAACACAGACCGACATTTCCCACGGGGATTTCCTGTAAGAACAGGCGGCAGCAACCAATGCTATTTGTAAGAGCCGTCTTGGTGACTTGGTTCTTTGTATATTATCGCACCCCGATCTCGTGGGACGTTGCTCATAACATCAATCACTGGATTGTCTGATCCAGACGCGGTTATTTACAGACCTCCGTTATACTGTTGGAAGATTGCTGAGTGCGGCGTAAAACAAGCCAACAAATAGACCAATACGAGATGAGTGAGTGAGTATAGTTTTACGCCGCTTTTAGCAATATTCCAGCAATATCCCAGCAATATCACGGCGGGGGACACCAGAAATGGGCTTCACACATTGTACCCATGTCGGGAATCGAACCCGGGTCTTCGGCGTGACGACAATACGATATGAAGCCCACTTCACGTCACACCTGTTGAACACGTATGCAAACTTACCGTTTCCTGACCTTGGTTTGACATTAATGGCTGGCTAATTTAAGACAAATTACATTTGCGCAGCCTCTCGCTTTAATGTAAATTTACTCCTGCAAATTTACACACGTGTGCAACTGTGTTTGCATGATAACAAACATTTGTGTATATTATAAATATGTATGTATATTTGCATGGGTGTACAAACAGGTGCACGAGAATAGGGCAACCTTGCTCCAAGACTGCACTGAATGATAAGTCCATTGATGCATAGTAATTCTATCCATATAATTGGCAGAGGACGCTTGTCTTTTTTTTGCCATTATAATAGTGACAAAATTGTTATCATTATTTATATAATCTATAAATTATGATTTAAACTAATAATGATTGAATTAGAGATTTGAGCAAGTCCAGTAATGGGGCAACACGAGTCAGTTAGGTACTGAAGCTACAAGAACACCTACTTACTTCATTTCACAAGCAGTGCTATCTGGCCGTGAAGAGGTGGCATGAGGTCCGGCTAGTCAAAGTGGTCCTTTACACACGTCATGGTGCTTCAGTGTTTCAGTCAGTGTCGTCTGCTCACAGCTAATCCGCTTTTCGTCCAATATGGAGGAATCTCACATGCACAAACACGTATTTTCGACCGACCTCTCCAAGATAGGAAAAGTTGAAATTAGCCCCTCCTCTGCCGAAACATGTTTGATATAACCGACCCGGTTGACGTCTCGCCCTGGGACTGCTGCCGCCTTGCTAAGCCCGGCGACTTCGTTGCGCCGCCGCAAGGTGTAACTGTGCCGCCGAACTGCCTTGCACCAGTTTCTGTTGCCCTGAGGGAGCGTCCATTTGATTTGTGTGGATTGAGATCAATCTCCTTTTCCCCGAGCTTTACCCAACAAACTATATATTTACTGAGAAATGAGATCATGCAGTCGTTTCATTTTCACTATTAACAATGTTTTGACGTTTGACTATTTCCCCCAAACAAACTATTTATTTTTTTTACCACCGCCAACAATTTATTTATTTTGGGCACATATTTTTCCAGTCAAACTATACATTTGTAGAAATATTGAAATTTCCTCTGATTATGTAGGATAGATGGTAGCATTTACGTGGTTAATAGCTCCTTACCGATATCTCGTTCGCTTTGGGACAGCACGTTTCAGATCTTGCCCCACGTGCGGGCACGTGCATTTGTCGGCTGCATGCCGATTTAGTGCTTTCAGTCGTGGGTCGTATGGTAAGAGCGCCCCGATTGGTTGGTGACAGACTGGATTAGCCAGTGGCTGCACCGTTTAGACGTGTTGACCCAGAGGTTACGTGTACTTGCAAGTACGTAAGTGATTGGCGCGAATGCTCTCATTGCCTGGCATGATTGGGAAGATCACTACAGGTGAGGGAGACCACACCACATTACCCTGTTCGGAGGTCGAACAATTCCCCAATCCCTAGTGATTTTCGGCAATAAAGATCTAAATTAGGTGGCAACTTTAGCATTCATGAGTAAACTGTTATATAGGTTGGTTGGACGGGTGGATTTAATTAGGAAATAATGTAAGCTATGTGATGTAGCTACATTGACCGATTGTGTTGGGAGGTTTGGAAGGGTGGTTTGTTTTTCCTGGTAGACTGTGTTAGGATGTTGTAGTGATTATTTATTAAAGTGGGTTAGTGAGGGGTTTGTTCGTCTGCTTTAGGCTGCTTCTGAGCTTTTATTCTTAAGATATAAGTTAGTAGGATTTCTGATTTAATAATGTAAATTTTAGTTAGGAGTAGGATTGACTGATTTGTAATTGTTGTTGAGTTCGTATTTATATTTTGTTACAGTTGGGTTTTTTTAAAATTTATTTTCTGTAAGAAACTGTTGAAACTTGATTATATTTTGTCGTGAATCACCTCCCTACATCCAACGAACTGAGGTCGTAAAGGACAGACGGAGGGACCGTAGGCACATTCTTTAGTGTTTTCGGCATCAATATCTCCTACATAAAAGAATCACAACGCAAAGTCATGAAAATATTAGGTGTCTAAATGTGCCCAAAGCCTGTCCTGTTACAAATTTAATAAATCTCATACACACACCCCTCAAATAGATACAACTCTAAGCCCTGGTGATAAGATGCATAAGATAGGCCACAACGGAACCCTCCATTTTGAAACAAGATATATACATATAGATAGATTTAATCCATATGATTTTGGTACTGTAACTTCTTTGATCTGACCTCTGCATCGATTACAAAGTTTATACTCAATTGAAAGCGTTTTTTGTCGGGTAGTAAACAAGTAAACCTTCCACTGGCACTTATTTATGTGTAATAAACGCCAGTGAAACACAATTCAAAACGGCGTCAAACCAAACTCACCGGCTATGTCTACTAATGCCTACAGTGGCATACGCCTACAGGGTATCTTGTCCTAGTGCAGTGACTGCGTTACGCTTCCCCGCACACAGATGGGCCGCACCACCTACTGTTCACTAAAACCTACAACGTTAAAACAGATTAACTGTATACGTTATGACTGCAGCATCTCAGGTGTTTTCACAATAACTCATTGAGGAGTTTGGGTGGACGAAAAGATGGAAATGTACGGATATTTAAAATTAAGGAGCAGATTATGTTGTTTTTGTTAGACTTCCTGTTTGTTTGTTTGTTGTTTTACGCCGCACTCAGCAATGTTCCAGCTATATGACGGCGGTCTATAAATAATCGAGTCTGGACCAGACAATCCAGTGATTGATATCACGAGCCTCGTTCCACGCTATTGGGATTCGATTACATGCATCAACCAAGTCAGCGAGTCTGACCACCCGATCCCGTTAGTCGCCTTTTACGACAAGCATCGGGTGGTCAGGCTCGCTGACTTTGTTGATGCATGTCATCGTATCCCATCGTATCCCAAACAACAAACATTTTCTTTGCCTATGAATACTTTCTTGATAAGTGTCTTTTTCTCTTTTCCAAATTTGAAAAAAGAACCCGTTCCACTCAGCTTGGCGTAATGGATACCACATAAATTAACTGTAACTGGTTCAAAATTGTATTGCGAACTCTCACAAACTAATTAACATCCGCAAATCTGAAAACACAGAATGTTTATCTCCTGAGTGTATTTCCCCAGCCTGCACTGACTGTGGGGAGGTTGCGGCTCTTTTCCCATTCGCGGAAGATGGCATCACTGATGACATGATCCATGCTTCACATGATGATGACGCCACGAGATTATGCTTGTTTATGGAGAGGGGGAGTTGTTTATCGTACAAAAAATACTGCAGGAAGAATAAACCACGAGGGGCACCTGCAGAGTTGTATTGTACGATAAACAATGACGTGTCGTTTGTTTCTTATATGAGCTATCAACATTGTTTACAGCCTCTTTAAGGCTGTAATTAAAATTTACAAGTTTAAAAATAATTACCCGTATTTTAATAAGGATGACTCCCTGAATACAATCCAATATCGGAGCTATCAACATTATTTACAGCCTCTTTAAGGCTGTTATTAAAATGTACAAGCTTAAAAATAATTACCCGTATTTAATAAGGATGACTCCCTGAATACAATCCAATATCGGCAATGTCGGACAAGTCCATGCCATGAAACGGGGGCGTTAACATTGGTATTTCCTGAATATTCTCACAAACATTTAAATCAATAAAATATAAGTATATATATTTATTATCAAACGTAATTCATGACGCCTTTCAAAAATGGTGACATGTAGAACATTTTTAACAGTCAACAACTGGGTACTACAATACCAAGCGGAACAACCAACCACCTGCTAAAAAATAGCAATCCAATTTACGACGTCTGCAAGTTGCGAGCGAATATGGCATGAATAATCCTTATTGTTTCATAACCACATATACACCATTGGTTCAGTGTCTGCAATTTAACGTACTGCAGTCAAACAAAACGACCATTGTCGCTTTTCTTTCGCCATCTTCGTCCCACGACGACGCCACATCACGCCCCAGGCCGTCGAATTCACATCGGTTGCTATATTATGTAGAGCAACCAACTCCGTTAACACAGTATTTCATGGCTTGCAGTTGCTTCAGTTTGCTTATATTGGTGGTGGATCCAAACTCACAGTGACCAGCGACAGCGAACATCGGCTGTGTTTACATGTTTACATGTTTTAGTTCGGCCCCACAATGCACTTATTGAATGTTTCGAGACACGTGATGAAACTGAAGCAAAATATTATGAAAACTTAAATATAAATCCTTCATTCCTGCATGGGGTAACGGGTAATCACGCTGGACGGATAATAAAATATGACTTTGCTAAACCACAAAATATCAATTTTTAGTCGTGTTATATTATGTTCAAATTCAAAACGTACCGAAACGGCTGAAATATTGCCGATGTGACGTAAAGCATTAACTCACTCACCTAACGTAAGGGCGAAGGCAAGGGTGTAAGAGTGTTAGTCGCCTCTAAGGCAAGCATTGGTTGCTGAAGACCAATTCTAACCAGGATCTCTAAGGATTTGCAGTTTATAATTTCATGAAAAATATATTGAATCCTTGGTGTGCGTGGGTTGCAAGCAAGCTTCTAAGGAGAAACACTATTTGTGAAATTAGACGGAAACTGAAGGCCTATCTATGCTTATACCCAAGATCTTTTTGTAGTTAAATCAATGGCGTCAACTGACGTGACATGATTCTGTATGCACATTTTTGTAATTCATTTGAGTGAGTCACAATTTAAGGTCTCTTCGACAACGTCTCAGTTTATACTTCATCAGGGGGCACGGGTGGCCCAGTTGTCAAAGGCGCCGCGATTCGCTGTGGAGAGTTGCGTCCCTTCGGCACGCCAGAAACCTATGATTGTGGGTTCGAATCCCGGTTCGCCCCGATTATGTTTCTAGGTTTGTCAGCACCATAACCGTGCTCGTGGGTTTCACTGAGGTGGTAAACGTCTGAGACCTGCATCACTTCTGGCTTTCCTCCCACATTAAGCTGACACGCCGTGATATAACTGGAAAACTGTTAAAAGCAGCGTAAAAACTAAACTCACTCACTCACTCACTCACTCATACTTCATCATGTCAGAAGTACATTAAGGTAATCGCCATAGTTTCAAATTGAAATAGATTGGACAGGTAAAATCTTTAGTCAATCATTACACATTGTAACTAGATAACACGCATGTTATGAACAGACGAATTCACAATTTATCAAACAAACAAATGTCGCCAAGATATGGTAAAATCAAACGCTCTTTAGCATAAGTAAAGATCTGGGCCCACTTGCACAAAGCGATCTTATCGCTACAACTAGTGTAAGCCTATGTTAAAGAATGGGAGTTACGATCATCTTAGCGCTAAGATCGCTTTGTGCAAGCGGGCCCTGTTTGATTTCCGGCTTTATGATACGACTCCACTGAAATTTCGAAATCCACACAGTGAAGCAGAATATGCTTGACGGGTGAACCTTTCATCACAAGGGCTATACTGATGATAAGTATGGTCATCTTCATCCTCAGTTTGAAGAACATCAGTGTGATTGTCATCGTCGCAAAATGGTATCATTGATATCATGGCTGATGTCCCACGTTCATGATCATTTGAATGTGTTTGCGTATTTATGTAATATGCATCTTGGTGCAATGTATATTAGCTATTATTCTTGTAATCATGTTTCACAATATACCACAATAATTTCAAAACTACGTACGTCCTGTAAACGTTAAAGTAAACGATAAGGAACGCTACAGAGCCCGCTCCATGTTCCCAACCATCCTCAAGCTGTTATCCTGCACAGTTTACTAATTATATTTACCATCATACATCATTGAATCAGGGGCGGTTGGGTAGTCTAGTTGTTAAAGCGTTTGCTCGTCATACCGAAAGCCCGCGTTCGATTGCCAACATGGGTACAAATGTATGAAGCCCATTTCTGGTGTCCCACACCGTGACGTTGCTGGAATCTTGCTAAAGCGGCGTAAAACCATACTCACTCACTCTCGATCACATTGAATTAAGCTATCTGACAGGTCAGTTGCCGTCTTGTAAAAACCCTTACAAATCGTCTGGCCGACTTGTAGGGCGGAACTGATGGCACAGTGCCAACTTACCTGGAACTCTGAGGTGCGGCAGTTTCGCTTCAGTCCGTTGGGCCGCTTAATGCTGCTTGAACGTATTATCCAATTGATTTGATAAGTTTCTTTCACAAGTGCATAAGAATCTGCTTCAACAATAGTCAGTTTTTCTTTGCGTTTGTAGAGAACCTGGCCACACACGAAGGTGTTTAAAGGGAAGTAATATACATTATTAATGATAATTCTTGTTCACCTTCGATCGGTCTCTGAGTCTATATCTAAGTCTTTGGAACTGTCAACATATGAATAAGCAGACATAATGTTTAGGAAACACCTGCAATTTTCAATGTCATTGAAAATGGTTAATATCAATAAATATGCTAAGTGTTAAAAGTACCTGCCCTTTTGATTGGTCTAAACATTTAAGATTTTGAGGTATTTGTTCATGTGCAGGTTAACTCTGACGTCATATGACAGTGACTCATCACGAGGCAAAAAAGGAAATTTTTAACTTACAGTGACTTTGCCTGATACCTTTCGGCCGTTTACTAATATTTCTATCCGTCTTAACAACATTTGCTGATGACATACAGAAATGGTATTAAAGGTATTCACAGGGCTTTCCAAAGTTGACACATCAGTGAAGAACGTGATATCCGTTGCAATTCCCTATTTTAACTTATATACCAGGTGTTCCCGTGCTTTTTTCAGGTGAAAAGTTGACTTGCCTTTGCATGTGTTCGTGACACACGATCGCTCACCTTTAAGCGTACTTCTGGTGTCATCACTACATGTGTTTGATAGTGATTCATCGACACATGATCATGGCACAGCCGGAATCGTACAATGGTTTGTTGGTTTGTTTGTTGTTAAACACCGCACTCAGCAATATTCCAGCTATACAACGGCGGTATGTAAATAATCGAGTCTGGATCAGACAATCCAGTGATTAATATCATGAGCATCGATCCACGCAATTGGGATCGATGACATGCATCAACCAAGTCAGCGAGCCTGACCACCCGATCCCGTTAGTCGCCTCTTGCAACAAGCATAGTCGCCTTTAACAGCAAGCCGAGGCTGCTGAAGACCTATTCTAGCCCGGATCTCACGTACAATGGACTTAGCAGAGACTGCTTATGGCTATGGAAAGAGTTTTGACGCTCTTGGTTACCTCACCATACGTAAAAGGTGTTGAAGATGTTGCCATAATAGGACTTTTAAACAATAGGTGTCCTACTTGACACCACAGTTTTCTCAGAATATCCAATAACCTCTAATAAAATCCACTGATATCGACCATGTCATTGCCAATGTTGCGCAATACTAAAACAAGAATTAATTGTGTCACAGGAGAACAATAATGACGGATAATGATATCCACTAATTATGCAATTGGCATGAACTGAAGAAGGGAATGAATGAATTATATATTTGTTTACTCTTTCAAAGTTTTGTCACAATAGATTACTCATATTCCACACATTCGTATGCAATAATTAGGTTCGTTTGAAGCCTTAAAGAAGCGTAGCTAATCATGTTAAAGAAAATTTCTCATTAGTATCATTCCAGCGAGCAAGAGGTGAGTCTGGCAGTAGACAAGGATGGACGTGTGTCGAGGTTACATGCTCATCTGTCCGTACGTTGTGTTCTTCATCGTATTTGCTAGACATGCTATTCCCATGTGTCACCAGCATTCCTATGTGCGCATCCCAGATCTTCAGGACAAGGTAGCCGACATTGAGCCACTCTGGAAGGACAAGAAGCTTCATACACTGGGCTGTGCAGAGAGGTGTTACAGAGACTCCAAGTGTGTCTCTTTCTTCTACAACGCTTTGTCTGGTTCATGTGAAGGACACACAAAGATTTACACCAGCCACGACATCCTGGTTCCTAAACCGGGCTTCAAGTACTCCATTGATGGTCTTTATGCCAACAATGCAAGTAAGTTGAGTTCTGTGTATTACTAATGTGATGGTGAAGATCGGAGGTTTGTGGATTACAATCAGCTTGTGCTGGCGTAGAACTAGAGTCGGGTGTGACAGACGGTAACGTTCCACAGGCAACCAGACGTGTCCCGAGCGAACTTTTACCGCATTGTAACGACCAGCTGTAACCGTTTGTATTGCTGGAATATTGTTAAAGACCATTATCATAGAAACATGTATTCACTCGCTCACATGCAGGAAATCGTTTTGGAGCATAAATCGTAGTATATATTATTGTTAATGTGCTCAATTGGACAGATGTGTTCCTTGACTTGAGGAACATTCGGTTTATTTCCTGGAAACCACAACACATATTTATGGTTTGAATAAATATTGAATTATTTGCCAATAGACCAGAGCAAAGACGTATGTATATATAGATGGATCTATATAAGTCTTTAACCAGAGTCTTGTCATTTTGACCCGTATATTCGGGCATAAATAACGGGGCGTTAAAGTGTTCGCTTGTTACGTCGAAGGCCCGGGCTCGATTCCCCATATGGGTACAATGCGTGAACCCGTGCCTGGTGTCCTCCGCTGCGGCATAAAACTCAATCATTCCTTTATGACCCTGAATTGGTTTTGACACACTGATCAGTCATGTCAAGGGTCAAGGTCGTCATTAATGTGATAACCCGAATAGGATGTTTACTGACTAACTTGCCGCGAGTGGCCTACGAAAAAGGTCAAGGTTACATTCAAGGACATTTGTTTGACATATTCAATTAAATGCCGTTCTGCAGATTTCTTTTAAGTCTCATGCACGAGATCGATATTTGAATGTAGTATAAAAAAGTGATGACAACCTTATGACATCAGTAGTAGTGGCTGCTTGTACTAGTCCGGACTAATGGCAATTTTATAGTGCTAGCCCACTGAGATATCATGCCGCTGTTCAGCATGAATACCCCACTCAGACACAGTATACTCCAAGACTTCAAGCCGACCAGTCCTTGTTTTAACCCACTAATGCCGAGCGCAAGGCAGAGTACCATCTTTCAACGTCTTTTGGTTTGACGTGGCCGGGGATCGAACCCCGGACCTTTCGCTCTCCGTATGGAAGCTCTACCACGAGTCCACGGAGGCGGTCATTTTGAGATTTATAAGTTTTCAGATCTTTTCAGGCTATTTGTTGATGCCTTGGCCTGTGTCCCTCTTACACATTTGAATACACGTCGACAGGTTACAGTGACTGTGAAGATATTATGACTCGGTTCCCTTCCCTGAAATCGGGCATCTACGTCGTCAACCCTCCTGGTGGACATGAGCAGTTCCAAGTCTACTGTTATTCTGCAATAAGAATATGGACGGTAAGCATGTTACAATAGCCGTAAAAATGAAGTTATGTATAAAGCTCACCTGTTTATCCGCGGTGTGCCATGCGTAGTAAACATTTTATTCCCACTAGTGAAGGCACCTGCATTTATTTAACATGTTTGCATCCGATTTTCAAAATGGCCACCACAGTAGCCATATTGAAAAACCTATTTATGGCCATCTTTTAGCTTAACTGACCTTTAAGGCCTTGTGAGCTTGTGCTCACTGGTCATCCGGCGTCCTGCGTCGTCAATGTCCATAGACGTTGTACAGCATTGTACTAAGTTTGTTCAAGGCGTCATGATCGGAAGTACAAGAGCCCCTACTCTTTTGGCAACGGCCATATTGACCGTCCCTCACCGTCGCATTTTGGTGTTTGGACATATCAGGGATATCATACCATGCATAATATACTGAACCGAATTAAAAACTTCACAATCCTAAAATTTTAACATTTTGACCAGTTATCATTGTATGCCGTTATTGTGTATTTAAACAGTAATGGCCACGTATTGTCTTCAGATAACACCCGTTTTTGTGCAGGTGAATCGATCAAAATCATGTGCACAGCACTATAGGGGCAAAAGTGTTTTTTCACGTGCAACTGGTCACGTGGCCATAATACCGCACGTGTTTTCAGCGATACTTGTTAGCAGTCATTAACAAAAAAAAGAAAAACACGCCTTTCAAATGTGCAACGTGAACGTGCCATCGGCATGTTGTAGACGGGAACGTCCGTAGCTGAAGTCGCAAGGACGATGGGTTGTAGTCGACGGACTGTTTATGATTTACAGACGCGTCTACAGCAAACGGGTACCACCGCTGATCGCCCTCGGCCAGGTCGACCACGTGTGACGTCACATGCAGAGGATCGTCAGATTGTCTGACGTCACCTCCGTTACCGATTTTTGACGGCTACATCAACCAGAAATGAACTGTTTAGGGGTAGACTGAGTGCGCAAACTGTTCGAAACCGTCTGAGAACTGCTCACCTTCAAGCACGACGGCCATACTGCGGGCCGATTCTGACTCAATTACACAGACGTCAACGTCAATTGTGGGCACAGCGACACTTACGATGGACTCAGAGGAATTGGAATCAAGTCGTCTTCAGTGATGAATCCCGATTTAATCTTCGATTTGCTGATGGTAGGGCGAGGGTGTGGAGGCGCCGACATAAACGTTACGCCCAGTGTTGTGTACAGGAAGTTGACAGATTTCGAGGCGGAAGTGTCATGATGTGGGGTGCTTTCTGTGGCAATGCACGTTCCAGGCTTCTTGTCATACGTGGCAACCTCAACGCTGCTGCTTCCCGCGACTAGGTACTGGCACCAGAACTTCTGCCTTTTATGGCAGCACATGGACCCGGTTTCATCTTCCAACACGACAATGCCAGACCCCACACAGCAATTTTGAAAAGGAATTTCCTACAGAATGCGGGAGTCAACGTCATGGACTGGCCGTCAAGGTCTCCCGACCTCAATCCCATCGAACACGTCTGGGATGCACTTGGCAGAAGTCTGCGCACTCTCCAGAACCAACCACGGAATTTGCAAGATCTTGGCACCATTTTGCAGCAACAATGGCGTCGTCTTCCCAACCATGTGTTCACAAGCATCACAAGGTCCATGCGGAGGCGTTGTGTGGCAGTTGTCAACGCACATGGTGGCTATACACGCTACTGACTTGTCAGATTCTCGTGCTTCGGACTTATGATTTAAACTATTGATGTTATTACCGAATACCGTAGGTGCTTGGAACAAATTATGGTTACCACCGTTAATTAAAATCCTTCTTTGGACATTTATGATTAAAAATTCCCTTCTCTGATACATTTGTCCGTTGTATATCATATATGGGATTACTTTTAAAAATGTGAAGTTTTAATTTGACTCAGTATATATCGCCGAGTACCCTATATTCGAGCGACACCTATTTTCGAACAGCCATATTGAAAGTGACTTTGTCGCATTATAACCAGAGGCGGGACGTCAACAGGCTGTCGCCTTGAGGGTGCACACGTTCGGCCTGTCGACATTGGGTTCACGTGAAGTTCTGTACAAATGTCAGAACAGTCCGTCGTCATTCAGAATTTTGGCGTCCATGTCATGATGAAAAGGAAGACTGGAACAGTGTGTGAACATTATAATTTGACAAATATTCATATTTTGTGACTAGGTTTCAAACTTTCAAGTACTGTTTGAGTTTTTATGCCAACCTGCAAGAAATATGTTAAGAACTGTGCGCCAAAACACGTCAATCCAAACAAACCAATCAGGTGTTCGAAAATAGGTGACGCCACTCGAGCGCAGCGGAAGTTTACAGACGAGGCAATGGAGGTCACGCCTTTTATCGAGGATTGTTTTTCTTTCGGAAATGGAGCTTAATTCTATTAAAGAATAAACACACGCAAACAAAGAACAATTTGCGACAGAACAATCTATTGATGTCCGTGAAACATGAATTCATCATAACAGTGTACTCAGTAAACTTATCTCAGGCTAAAAGTGGTGTGGGGTCAATTGTTAGTTCACAAGTCAGTATCGGGTATGACCACCATTAACCGTGATACAAGTTTGACAGTGGCGCCTCAGTGACGACACAAGATAGTTGAAGAAGGATGTCATTCCAGATCTGGACCCAGGCTGTCGCAGTTGGACCAACCACGTTTCATTTCACCCCACCCATTTTCGATGGGCATCAGATCTGGCGAATCAGCAGACCAAGGGAGTGAGTGGGAGGATGTTCTGTTGTCCTATGAAATCTGTGACAACTCGTGCAAAGTGAGGGCGTGCATTGTTCTGCAGTAAAGTGAGTGAGTGAGTATGGTTTTACGCCGCTTTTAGCAATATTCCAGCAATATGACGGCGGGGGACACCAGAAATGGGCTTCACATATTGTACCCATGTCGGGATTCGAACCCGGGCCTTCGGCGTGACGAGCGAACGCTTTAACCACTAGGCTACCCGACCGCCCTTCTGCAGTAAAGTGATGTGACGTCCATGGGTCTGAAGGAACGGGAGGACGTGAGGACGGACAACTTCGTCACGGCACCGTACACCTGTCGAGTTGCCATTGACGACCACTACAAGGGTCTTGTGGTGTGCATTGATGCCTCACCACGCCATTTCTCTCCTACCACCATATGCAGAACGTGGAACACAAGCGTCAGCATAACGTTCATCGATTTACACTTAACACTTCATCGATTTACTCTATGTTTGAATTGTTGTTTAACGAACGCCACACTCAGCAATATTCCAGCTATATGACGGCGGCATGTACATAATCGAGTCTGGACCAGACAATCCAGTGATTGACATCATGAGCATCGATCCACGCAATTGGGATCGATGACGTGCATCAACCAAGTCAGCGAGCCTGGCCTGCTGAAGACCTATTCTACCCCGGATCTTCAAGGGTCGACTTTCTGAAGAGACCAGTGAAACTGTCCCATCTGCATCATATGTATGTAGATGTGTAAAGATTCATTGTGACAAACTATGTACAAGATTGTATGTCAAGGCGGATGACGTCAACTATTCCTTTATGTCGAGCAATATTCCAGTCTTTAGTGTCCACATTTCTTTTGTGGAACAATCAAGCATTCCCTTTCTACGAACAATTGACTTTCCTTTGCATGTGTTTGTTACGGGTACCTGGTATCACTGAAAGTGAATCATGATATAGACGTTCTTGGACGATTTTTTTAACTATGGAAAGGGCTACCTCACAATGGTGTATTCACTGAAAGTCTTTGTCAGATGAAAATACTTATGTTCTAATAGCTGTGCTTTTTAAACATTTCGAAACGTTTTAAACCCAATCGCACATATCTCTTGGTCTTTAGGTGCAAATAGTTTTCACGATCTGATTTGGTTTTTAAATAACATATTTATTAGACAATAGACATGATATACTTTCTCTCTGTTGTATAATAAATTATTGATGTGCCCCGTCTGTCAACAGACGCCGAAGACCCGGGTTCGATTCCCGACATGGGTACAATGTGTGAAGCCCATTTCTGGTGTCCCCCGTCGTGATATTGCTGGAATATTGCTAAAAGCGGCGTAAAACCATACTCACTCACTCACTGTCAACAGAAGTAACAGCATATTTTTTAAGTCGATAGCAAGAAAGGTCAGGCAACAAACAAACATTTACTTTTCCATGCAAATGTTGCGGATGCTCCAGGTAGGTCAGGACGCTGTTTACGCTTTTCGCAAACACCTGGTATCATTACTACATTGTATTTGTAAGTGAATCCCACAACACATGCTTGTGATATAGTCGGAATGGTACAGTGGACTGCCTTTAACAGAGATTTCGTATGATTATAGTCAGGTTTCGTTGCTTTTATTTGTATTAGATATGTATTTTCCCACACGATTCAATAAACCGGAAGTGCAATATTTTTTATTAACGTTGGTCGAATACTTTCTGTTGTAAAGTTGTGTCATATAACATGTGTTTTTAGTTACATATTACATGTATTTCGAGTTTCATGTGACAGTTATTTCCAAAGGGGGTGTGACATCATTTAACCGGAAGTGCGTATAACTTCCAATTTAATGGCGCTGAGGCAAAGGACTTTCTGCTTTACAGTTATCTTGCATGTGTTTCCTGAAATCGGAAGTGATGTCATTAAACTTGCAGTGATGGCATTATTGTAGACACGCTTTTAGGTACGTCATTATGTTTGCATAGTGGTCAGGTATATGCTGGGCTACCTGCTCCTTGCATGCATGCATAAAGCTGTTTTGTTGCATGCATTTCACCAAGTTAACGGTGGTATGCAATACTTTCTGGGGTTACTTCTCTTGTCGCAAGCACACTCCTTTGTTGGAATACCTGTTGATAACCATTGCTGAACCATTTGTATTTATAATACAATTAAATGTGGTATATGTTCTGTTAAAACTGTAGAACATGTTTTGGTTGTGATCTTGAATTCCCTATAAATGCATAATTGCTCTGCTGCCATCTCCACTGAACGTGCCAGACTGGGAACGCTTTACTTTTAAGCTATGAGTGTTTCTCCTTGTGGTGACATCAATTGGGTTTCTAGTGAGTGAGTGAGTTGGGTTTAACGCCGCGTTTAACAGTATTCCAGTTATATCTCGGCGTGTCAGCTTAATGTGGGAGGAAAGCCCGAAGTGATGCAGGTCTCAGACGTTTACTACTTCGGTGAAACCCACGAGCACGGGTATGGTGCTGACAAACCTAAGAACATAATCGGAGCGAACCGGGATTCGAACCCACAATCATAGGTTTCTGGCGTGCCCAAGGCACGCAACTCTGCACAGCGAATCGCGGCGCCTTAGACGACTGGGCCACCCGTGCCCCCCAATTGGGTTTCTAATCATGTATGACTCATTCGAATACCAATGCCATTTACTTCAGCGTCTGTCGAACTTGACATTTTAAACTGTTGAACATACCCAGGTGTCATGAGATTTAATGTATGTGCAGTTGGTTGTGGAGCTCAATGTTATCTAATGTTTTCTTTTTGCTTTCTTCTAGCGGTATTTTAAGTTGTAACCCTGAATTGACCATTGTTTTGTGCCGAATATTTCGTGTGTATATTTCATATCAACATACTCTTAAATTATCGAGTCATGTTTTGGATTGTAAACAACATCTCTGCTGGCCAGTTGAAGCTGAACGTAAAGATCTCAACCTTTGGGACCAGGAAGATCGATTAAAAGCGTTTAACTTCGGTACACGCAACATTTTGCTTTACTTTTTTCTCCTTTTCTTCTTAGAATCATTGAACAAAATTGCCCGATACTCGAGAGAGGTTCGATTTCATGATAAGAAAAAAGTATATAAATCTATAAAGTAAATAGGGTACGTGTAAAAAAAGTTTGTAAAAATGCTTTGTTTTTGCAGATTAAAAACACAAATTGTTGAAATGTGGTTAAGTGTTTCGTATTTTGTCACAGTTTATCACTTAATCATCATTATCTGACTGAGTCCGTGCAGATATATTTAGATATGCTGACAACCGATTTTGTTAAGTGTCTGTCTTTGTTGACACAACACATCCAGCTGAGCAACAGGTACTAATATGTTCGAGCTTTGTTTGGATTTAGACTTATTTTTCTCAGCCATCAACAACTGAGACATGGATAAAAGAGGATACATTTTAGGACAAATTAAAACAAACAACGTTTTAAATAATTCTCTCCAAAATCCTCTAGCCTTTGAGAAATTAACAAAGAAACATTAATATTTAAGGGTAAACAAAAGTTGGCACCTCATGTGTTTTTTTAATGGCCAATTAAACATAATAGATACGTGTACTTCACATAACGTGCTTACACCTTTAGCGAGCACCTGGTGTCATCACTGACTTTCACAACTCCTATGCCTTTTACGCCAAATGTTTCGGTGGATAATCAAGACTGTTCTCTTGCATTGACAGTTTATATTATATTGCTAATTGATAGTGGTAATAAAGATGGGGAATATATTGTGACATTTCAACTTTGTGGTTTACACCAACATGCTCCATAACGAAACTGTCATACATTGCAACAGGTGATCCAAAGACGACAGGACGGATCTGTAAACTTTTACAGAACCTGGAACGAGTACAAGGAAGGGTTTGGTGACCTGAATGGAGAGTTCTGGCTAGGTGAGTTGACCTTGGAAGCCTCGACAAATCTGTGTTCCCCGTGGGGACTCTTGGTTAGATTGTTGGTTTGTTGTTTTACGCCGCACTCAGCAATATTCCAGCTATATGACGGCGGTCTGTAAATAATCGAGTCTGGACCAGACAATCCAGTGATTAATATCATGAGCATCGATACACGCAATTGGGATCGATGATATGCATCAACCAAGTCAGCGAGCCTGACCAAACCCATCCCGTTAGTCGCCTTTTACGACAAGCATAGTCGCCTTCTTGGTTAGAACAAGTCCTCAGCAACCTATGCTGGTCGAAAGAGTCGACTAAATGGATTGAGTGGTCAGGCTCGTTGACTTGGTTAATTGCGTGTTGAATGTTCCTATGGCGTGGATCGTTGCTCACAATAACGTTCAATGGATTGTCTGGATCAGAATTACAAAACGCCATCACGCAGGTTTTTGATAGGGACTGAGGCAAATATTTATATTAATACTATCTTGTGAAAGATAACCTGTATGCGCCTATGGAAAATGGCAATCTATTTGTTGTATTATGCTTTATGTACGTAATCATTCCAGGCAATGAAAAGATATGGCGTATTATGCACGGACGGCAGTACCAGTTAAAAATAAAGCTCCGGGACTTTCAAGGTGAACCCAAAAGGGCTGAATACACAGAGTTCTCCATTGGTAGTCTGACTGACAACTATGTTCTACACATCTCTGGCTTCACTGGAAACGCAGGTAAGTTACTCGCCGCATTGATAGAGAGAGAGGGAGACTGAGAGAGAGAGAGAGTTCTCCATTGGTAGTCTGACTGACAACTATGTTCTACACATCTCTGGCTTCACTGGAAACGCAGGTAAGTTACTCGCCGCATTGATAGAGAGAGAGGGAGACTGAGAGAGAGAGAGAGTTCTCCATTGGTAGTCTGACTGACAACTATGTTCTACACATCTCTGGCTTCACTGGAAACGCAGGTAAGTTACTCGCCGCATTGAGAGAGAGAGAGAGAGAGACTGAGAGAGAGAGCTAGAGAGAGAGAGAGAGAGAGAGAGAGAGAGCTTGAGAGAGAGAGAGAGCTAGAGAGAGAGAGAGAGAGAGAGAGCTAGAGAGAGAGAGAGAGATAGAGAGAGAGCTTGGTGAGTTGTGGTTAACGCTGTTTTGAACATTATTCTAGACATATCATTGCGTGTCAGCTGAATGTAGGAAGAAACCCAAAGTGTCTCATTTTATGGTGAAACCCAAGAGCACGCGTATGGTGCGGACAAACCTAGAAACATAATCGGGGCGATCACAGGTTTCTGTCGTGCCTGAGGGATGCAACTCTGTACAGCGAATTGCGGCGCCTCGGACGAATGGAACTGTGGCACCTACTGGCTCAAGAACCCATGGTCAAAGATTGCTCATAGCTCACCTGGCGCGATGTGCTCAAGAACCCATGGTCAAAGATTGCTCATAGCTCACCTGGCGCGATGTGCTCAAGAACCCATGGTCAAAGATTGCTCATAGCTCACCTGGCGCGATGTGCTCAATAACCCATGGTCAAAGATTGCTCATAGCTCACCTGGCGCGATGTGCTCAAGAACCCATGGTCAAAGATTTGCTCATAGCTCACCTGGCGCGATGTGCTCAAGAACCCATGGTCAAAGATTGCTCATAGCTCACCTGGCGCGATGTGCTCAAGAACCCATGGTCAAAGATTGCTCATAGTTCACCTGGCGCGACGTGCTCAAGAACCCATGGTCAAAGATTGCTCATAGCTCACCTGGCGCGATGTGCTCAAGAACCAATGGTCAAAGATTGCTCATAGCTCACCTGGCGCAACGTGCCATGGAGATGGCAGGACATCAGTTTGGTATCCCGTCTGGAAAAGTGGATAAGATGCAAGTCTCGTCGTTTCATATTAAAGGCCTCGAATCGCCGTCATCTCGTTCTTTACATGAGCACAACCAGCCTTCTAGAAACTGTCACATCAAGAAACATCTCGAACGATCAATTTCTTTGTTTGTTTGTTGTTTAACGCCGCACTGAGCAATATTCCAGCTATATGACGGCAGTCTGTGAATAATCGAGTCTGGACCAGACAATCCAGTGACATGAGCATCGATCCACGCAATTGGGATACGATGACATGCATCAATCAATTCAGCGAGCCTAACCATCCGATCCTGTTAGTCGCCTCTTACGACAAGCATAGTCGCCTTTTACGGCAAGCATGGGTTGCAGAAGACCTATTCTATCCCGGATCTTCACGGGTCCCAATCTGTCCTGTTTATCAACGACTGTAAACAACAAAGGGAGGTCACACTAACTTACGAGCGTCCGTTGGCGTACACAGACCGCTAAAAGAAAAAAACGTGGCCACAAAGCTCGATATTCTGTGAGCGTCTCTGGCCACTGCCACATAAACCCTAGACCCATAACGTCGTTTGGGGACCCAATCAAATGACACGACCCTTTAAATAGCCGTATAGTCAAGTTTTGCAAGGGAATGCGACTTAATGGAGCAGGTGACGTCACTCTTCAAAGAAATCTATGAGTCCAGGGTATTTATCACAAACCAATGGAGAATACACTGGGAAATCGAGAAGTGTAGCTAGCCATTGTCATTTGTGTGTCTTTGGCAATAATGTATAAAATGTTGAAGGGTCATTTCATAAGGAAGCAATATTTCTTTTCATTATACGTTAGCTGGGCCTCAAAGGCAATTTAAATTACATCTGATGGATTGCTTGAGCTGTGTTGAATAAACAGTGAAAATCTGTTTTTCCGGACTTTCTCTTGCTTGTGAAATGGTCCAGATTAACGAATAATGGGTAAACACTGATATTGACTGGATACTGTGCCTTTAATACAAGTTTTTAGTTATTATTGGTTAAATCAAAGAAATATTTTGTTCATGCCAATTACATTTTTTGTTCCTGTCAATAACCGAGTCTGACCAAACAATGAGCAATGATCCAAGCCGACTGATCAGGCTGATACGCCATTACCAAGTCACCGAACCTGACAACTCGGTCAAGTAGCCAGCATCAGGACCAGTTCTAATCCCCGGCTCCCAATTCACTCGCCTCCTTCGACCAGCAATGAGGTGCTGGGGACACTCTCTCCGCGGACCCTCGGGGCATCAAACCGATAAAAGTCTACTCCCCGTATCACTTTGGGTGCCAGGAATGGGCTTCAGACAGTGTATCCAAATTTTTAGTCAAACCCGGGCCTTCAGCGCGACGAGCGAACGCTTTAATCTATTCACCGTCCCCATTGAATCAAAGACATCATGTCCAGAAATGTCAAAACGACTTATCAGTGATAACTGATAGAACCATGCGGGTTAGTTAATACTATTCCCAAGTCGCCTGTCTCAGTGATGTGTGCACATTCAGGCACACTGTATCAGTTCAGTTCAGTTCAGTTTATTATTCTCCAAACCACCGTCGGTGGTACAAAAGAGTACAAAAGTACAAGCATGTATCGTAGCCAAATGTAACAAAGTGAAAGTGAAACACCGGTTGATACGGACAGTAGCTTTTCCAATGAATTCGTCACGTTCGTCTACGAACTTCCTAATTAATAAATCATAGTAAGGTCTATATGTTACTTTTTTGTAAGCGTTTTAAAGGGGATATTTTGAGAGAACTGTTTGCTAACACTGTAGTAAAATGTTTCATCTTCTATTTACAAAAAACAGGTGACTCTATGGCGCGTAGTAACGGCTGCGCATTCTCCGCCCGAGACCGCGACCTCGACACCCTATTCTTCAGCTGCGCCCAATCATACAAAGGAGGCTGGTGGTACTGCGCATGTCACGATGCAAACCTGAACGGGGAATACAACAACACAAAGTTCGCACAGGGCATCAACTGGAACACCTGGCATGGCTATTACTACTCTCTGAAAAACACAGAGATGAGAATACGACCGTGCTGTTAATACTGTGTGCACCATAGACATTCATGACCAACTTGTGCCGTCCGGGGACAAGACTATTGGACCGTCTTGAAGGTTACGGAAAGTCTGATGCCGTCCGGGGAAAAGACTATTGGCGCTTCTTGAAGGTTACGGAAGGTCTGATGCCGCCTGGGGACAAGACTATTGGCCCTTCTTGAAGGTTACGGAAAGTCTGATGCCGTCCGGGGACAAGACTATTGGCCCTTCTTGAAGATTACGGAAAGTCTGATGCCGTCTGGGGACAAGACTGTTGGCCCTTCTTGAAGGTTACGGAAAGTCTGATGCCGCCTGGGGACAAGACTATTGGCCCTTCTTGAAGATTACGGAAAGTCTGATGCCGTCTGGGGACAAGACTATTGGCCCTTCTTGAAGGTTACGGAAAGTCTGATGCCGCCTGGGGACAAGACTATTGGCCCTTCTTGAAGGTTACGGAAAGTCTGATGCCGTCCGGGGACAAGACTATTGGACCTTCTTGAAGGTTACGGAAAGTCTGATGCCGTCCGGGGACAAGACTATTGGCCCTTCTTGAAGGTTACGGAAAGTCTGATGCCGTCCGGGGACAAGACTATTGGCGCTTCTTGAAGGTTACGGAAGGTCTAATGCCGCCTGGGGACAAGACTATTGGCCCTTCTTGAAGGTTACGGAAAGTCTGATGCCGCCTGGGGACAAGACTATTGGCCCTTCTTGAAGGTTACGGAAAGTCTGATGCCGTCCGGGGACAAGACTATTGGCGCTTCTTGAAGGTTACGGAAGGTCTGATGCATGTTTATATCCCGTCAGGTTTTTCTGTTTAAAAACTATAATTTGTTGCTGATGATGTTACGAAAAATAATGTATTGTGGTTTTTTCCAGCAATTGTTTGCCTCCTCATGTTAGAGAAACGTTGAATAAAAAAATTATTCTTCTCAAACAAAAATCCCAATACCACAAAAATATTCGGTCAATGTATGCCTAGAAAACGTATCTTGCTATTGTGGTCTGTTTCAGGAAGTAGTGGATGTCGATGTATGAATATCCTGTGATTTTGCCAAAGAGACGTTAAATTTAACAAAAGCCATGGGGTGGAATGTTTTGTTAAGTTACAAGACTCCTGCCTTATAATCGTCATAATTGTAAACGACTTTAGTTATCAAAACATGGATGTGGGTTTTGCCCTTGAATACAGTTTCATAGGCTGCGAAAATCAGCAACTTTCTTTCATGTTTATTCAGTGTAGGAATGAGAATTTGTAATTTGCCTTTTTGGATGCACACTCTTCACATTTGAGAATATGATAGGCACGTTATTGATATGTTTCATACGACATGTACACATCGTGTTTCGTTTAGTTGTTGAACGCTGCGATCAGCAATAATCCGGCTATTTGTAGCCTGTAGAATGGTCCTACCCGCTGCGAACCACTGTGGTATACTTCAGGAAAACCCTTTCCTTACAATCAGGATGATATTAGTAAATTAAAAACCTTTGTATATTAAAACTTGATTGGCACCAAACACAGCAAATGTTGGCCTTGAAAATATCTTTATATGACATGTGTTAAATGATTCGCTTAATCAAAAGAAACAAGACCGACTTTTAAACTTGAGGCAGAATGCCATACTTTGCAGCATATTTTTAGGAGTTGAACGTCAATTGTTTTGTGTTCCATTTGAATTATTTCGTTCAACTGCCGTATTTGCGAAATAAAGTTAATACCTTTGCGTTGTTGTGTGTTTAAACATGACATTATGATGGTTGTTTGGATAACGACCGGTCACGGGAATATTAGGTCATATCTGATAATTACACCCTTCACGACACATGCAGGCAATTGCAATCGATAAAATGCTACGCGGAGACTTCCGTAACGGGACCATTTCAGGGCCATATGCTAGATTTAAAGATTGTTTTGCATTCTTCACAACTAACAAAACATGTACACTATGTTAAATGTATTCCGACATTATCTCATTATCTTGACATTTCATCATATGCATCTTGAAATTTCAAGAAAAATATAAATATGCAAATGGCCCTTACGTATTTCCGTACTTCTCCGTTCCAAACGTTATTATGTCTACAAAATGGGTTCACGGCGTGGGGCAAGGTGACATCCAGCTGTAACCGTTGTGCTGCGGGCCAGTTTTGAAGGACATTAGATTAGATTAGATAACCAAGATATCTTTACAAAGTGTTTTTTAGCTGTAATAACATTTATCATGTCAGGGCCCCGTCCCATTAGTAGAACTGAGGGGGTACGTCCGCTGTAACTCCCATACTTGAAGAACGGGACCCTGGGCGATGTGTACTTGGTTACAGCTGTATATTTCAGTCTTCTTCTATATTTAACAGTATGCACTTCTGTAAAACATTTCAGGTGAGATTTCCCTTTTCTAAGCATTATAGTAACTTTGCTTTATCAAATATTTTGAAGCTTTGAACACTTGCAAGACAGTTTAGTTCAACTGTGAGCGTATGGTGAGGGTTTCAAATTTGGTTTGTATGCAGCGACGTGTCAAACTATTTTCCGTTAAGATGTTCCAGAATTAGTGATATTTTCCAGCGGGTTGTTTCGGAGAAGAACATATTTATGAATGTGTGTTTCTATTTCGATAATAAGTGTCTAACTTTACTTAATTTATTATTGCATGAGGTGTATTGCAGTTTAGGGTTTCTTCGTCCTGGTCAGGGTGTTGTCTATGGCCAAATCATTCAATTTGGCTCATCACTCTAAAAGCCCGGGTTCGATTCTCGCGTAAACGAATGAGGAGGTTAATAAATAAAGCGGGATGCTTTCTGATTGTGTGGCCACATTCACACCAATCCCTAATTCGGTGATACTTTGTTGGGCACATGGAACCGACCTGAGCCGTGAGGCTGACAACTGAGAAGGTATTTGCGAAGAGATGGGGTACGGAGCAGCATGGATGCCATAGCTACTTGGCGTCCCCCGGAGGACGGGGAGGGAGATTCATTGTCCCCGGGGAGACACAGGCTCCATAACGACCAAGGCCCTGCAAGAGAAGGCCTCCACGCTCACAACGGATCCATATTTTTTGTCCATGAGGACGGCTGGGGATTCCAGGTGATTGTTTGTTTGTTATTTAACGCCGCACTCAGCAATATTCCAGCTGTTTGACGGCGGTCTGTAAATCATCGAATCTGGACCAGAAAATCCAGTGATTGACATCATAAGCATCGATCCACGCATTTGGGATCGATGACATGTATCAACCAAGTCAGTTGTTTTGAACCCTTGGCTCTGGCAACCAACCAACCAACTAACCCCCCCCCCCCCCCCCCCATCCCCTTGTTTCAAAAGGTCGGTTTCTAAAGGGGTAAAAGTTATATTTTGTCACAGATTTGTTCATTGGAATTATAACTCAAGCTTTTCAAGTTAGTGATACCATGATCTAGCCATCCAAGTCCCGTACTTCAGCTTACAGAAAAGTGGCTTGCAATATCACCAACCTTCCCATGGCACAACCGCAAGGATCTCACTTCGTAAGAATCAAGATTACCCATACGTTTTTGTCACTTTATAATATCTTCCATCACTTCCCAGTATTAAAAAAGATACGCGAAACAGATATGTCTTAACCTTCCTCCGATTATTAAAAAAATAATTCAAAAATGCTCAAAAGATTTAACGGATAACATCGATTACACTCATATGACATCCTTTGAAGTCAGTTTACGTAATTACAAATAAATCGCACGGAGACTTGATATTTTCTCAGCTACTCCTGCAAAACCAGATATATGTTAAATTAAACCTATGCCCCTCGATATTTTTTGTGGCAGACAATGTCTTTTTTTTCAACAGTCTGAAACATAATTGTTTATTTTTAGCATTTTCTGGGACAATTTGTGTTTTCGATAACATTCCCCGCCCCATACCCAGATTATCAACTGGTCGGTCCCTTATGTGATGTTTCACAGAAGCCCTGTTCAACCCACATCAAATGTATCGAGATAGATACAGGGGTTCCTAGAAGAGCCAGCGAAGAGCCATGCAAAGCCCTGAAACGTGGACGTAAAATCTATGCTTGTCGTAAAAGGCGACTAACGGGATCGGGTGGTCAGGCTCGCTGACTTGGTTGATGCACGTCATCGATCCCAATTGCGTGGATCAATGCTCATGATGTCAATCACTGGATTGTCTGGTCTTGACTCGATTATTTACAGACCGCCGTCATATAGTTGGAATAGTGCGGCGTTAAACAACAAACCAACTGTGGTCTGACCTTCGAAGGATCATGCTAAAATTGCTGTCCGTGTTTATATTTTAAACCTATCTATGTGTGGGACAAAATTAACAAATGTATTGTGTTTCCGCAACATAAAATATTGTTCAAACAAAGTAAGAATGTCATTTCAACTACATCCATGGGTTCCAGCAGGTTTTCACAGCTTTGCGCTGAAATTGATCCAGCGCACAACAAATAACGTTGACATAACGTTTCAAATAAATAGAGGTTATCACGCGAGTGTGTTTGGAGATGGTAAATATCCTGTATTAGGAATAAACATTAAATTTAGCGTGATATCCTCTTTGACATATAATGTCATTCTTCAATTCTGTGCTCGACAAATTTATTCTCATCTCTCAGAAACATTATCTAAACAATGCAAGTCTTCCTGGAATGTGCGCATTAATATATATATATATATATATATATATATATATATATATATATATATATATGCGCATTAATATATATTACACAAACTGTTTCTACTTGCTCAAGCGCAATCCACCAATCTGTCCGATAGAGTAGCTGCCCTTTATCCAAGGCAAGCTACTCTAACCCTAGTCTGTGAGCCGTCACGTTTGTTAGGAGTCTTTCTTGTCCTGTCATAACGTTACGAAGTGCAGTCAGATGTGCACACAGCGACAAAACGAAATAAGTTAACAATTCGCACATATTTCGGCCAAATCCATCTTTATTAATTGGGGGGAAAGTTTCAAGCCGCTCAGGTTTAGGCTTACAAGCAAAGATATGGAAATTGATCCTGCTTGGCTAGTGTCCTCCAAAGTTGCCCAAACTTGTAAATTGCTCCGCCTACGTCACAGTTAGACATTGATTTTCAGCACACTAGAATATTGTTTTGATAATGAAAGCAATTATTCCAGTACTTGGTCCAGATTCCCGATGATAAATTCTGACTCCATCACTTTTTTCCGTTGGCTTTATCCTGCCGAGAGACCTACCCATTATATGATAAAAAGAAATAACCGCTTATCATTAGGACGTTCGCTTTGTGTTAACTGTGGTTTTCTGTAGCACTCATTCCATGTTGAACTTGGTTGGAAAACAGGCACTTTCTCTGTAGAATATAAAGGTCATCTGCTTAATATATTCAGGTATTGCTCATTTCAAGCAAGAGATAGATATAAACCAAGGTTTCCCACCACTTTTTCAAGGGCGTCGACCCATGTGTAACACATCAAGTTGTCACGGCGTTGCCCGGACGTATTCCAAAGCAGCACATCCCATTGGCACAGCGTTGCAAAGTCGTCGCACCAAAGTGACATCCCTTTCTAACAGTGGTGCAAGGACGTCCATCCAAATTGACTCATTACATTTTACATGGCTGCCACACTTTTCGCACTTTATGGAATCATCGCGGGGATGCCGATTCAAGGAATAGCACTACGCCACACTAAACTTGCAAAACGAAATGTGTGATCTGAAGGAAACTTATTGAAATCACAAATTTCTGCTTAAAGTAAGGTCCGGTACTTTGAAGTTTGAAGTTAGAGTTTGCTGGTTTGTGGAAATATCTCCTCATACCGATAGAAATGTATACGAGCCTGGTAGATGCTTCTTCCAGACTTGAGGATATTAAAACATATCATCTCAGATTCCGTTTCATCGTCCCAGAATTCCACGGCCAAGATGTCGGTCACCTCACTCTCACCCCTGTGTAGGAAGGAGGCCGATTTGAGGAGGAGTGACTCGGTGTTTAAATTACACTGTATCTTATTCCTTATCAAATGATCGTCCAGAGCATCAATACAGTACTGTAAATACAGGACGGTGTTCACGTGTTGGTTCATGTCGATATCCCGACTTGTGACTGTTAACATGTAGGGAAGGGAGTTAACTCCCCTGCACGTCTTGGTAGGAGATGTCTCCAGCTGCTTGAAGATAACCCCAGCATCCTTGTTGTAAAATGGACCGAATTTTTCACGAAACCAATCTGGCAACGGACTCGTTTTTCTATTGGACTTTGAAACTACAACGACGTTATTCCTCAGACTTGCTGTCACTTGTGGGAATCCGGGTACCCTCAAGATTGATTCCAAAACAAAGGACGATGTTCCGAAAGAAACAAGTCTTGTTTGAACCTCAGCTGGATATTTTGGGAGCCTTGGGTTGTACATGTTAGACGAAACATTCAGTTGTCCACTGACAATGAAAACTAGTTTGTCAGTGTATAATTTATCAAGGGCCATGAACGATGGAGGATTGCTTGTTTCAAGAAACAGAAACTTTCTGCCTTGAAGTAGGACGCGAAACACTCCCGTGGGGGTCACTAAGCCTGCAAGTAAAATCACAATTCATTGGAGACATAAATTCATTTTGGTTGGAACTAGTGAGTGAGTGAGTATGGTTTTACGCCACTTTTAGCAATATTCCAGCAATATCACGGCGGGGGACACCAGAAATGGCCTTCACACATTGCACCCATGTCGGGAATCGAACCCGGGTCTTCGGCGTGACGAGCGAACGCTTCAACCACTAGGCTACCCGACCGCCCAAGGTTGGAACTAACCACTGGCAGTTATTTGTTGAATAACATCAAAATGTATGCATAAAATTAGTGTCATTGATACAAGTGTTTAAGCATTTTCATCATGTATTGCTTGACAAGGTTCTTAATCGAAAAATCGCGGTAATAGTTCGTTAAAGAAGTTGTTATCCATAAATCGTGTCTACTTTTTCATTCGTCAACTTCTGAATTAAAGCGACTAAAACCTTTCCATATTCATAAGAACTCTCTGCTAAAACAGAGTCGATCGTACGATTCCAACAATCTCATGAACTCGTGTTTAAAGTGATGATACCTGGTTGTGATGATACCAGATGTTCGCGAAAAGGTAAGCATATCCTGCCCCACCCAAATGCCAAACAAACAATTCAAATTCATGCAATTTCAACTTGCACACGTTACAAAGATCCCGTCAGGAGACCGGGTTAGAATAAGTCCATGGCAACCAATGCTGGTCGTGAGAGCCGACTAAATGGATCGGATGGACCAGCCTGGTGTCCTGGTTGTGGCGCATCATCGTACTCCAGAGACGTTGCTTCTGATATCATGACTGGATTTTCTGGTATGGAGTACGATGTTAAGGGTCTGTCCATTTGATTTGGTTTGGTTTGTTGTTTAACGCCGCACTCAGCAATATTCCAGCATTATGACGGCGGTCTGTAAATAATCAAGTCTGTACCAGACAATCCAGTGATTAATATCATGAGCATCGATCCACGCAATTGGGATCGATGACATGCATCAACCAAGTCAGCGAGCCTGACCACCCTCCTGTCCATTTGATATTTTGTATTGAGACCATATTTTTTTCAGCTACGGCTGCAAAACCAGATATTTGTTTAATTAAGACTATGAGCCCAAACATTATTTTTTGGAACAACACATGGCAACGATGTATCTTCATCCTCATTGAATATCGCCCCTAAACAAGAAACAATCTTACTTGTTCGCAGATTGAGTCCACTTGATAGTCCTTGTGGTAATGTCACTGAACCTGTTGTCTCAGTCTTGGCTGCCTTCGTCACCAGCATCTGTGTCATATTCCTGTTGAAAACGTGAAAACCCAGACTTTCATGAAACGAAAAAGATGGACACGTCATTTATCTAACACTTGCAATACACCCCCAATACATACCGCGTCACTTAAAATAATTTTCTTGCCCTATGAAAATATTTTTGAAATTCCCGCGTCACATGAAACAGATACTGTTATTCATAAAATGGACACAAACGGCATTGACATTGTATTAAAGAGCCGAGTTCAATGTGTCCCCAGTTGTCTTTATTCGTATTCTTTGTGGGGAAAAATTAGAAAGTATTCCTCCCTCACCACTTTTGCCTGCCATTTATATTGTTTATGCAGCCCGAGTTACAACGATGTCACGATCAGAAGGCCAAACACTTTACCCAAACACCGTTAATTACCAAAAAAAATAATATTATGAGCACCGATTTTAGCATTCTTTATAGATGCGCATTATAGCAGCAGTACAAAAACTGTGGCATTGGTCACCGTCGTGTCATTCCGGTTAATTGCCGAAAAAAGGGCACCCATTCTTAATAACAAACCCTTTCTGTTTCGGGACAACCTCGCCCCATTCCATAACCGCAAAAAAAGACTCGTCTGTGAGTGGAAGGGGGCACGGGTGCCCAGTCGTCTAAGGCGCCACGATTCGCTGTGCAGAGTTGTGTCCCTTGGGCACGCCAGAAACCTATGATTGTGGGTTCGAATCACTGTTCGCCCCTATTATGTTTCTAGGTTTGTCAGCACCATACCCGTGCTCGTGGGTTTCACCGAAGTGGAAAACGTCTGAGACCTGCATCACTCCGGGCTTTCCTCCCACATTAAGCTGACACGCCGTGATATAACAGGAATACTGTTAAAAGCGGCGTAAAACCCAACTCACTCACTCACTGTGAGTGGAGGCAACGGGGCAATTTGTCCCAATGGAAACAGTAAACATGCAGACCTCCGTTTGAACACGTTCGGGGACTCACATTTTTTGCGCGGTAACTGTTGATCTGTGTTTAATTATTGTTAGTCTTTTATATACCAAGATACTCAATTTGAAGTTTTTTTAAGAAATATATTCAAAAGATACTTGAATACAACAACTGTTTGAGTCAGGCGATAAACCCGTCCCAACGTTATGTATGAGGCACGTAATTTAATAGGGCTTGCCACTGGAACTTGCGGAAATTACCGAAGTTATCCATGAAGTGTACGAGATTAGCCGAAGTTACAGTTGCCTAATGTCGATGGTTTAAATGTATACACACGCGACAACTGTGTGCGAGGCAGTGACCTCAGGCTGAAATAGGAACAATCAGTGGTTTGCCATATTATAAATCTGAGACTACGTGACACCAGTCATGGACAGCACTCTCTGCCTTAAATTTAAAGTATTCTCGATCAAGGCTGGTTTGTGGCTGGTTTTGACGCGTCGCCCATTACAATCTCATTAAAATCAGATCTTAGTTCTCGCTACCGCTAAATAAAGATCTGAGGACATTCCATTACGGGTCACGTCAGAACGACCTTGCGCGGACTTTGACCGACCAATGGAATGACCAATCAGAAGGCAGCTTTCTCGTGCTTTACGGCACTAATTTCAAATTGGCGACTACGTTTCGAAACATATTTTGACAAATTCTCGATTACAAATTTGAAACCTGAACAAAAGAACATTCTGGAATGGCTAACAGATGGTCTAGATTGTATGGATTCAGTCGTTAAACCCGTAACTAACGTTCGGAGTATACCGTATTAATGTTTTCGAGGTTGTATGATTAGAAATCCCATTCCGACTGTCACTTTCATGATCTGGTAAGTGACGCTCTGATTGGTCGGATGAAAGGTCGTTCTGACGTGACCCCTAATGGGATGTCTTCAGATCTTTGTTTAGCGGGTAGCGAGAACTAAGGTCTGATTTTAATGAGATTGCGCGCATTAGTACTGAGATTCCCAGCTAACTTTCGCATCAGTGGCGTGTTGATCACAGCTGACGACAGAAAGGAAGCAAAGGTACATGTAAGTTGATCATCCACGCGACAATATTTGTAGTTTCTGAATTAGCCACATTCGGCAGTAATTGCTCCTATGCATCAAGGACACACACGATTAAGAAGTCCTGGTACTCTTTGTACAGGCATTGCTTACTCACTCACTCACTCACTCACTCACTCACTCACAACGTAATGAACCCGTGAAGATCCGGGGTAGAATAGGTCTTCAGCATGAAGTCTGAACTCTGAAGTCCAGCTCGGCCACTTCATCTGTAATCAGCACATGGACTTCGTGCCCACGTCCAAAACCAATTTTGGACTTACTCTGCCAATGATTGCTACAGCTGATTCAAAAAGTGTTCTGCTCAAAGCTCCTCTGCAGATTGTTGAAGACCTAAAGGCTGCCAGCAACCAGCATTTGGATTATTCATTTAATCCGGACGCCACAATGGACCAACTTATGCCTCTGATTGGTATCAATTTCAAATATGGCCGTAAACGGGGTGTCATCTCCACCGATATTACATGCAGGTTGTAATTCTGAACTCTGAAGTTTGCATGATACTCTTAAGATTTGTTACCATAAAGTTCCAACTTTTGCATTGTCATATTGTTTGCTTAATACTCTTTATATACTGGAATAATATTTCTACTATTCCAATTTCTTTCGTTTGTTCTCACTGGGATGACCATATGAAAAGTTTGTTAAATCTATCTGCCCTTTTTACATGGCCGACTTGTTTAAATTATCCCTGTCGTACTTTATTGGTGCTTGACACACATTGTTACTCAAAGTTGATTGTTACATTTTGGTGCGTCGCTTACATATAATTGTTTCTTATTGGGTGGGTCACCGTCACCACCTAACTTGCGATAGAGGATAGCATACAAGACATGTCTTATTGTATGTACAGCCTTAATTATACGTTAGAGAAGAAACCTACATCAACCGAATATATGGTTTGAACCTGTCACCAAACATTCTCCTGTTAGACTTTGAAAAAGCTACGCACAAAGCCATCGAAACTGTGTTCCCAAACTCACAAGTGCGATGGTGCTTCTTTCATTTTACCCAGTGATGTGACGGCATGTTCACATACTAGGTCTCGTGGGAAATACAAAGACTTTCATCGATTAGTGCAGCTGCACTGCCTTTGGTTCCATCTCAAGGGGAAGGGGATGTCTGGACGAGCTGGATTGCAGATAGTCCTCCTGGGGATTCAGTTGGCAAGTTGAGGAACGGTGTCACAGAGTCGTGGACCGAGGGACCAAACTCGTAGAATCAGGACGTATGGAACCACCACACCAACGGGGAACGTCGGACCAATAATAACCTCGAGGGCTGGCATCACAGACTGACAGCTTTTCCGGAAAGTGCAACGTCTTCGAACATGTGTCTGTTATCAAGAGAGGGCAGTCGCAGTTGAAGCCAGGATGGATCAGGTGTTTGGTCACCGTCGTCATCCACCGAGGAAGAAGAACTTCAGGAACGATCGCAGATCTGAAAACTCAGTTCCGACAGCAAAACCTAACAAATCTGGACCTCCTCGACTCGCAAAGTGCACATGGACTCTCATAAACTGTATAATGAGGGTAAACTTTATAATACAGTACGAAACAGTTTAATTTATTTATACATTTGTTACATGAATTTCATTTAGTGCTTGTCACTGAAGGGGTTTATTGAAAAAATAATGCACCTCTTTATAACATCATTTCCTCTTCCAATATCCCGCCACTTACGTCATAATTCTACTTCCTATGATGTCATCAAACTTTCTTTCACGTCATGACCATCGTCCGTTAATTCTGCCAAAACTTTCCATTTGTACAGAAATTCTCTACTTTTGTAACATTAATTCTATTAAACGGTGGCAATACATGTATCTGTCTTGTGTCTTTACACAGCACTGAACTGTCGAAACTGTTGAAAATATTTGAGTGCATAAACCCATGACCAGCACCGACTGTCGAATAACCAAACTACCTCTATTTTAGATTTTTGACACCTCGGGTCATTCATTGCGAAAGCCCAATAGGACCATATTGGTATTTTGTTTTTTCTCTTTTAAAAGTCATAATTACGAAAATAAAGTCGTAATAACGAGAAAAAAGTCGAGAAAAACAAAATACCAAAATGGTCATTATGGGCTTTCATAGTTCATGACAGGTGGCATGCCGCTTGGAGCGTCAATCAGCAATCCTTGACGGACACCGTCACAAAACACGGACAGGTCAAGCTGTACGTGGCTCTGAATTATTTAATAGTACTTTTATTGTGTGACCCCAGTGCGCCAACTGTGCTAGACGATAAGGTTTTACTTTAACGATTCAACTTTTAACTTTATATTTCTTTATGCTTATAAATTATGTAAATCTGTGTGTACATTTTGTAAACGTATATACGCAAAAGTACGCTGGGGTACCTGCACCAGAGTGGTCATGGCTAAAAATGAACTACAAACTACTAATGGTAAAATAATTTGCAAAACAAAACATTGGAGTGAATTTTGCATTCAAACAGATCGAGGTGCAAACAAGCCGTTTTCTGCATCTTTTTCCCATCTGACAACGTGTCCTTTGCTGTGGACTGCAAGCGTGGATGTTTACATCACGTGACGGTCATGTGCTAGCGAAGTCGACGTGTCAAATGAAAGTCCTAAGCTGGGCCCCGTCTCTAATATCACAATATACAAGTTGACGACGCACATAGGTCCCGGCTTTCAATGTCCACGCGTCACCTCAGAATGCTGCGAGTGGTGACGAATGAAAAAGGGCTCTTGAATTCATCATTCGTGATCCACTCGCCCCTTTCCGTAACCAGCAAGAAGATTGGCTTGTCCCGGAATAACACGAGTTGGTCACGAATGTTGAATTCATAGGTTTCTGCGCGTTCTTCAAAGGAAACCAGTTGTATGTGACGTCACATAAACAACCTGACGCATTACAAAATATTTGTTGCAAGGAAACTGATCTGTTAACGTACATTCTATTGAGTAAATGCTTATCACAAGACATTGGGTGTATTACCTTTCCCCAACTGTTGTTCTGCTCGCCATGATTAGGCCTGGACGCTGCACTGTATCTCGCTGGGGTTAATGAAACAGGTCCAAAGTTTGCTGTCTGCCGATGACCTAGAAACAAGCCAGAGGGTTGTTGTTGCGTGACTCAGCGAATTTAATCTCGCATCATTGCTACGTGAGTTAGGTTTCATACCGCCCCTAACAGGACTCAGGACAGTGATGCTGCTCTTGCTGTACATATGGCTTTATCAAGTTAGATATTTTAATTTGTCTGTCTTGTCATTCCATATACATTAAAGGAAATTTATGTTATTGATAAATTCCTAAGGTGAGGTGAGGTGAAATTGGGTTTAACGTCGCGTCCAAGATTATTGCACTTATATAGCGACGTGCATGCACGTGTATGTGTGTGTGTGTGGCTGCTTGTACTAGTCCGGACTGATGCCGATTTATAGTGCTAGCTCACTGAGATACCATGCCGCAGTTTAACATGAATACCCCACTAAGACACAGTATACTGACCCCGAGCCGACCAGTCCTTGTTTTAGCCCCTTAATGCCGAGTGCCAGACAGGGTAACAACAAGTACAATTTTTTAACGTCTTTTGGTATGACGCGGCCCGGGATCGAACCCCGGACCTTCCGCTCTCCGGGCGGACGCTCTACCACTAGACCACGGAGGCGGACGAAGTTCCTAAGGTGGTGGATAAAACAATAAAATATAGACGCATAACAAAGTCCGACTCCACACAGCTTAATACCAAATTCATACATACACACTCGTGACGGGTCAAGAACTAGCTCTGCTTTGTTGTAAATTTGTGACTGATTCTTTTGCAAGGAGTGATAGCAAAATACAAATAGTATTTTACAGGTATAAATTTATGTCCAAAGAAATTATATTAAACGTTTGTGCGAACAGTATCATACAACTATACATACGAAAACCAAAAAGGGTGGTGTTATCCATACTGATTTGGATTTAGGTGAGTTTGTTTGTTTGTTTGTTGTTTAACGCCGCACTCAGCAATATTCCAGCTATATGACGGTTGTCTGTAAATAATCGAGTCTGGACCAGACAATCCAGTGATTGACAACATGAGCATCGATCCACGCAATTGGGATCGATGACATGCATCAACCAAGTCAGCGAGCCTGACCACCCGATCCTGTTAGTCGCCTCTTACGACAAGCATAGTCGCCTTTTATGGCAAGCATGGGTTGCTGAAGACCTATTCTACCCGTGATCTTCACGGGCCGATTTCGGTAAGTAGTTATAATGGATGTACTAGAGTATGAAACACGCACACACGCACACACGCACACACGCACATACAATGTCGAAGTACATGGAATGTTAATTTCGTATGAATTCTCTAGTAACGGGACACGCTTGTGTTATTTGATACATTTGTGAGCCACAATTGTTTTTCGTATTTTCATATTGTTTCATAAACAAGATTTCTCCATTTGGATTTTTGGAGGAAAAATACCACATTGAACATTGATTGTCTTTCATTTGACAGTGTTTAACGGGACAAGCTTGTGTTATTTGATACGTTTGTGAGCCATAATTGTTTTTCGTATTTTCATATTGAAAGAAAGAGAGATTTCTTTTCAATTGTTGTTCTTCCGTTTGTCATCGAGCCTGCGGCCATGTTTGATGGATTGAATGAAGTGTGGTAATATAATGAGTAAAACGTATTATCGCGGAGAATATGCGACTCATTAGTTACGATTCTACGTCTGTGATTCACCATGTGGGCGATATAGTGCCTTCCACGACAGCCCGCGGGCGTATACCTGATGTTAAACAACAAGCAGGCCATAGCTTTATACATAATGAACATGGACACTTTCAACAGTTTTTTATTGAATAACAGAACAGTGATGTTTATACAATATATCATCTGCCATTGTGACATCTTCATACATCAAGGTACAAAATAAAAAAAGTTCAACACTGTGAAAGTACATTATATTGCAATTTATATGTTTTTGGTTTATTACTTAACGTCGCACTCGGCTTTTTTACGGCGGCCTTAGACTAACATTTAGTCTCTGAATTGAACATATCGTACATAAAAAAACAGTTGTTCAGTTATCTTAATAAAAATATAATAAAAAGGAGCCCAGTGACTCTCTTCATTTCCTGATACTGCAGTGATCTAGACTTGCCAAACATTATAGACTTGCATGGGCTATTTTTGATATATATTTGTATCAGGGTCTGTAGGACAGACTACGGCGGCCTGTAAATAGTCGAGTCTGAAACAGACATTCTTGTGATTGACATGAGCATAGATCCGATGACACATCAACCATGTCAGTGAGCCTGACCACCCGATCCCGTTAGTCGCTTCTTACGACAAGCATGGGTTGACGTAGACCAAATCACACCCGGATGTTCACGGTTTTGCAATTTATAGCATCTCAAATCATAGGTATGCGTACACGAAGGACAAAAAAACTGGCATTGTGTTCTTAAAACATAATGAAGACATGTTCAACGCAATGAATATTGCAGAATGTATTTGCCTTGCATCCTTCATACATATAAACTACGGTAAACCAAATAAAAACTTTATTCTTCTGATTCTATTCCGAACATGACACGGTGGGCAAGTTTATAATGTTATATCTAATCGCATCACACAATATAAATTCTAATATGTCTATTTTAGACCCCTCTTGTTCACGTTACTTGCCTTTACAAAGAATTATAATTTTTCCAAGACACTTTTAGCCAGCTGGCCAGCTGGGATTTTATCAAAATATTCTACTTAGGCTTCTGATTACACGTGTGTGTGTGTGTGTATGTGAGGGGGGAGGGAGGGGGGGGGGGGGGGGGGGGGGGGGGGGGTGGAGGATATTGTCAGCCACAAACATTACATTGTTGCAAGGGAAGATTTGTTGAAAAAGAATAAATATATCGGCTCAAAGTTTTTATCCAAAAATATATCTGGTTTCGCGGCTGTTGTTGAATAAAATATCCAGCCTCCATACAAAATCACAGCACTACCTCTCCCCCTTCCCGGTCCCTTAATAGCAGATTAAGTTGAATGGTTGTTTTTGTGGCCCAACATATTGATATTACATATTGAATATATTATTACATATAAGGCATCATGAACATTAGATATGAAACATGACAGTAACATCTTGTCTCTCAGAAATGAAGAACAATGACAGACAAAACAGTTAATATCTCAATAAAATATATTAATAAGGAGCCCAGAGACTCTCTTCATTTTCAGAAACTGCAGTAACACAGATTTGACAACTGTTATAGACTTGCATGGGCTGTATTGGATACATTTGAAAAAAAATTGAAATACAAATGAAACATGAGTATTGGAGTGAGTGAGTTGGGTTTAACGCCGTATTTCAGTTATATCACGGCATGTCAGCTTAAAGTGGGAGGAAAGTCTGAAGTGATACAGGTCTCAGACGTTTACCACTTCGGTGAAATCCTCGAGCACGGGTATGGTGCTGACAAACCTAGAAACATTATCGGGGCGAACGGGGATTCGAACCCACAATCATAGGTCTCTTGTGTGCCCAAGGGACGCAACTCTGCATAGCGAATCGCGGCGCCTTTAGACGACTGGCCACCCGTGCCCCCTCATAAGTACTGGAAGTTTGTCTGCGACACAACCAAAGTTCAGTGATCATGTACCAGAGCCCACACTACAACACCCAGTAGTAAACGCTGACAGCCATGAGGATAGCAAACACAGACAGCGTGACCATTCTCCTCCTCAAAAAAGCTTCATCATTTCCAAAATCAATAACTTGCGGATGAACTGTTTTCAGAAAGTCCAGTCGGAATTTGGGAGCTTCCATGACCTTGCTGTCATCCATTGATTCTGAATAGGGAAGGACTCCGGCCAGTTGTTTGGCTTCTTTCGTTCTGGCCGATGGGGGGTGTTCTGTTAGAGGGTTTGGATCTTCGGGGGCATAAGGGGGAAGTTTTTCCGCTAACAGTCCTATCCCATTGCTCGGCCAATGGGTTGTCATGCGCAGTTCCTCATATGCCATTTGCTTGGTTTGCAGGGATTCCTTGTCAGCCCATTTGGCGGGAGTCATGCAGACGAATACTACATAGCGCCACCTACCGGGGTTCATCCTTCCTTTGATAACACGAGAATTGGCATGGACGAGACGAGAGTCCCACAAAATCATCCCGCCTTTCGGAACAGTCACTCTGGTTCTCCTGAGCCCTCGCTCCTCGGTGAAAAATTCGATATCCTCATCTCGAAGGTTCTTAAAGCGCCATGTTGGATTGTCCTTCCTTTTCATAATACCGTAGTCGCTTTCCTCGTAGTACCGATCATGATATTCGTGAGTACCTTCAATCGCCTCGAACGCCCAGTCATCCTCATCGACCGTCTCGAGATACACAGCACCTTGATAGGCGTGTAGCCCCTCCCTCTCCGGCCCTTGATCTATGTGCAGCCAGTGCCGCCCCGGGGACTGGAAATCCTCCTCTCCATCCTCTGGGGGACGCCCAATAGCTATGGCATCCATGCTGCTCAGAAGTTTCTCCGTACCCCACACCTCCTCAAAGACCTTCTTGGCTTTAAGCCTCACGGCCCAGGTCGGTTCCATGTGTCCAACTTTGTACCTCTGAATTAGGGATTTGATCGAGTGGGGCCAAGTGCCCTTGAATGTTTCCAGCCAATCAGAGTACATTCCTCGATATCTTTCTGCATCTTCATTGGTTAATACGTTCTCAACAACAGTATAACCCTTGACCCTCAGGTCCTCCCTGTGTTTATCGGTGAACATCTCCAGTGGTCTGGAAGAAACAAGGACATAACTGCAGTAATAAATGTGTCAAAGAACCAAGATAATCGTAGATTTGAACGATTTGAAAAAATAATATAATATAAAATAATATAGATCTTATCCATATTCTGGCATCTTCAAGTCTCTAAAAAGTGGCATGCAAAAGTTATGTTTAATTTGACATTTCGATGCTTGCCGTAAAAGGCGACTACGCGTGTCGAAAGAGGGCGACTAACGGGATCGGGTGGTATGGGTCGCTGACTTGGTTAATGCATGTTATCGTATCGTGATGCGTGGACCGATGCTCATGATGTCAATCACTGGACTGTCTGGTCCAGATTCTATTATTTACAGACCGCCGTCAAAGAGCTGGAATACAGCTGAATGCGGCGTTAAGGGGGTACTGATCTAAAGCAATTCCCCGGGACTGGTTGTTGCCTTTGTTATTGTTTTTTCCCATGAATACCCGGATGATACAGTAGAAATCTAGACTAGTTCGCGACCTGTGCTACGCAATTCGCAAGCGCATTTGTCACTTTTATTGATAGTATAACGGTGTGTGGTCACATTGATCAATAAAATGAAATACAGTTTTGGAAATAATAATAAAATGTAGGTATCTTTGTGGGTAGCATCGGTTATGGTGACGAAGTTTTGATAAGTCACTTTCTTGGTAATTGTGCGATTTTCGTTTACACTATTTTGACTTGCAACACAAAGTAAATATTTCTCCTGGGTATTGCTTATTTTATCGTGTTTATATTTTTACTGTCAAAATGTGCACAATTTTCACTTAGGAAATTTATCAAACGCCTAAATATTCAGTTTTTTTACAAATTGACTTAAAAATATGTCTATCCGTATTATTATAAAACGAATTCCAAAGATTTTTATGTTTATTATCATCACCAAGAGACTGTAAATATTACGATGAAAAGTACATTTCTATATTGTTTGGCTCCTAATCCAACCTACATAATAATCTATTGTGATGTTTTAGGACCTTTTGATCGTCTTAATCAATTTTAGTCATTCTGTTAAAGAAATGAACAGATTTTTCAGTCAAAATGACTGAAATATTTACACATTTTTATAAATTGCCTGAGAGAATCACATTTTACAAATTGACTAATATATACACGCTTACAAAAAAAAAGACTTGTGAAAACAACGTCTGTCGCGCATCGAAGAATTTCCCAACCAAGACGTAGAGGTACAAGAATGAATCTGTCCAATGCTACAGCAAATGAAGGAAAACAAGACAAATATCATAATTATAACCTGCCAAATTTATGTGTATAATTTTAGGCAGCTTCCTTGTTCGAGGAATGTATCCGTGAATATCCACACAAAGGAACAATATCCCACACGTCTGCAGCTGTACAAAGAAATTTATTCGATCTCACGTGTCTCTGTAACAATCAAATATTTTAAAATATATATATCGTTTCGGGATATTCTAACCCGTGTTCGTTTCTCAACTGATCACTTAGATTGTTTCAGGTGTTTCACATAGGTGTCAAGTTTCAAAAGTCGGCTGAGAAAGCCCACGTGAGAACTATTTTCATAACGTTCACGGTTCCTAAAAAAATCCATTGAGTTAGATAACAATGAGCAATCAATCAACGTATTATCGGTTAACCCTTTGAATAAAGTACAAATGTATGTTGTTTTTACATCGGCACTTCACGCCATGACATGAGTGTATGCCTTTGTTTTAGTAAACCTAGACATGTAAACACTCACTTTTGACATATCCACCGTGCAAGATAACAGTGATTAATCAATCAACATATTTTTTATTAATCCTTTGATGACTAGGAACGATCCGTTGATTCACAAAAAAGTATATCAACTGATCATTCATCTCTTGCTGGGCTGCCACGTGCATATTACATAACACACATTTCACCTCACTTCAAACCTGTATTTAGATTGAATAATTACCCCAGACACCATAAATGCCAAATGGGAACCTTTGTCAGGTAATCTGAGTGGTGCTACCACTAAATATACCTGTAATAAATTCATTCACTGAGCATCAAGTGAATGACGACAAATACACAATCGAGGGTTATACCAGAAAACGTGGATGACAACAAGGGAGTAGTAATCGTATTATCGACGCAATCCGAAATCCGAAAATGCTTTTACTGCATGGATGCTTTTTTTATGATTAAACTATAACCATCTGGGGTATTTCCAAAAAACGACATCCGATGAGCTCCGCCGTTTGTTTAGGCTGAAGAAATTAATTAATTTTTCGAAATCTTTATAGATCACGGTTAACCAAACAGTGATCCAAAATGCGTAAAACAAATATTGCCTCTTGTCACGCTCAGTTGCGTTGCGTATCATCCGGGTACTCACGGGGAAAAAACAAAAACAAGGCAACAACCAGTCCCGGGGAATTGCATTAGATCAGTGCCCCTAACAACAAACAAACAAACAAACTCTCTCTCTCTCTCTCTCTCTCTCTCTCTCTCTCTCTCTCTCTCTCTCTCTCTCTCTCTCTCTCTCTCTCTCTCTGCGGGTAAAGCTCCTATCGAAGGACTTACTTCTCGTAACAGTGTTCAACATAAGACATACACTTGTGCGGGACATATTCACACATCGATTGCTGATAATAATAAATGTGATATCTCACCTGTTACCCATGCAGCGGTGTCTCGACAGAAGACAGTTATGGCACTGTCCCAACAACGTAATCGTTTTGTTGAATGCGTACAGCACTGCTGTGGCGGATATTCTCGACTACAGCCAAGTGTAACCTGGTATATATAGCAAGGACCGGGGAGTGTCGTCATTATACCTTGTAACCAACAGATAGCTGCCAAGCGGTAGAGAGTGACGTGGTCCAACGCTCACCGTACACACTCCATCGTCGCTCCCGTCAGTGTAACCCACGTGTTTATTACCTTTCACCTGAATACCAATCGATAATTTCATACCCTATGTCAGGGTTTATGTCTGTTTTAATATATATATGATGATAGGTGTTGGGTAGGTATTGGGGTGGAGTATGAGTTTATTGGGGGGTGGGGTGGGGGGTAGGATATTCGTGACGGTGGGGTGATGGTAGGAGTGAAAGTTGCGGGTAGTGATAGGGTACAGACTGAAGCCTAGGATGTGGGTAAGCGTAGTGTGAGAGTCGGGGTGTGGCTGGGGTCGTATTGGGGGAGGGTTGTGGGTGGTTGGATGCATTTTGGGCTGGCGTTAGTTTTTAGTAAGGAACTGTTTGATCGATTTTTCAACAACAAAAATGTAAAAGTGAAATAATTATATTTATAATGACGTATTACATGCATGTTCATTCCCATTCTAGTTACAACTGTCTCAATTCAGACTGTGTCGATAAGAAATGTTAGTGAGAAATTAATGTCTTTATTTTTATTTTTCAAAATTTATATCTCAACATTTTTTGGCGTTTTAATGTACGTATGCCTTACACTCACGTACATGTTAATAAACTATTTTGAGATAACTAGGACCACTATATATAAACATTCGTCAGTATAGATTGCGTCACCTTGCAACACGTCATTCTAATGTTGGTGTGAACAGTGACAAGTTCAGACTTGTTGATATATATTTACACTTAAAGATACATTATTTTGCTCATTTATCACACTGATTTGTAAAACATAATTACATATACTTGACATATTTCCTCATTGGTATTCTTTTAAAGCAAAAAGTAGACCAGGAATCCATTTTTTAAATTATCAGAGGGTTGTCATTTTGCGAAAAAGAAATGAGAGTGCTCTCCCTTTCGTGCACTTTGCACCCTGTCCAACTTGTTCATAATCACGTTGACGCTCTGTGTGTGCACAGGTAGGTCAGTGTGTAGGATTATGCACGGATTTTTACGTTTTACGTGATTCAAATACATTATCCTCTGTTGTATTCTTTCATAATATCACTTATTTCATAACTTCTTCGAACGAGGACCAATGACGAGTATGCTACCGCATGTTTTTCTCAGTTTTGTACATGCCAGATATATCAGAAGAAGCGTTCGTAAAATATCGCTGTTCCAGTCCGTATAATCATCGATTAGACATCCTTATCGTGACAGTAATTGTGGAACAGTATTACAGTTATATCACGGCATGTCAGCTTAAAGTGGTAGGAAAGCCCGAAGTGATGCAGGTCTCAGACTTTTACCACGGTGAAGCGCGGGTATGTTGGTGCTGACAAACCTAGAAACATTATCGGGAACCGGGATTCGAACCCACAATCATAGGTTTCTGGCGTGCCCAAGGGACGCAACTCTGCCACCCTTGCCCCCTATTGTAGAAAAAACTAGCATAGAAAATGATATGTCAGTTCAAGTGTAGTATCCTTGATTATCTTGAATGTATGATCTACTCGGGAATATATATAATCCTGGTATTAGATCTATACATGTATATTCCCTCATCCAACAACACATTATTTTTTCTAGACTTTACCTCAAACTATTTTGGCGGAACCTCCGGTCAAACTGGACAATCACCGTTTTTTATATATTAAATTCATGTTGAGACATTTGTTTGACATATGATAACAAATATAACTATTAACTAGCATACATCTGTAACAACTGATAATGCCACTCAAGATTGCAGGAAGGCCCAGGTTATTGTTGAAACAGCACGTTGAAAAGGGTAAAAGGGTACGTGTCATACAATTGGGTTTTGTAACTGTACATACATATTTGTACGCAAGGAACACAAAATGTAGGTAGGTATTTCTTCTTTTAGATTTGTATAATTCACAGGCATTCGCAGTTGCCCCCCCCCCCCCCCCCCCCCCCCCCCCCACCGGATTTTCTATAGAAAACAGTTTTATTTGAATCATGGAAATACAAGTTGGGGACAAGTGATACTTGTACAATGTTTGCCCCCCCGTCGTAAAAAGTTAACCACGGCCTTGAGAAAAGTAAGTTCCTACGGTAGATGATAACCAGATGACGAGAAAGGACAGTCATAGAAATGTTCATGTTTCTATCCACAGGAGACTACTGATGTAGATGGTTCTCAAGGTCGGTAGATGCTGCTGACGTGTGACTGCATGAATAAACAAGATGGCTTCAGGTTTCAGATTGTAAGACGACATCACATGTGTGATTAAATTTTAAAATTAATAAAAAGCATATTTGGAAACGTTTGTGATTCAACAAAGACTGAAATTTTTCATGCGGTTTAATTGAAGGGATACGGGCATTGTCAGGTTATAAATTAGTTGCAAGTTATTTCCTGACATCTGATTGGCTAACCAAGCAATTAGTTTTTTCCCTTTGTGTTGCCCAAAACCTAAAAATATTAGGCTGTGCCCACGAGTGGACTACTGTTTCCTGATTGGCTGGTAGTAAAGTGGGTGGAGCTTGTGCTGCATTATAGGATTTTACTGATTCCACATCTTTATGTTCAGTTTTCTGTTTAATGATTAAATAAGCATTGTTGACTTATTTATTCATATGGATTGCCACTTGTTTTGTAAGAACTGTGGCATGTACATGGAACTCTCATCTTAAAGGGAACATTGATTATATAATGAATGGGCTGCTGATTTATTCATGGCATGTACACCACCTGAAATGTATTGAAAAATAATAATGTATGTAAACAATCTTTTGTGTTGCAGAATAGGACAACAGTTGGGTTACACCAGAAAATTCCTGTCACCGTCTTCTGTTCGAGTTCAAATCCCCGGAGGGTTTCCATACGAAGCCTTTGATGGGGCTGGTAATTATCTAGTTATCTTGTATAATATGGGTATCGGCTCGGGGACTTTGTTGGTGGGACCTTGCTTCTGTTTCCTACTTATGTGAATATTTACTTCACATTTCTCCAGTCTAGTTGCAGATTGCAGAGTCGCAAATTGTATTCCCACCAGTATTTGTTAAGCAATGTTAACATTTTAAGTATTCGTTTTTAAAATCTTGTTTGTGTTAAATAAAGCCACTTTTGACTAGTCAGAAATATTATTTCAATTTTGCTTTGCAATTTTCATTGTTATTTATGCCTTTTTAATGTCTAGATGTCTAGTGCCATGGTTTTATGCTCATTGGTGTATTTCTACTTTCCATGTTAACCTGTACTTGTGTCTGTATTCATGTCGCCGATTAGCCTTTCTTAAATGTAAACAAAAATTTCAAATCGGGTAATAAAGCCTTATCTTATCTTATCTTATCTTATCTTATCTTTCTAGACTGCATTTTGGATACATGTTGTGACAACTCCTATACATTTTCCAATATTCGTTTACTATATCCCACATCACTAGAAGGGTGGACGGGCGAATGAGTTGAACAAGAGAATAGGAGCTATTTTCTTTTAAATAAATTTTTGACAAATAGGAAAGTGCGTTCATTATAAGCGTTATAAAGATCCGCATTACATCCATTTAAACATGTCACAAACAATATAGGTTGGTTGGTTGGTATGTTTGTTAACGCCGCACTCAACGATACTCCAGCTATATGACGGCGGTCTGTAAATAATCGAGTCTGGACAAGGCAATCCAGTGATTGATATCATGAGCATCGATCCTCGCAATGTGGGATCTATGACATGCATCAACCAAGTCAGCGAGCCTGACCACCCGATCCCATTAGGCGCCTTTTACAACAAGCATAGCAGCCTTTTACGGCAAGCATGTGTTGCTGAATACTTATTCTACCCCGGATCTTCACGGGTCCCAACAATATAGGAACAAGAGAAATAATTAACATGGTAAATTTGTCTGGGCCAACTTTATTATTTACAGGACGCTGTCATATAGCCCGAATTGTGGTGACCGTGGCTTTAACAACACTTCACTGTACTCGAAGAGAATTTATCGCAAAGTCTCGCTTTTTGCTTGTTTTAGTAAAAGGGCCACAATGTCCCTTCGGGGATTAAATACTATTGTGCAACATGGTATGTTTCAGCTCGAATACGCCCATGGTCCGTCCTGCATCTGATCGACTCCGCACGAGTGTACTTCTGTATCCCAACCATCGATGACACAGACAGATCGTTTATTGATTTCCACCTGTTGTGTCAAAACAACCTTCCTTTCATAGTGTCACTGAAACTTGAAATAGCCCCAGCGTTATATGACGTATCAATTCCGAAAGCACCTATCATCGTAGACACGTATTTGTCCAACATCGGCAATTCATCATTGGTCCTCGCACACAACGTCATGCATCCAGACATTGCACAACCACTCGCAAAATGCTGGATCCAGAACGTCTTCGTTTCCAAGACATCCCGACAACCCGAAAATATCCCTCAGGAATATAAAGAAACATATGGCCAGTTGTGTGAGGATGGGAAACCGTTAATAATAAAGCCCCTTTCAAAACCAGCCAACAGGGATTTAATTTCATCCGTTGATATGAGAGTTTATGGAAGCGATACTGACCCGAATCTGCATACGAACTACATAAACTATCTTCGGTACTGTCTGAATGGTCTTGCGGCTATAGCGCACAGAGAGCTTTCTGCAAATAAACCACCACATGACCTTAATCATTACGTTAAGTCAGCGTCCATGCTCTATCAAAAGGAGAGTTTGGTCGGGGATGAACTGGTAGTTGATGTGTGGAAAGATGGAGGAAACAGTGATGCTCTCAATTTTGAAATTTTGAAACAGGATTCGAGGTTGTTTCAATCTAAAATTGAATTGCACACTGATGATATATGTAAGTAGGCTAGGTTTGACCTGTATGAATGGTGTGTTATTTCACAGGATGGACACAGCCACTGTAACTGCAACTCCTTGTTATTGGAATTATTATCACTAAAAATGCCAGGGTTGTTTTCGGGTGTATCACCAAAAATTAAATCTGGAAATGTTAAAGAACAGTATATTTTAATGATTTTTGTACAAGAGCTGTCGTATCAGAATGAATTTAAAAAGAAAATGATATGATGATATTAAGGAAAGTAATAAAGAAAGTGACTCTTCTACATCTTCTTTGTTTAATCTGCATCTGTTTTAGTGATTGCTGAGTGTTTTGCCCTTTCATCATTTTACGTGTTATGATTCAATGATAACAATGATAGTTCATATGCCGGGTCCATCAAGACCCGTTTTAAGACCCGTGAAGATCCGTTTATAATAGGTCTTCAGCAACCAATGCTTGTCGTAAGAGGCGACTGACGGGATCGGGTGGTCAGGCTCCCTGGCTCCCTGGTTCCCAATTGTGTGGATCGGTGCTCATGATATCAATCACTGGATTGTCTGGTCCAGACTCGATTATTTACAGACCGCCGTCATATAGCTGGAAAATTGCAGAGTGCGGCGTTAAACAACAAAAAACAACAACAAACCATTAGTTTTTAGGTGGGTAACAAGAAAAACAAATATAGCAGGCTCGATGTTATGAAATCTCATTATAAATTTTATCAGTTACGTATAATAATATGTGTACCTGGAGGGGCACGTTGAGATCTGATCGGTTTTCACTGCCATGTACGTGCGTTGCGTGGTATTTCTCATGGGACTGATTCTTGTGGAGATCTTGTATTCTGATGACATAGCCAGGCAGAAACCGGGGAGTTGTTTTCGACAATAAAGTCACACTCTTTTACTTGCTTCACGGACGTTTTACGGAAAATACCCATCGGTAGGTGAAAAAAGTAATTCAGAATTTCTGTTAGTTTTCTTATCCACTACAAGTAGGGTGGAACAGAGACCATATAATACGGTCTCTGGCTGGAACACACAAAAAATCTTCAATGTGGGAAAAGAGCCTACAACACAGCTGTTGCTATACCCGGAATCCCGTGTGCTTCAATATGAAGTGTTGTCGCTAAATGGACTTGTAAAACCACGGAAGGGTGCTGACAAACCAAGAACCATAAGCATGGCGAACCGGGATTCAACCCCACCCACGATTGTATGTGGTTCCTGAGACTCTTATTAGGACTAATACTTTACAGACCAATCGCTGCGCTTTCGGTTTGTGGTTTGTGGTGTGGTGCTGGTTCTGCAAGGCATGGATGAGACGCGGCAGTTTCAGCGCCCATGACTTAACCCTGTCCTTGAAGGGGCCGGACTGCACGGACATGGTGGTGTTCAGCAGTAGATAGTGTTCCCCTGGCTCCGTGAACGCAGGCCAAGTCTGGTTCAGGCCAAACCGTACAGCGTTGTTGGGGTCACTGAAATGTAGAAATAGGCCTCAACAGTTGCAGGTCACTTGAAGTACAGGGATTCATAGATGAACTGATCTGTGTTTTTGTAAATATGTCACAAGATGCAGGTGAGCTACATAACCTTGCATTATGTCATCGGGGTAGTGTTGTACAGATGTGTACTTTCTGTATTTTACATATTTTGTCTCATATATTGTCGGTTTACGCCTGATTGTCACGTGTTCCGGTGGTATGTTTACCATGTTTACAAAATTATTCACCCGTTCCTAGCAAGGAGACACATGTGGTCAGGTTGTCAAGGACGCAACAATTGCCCACACGAATGCATCAACAGTTGAGCTTTGTGGCATGTTTAAGGTACTTCAATCATAAAGGGAGACTTCTTGGGTCATGTGTTACTTTGTCTGCCACAATACTGTGTATTCCGGAGAGTTCAGCCTTTTCTTTTAGTGTATTTACAAGTCACCCATTCATGCAAAGCAGGGAGACATGTCTTGACGTGTAGCCAACTTTACCTTGACAGTGAGAAACATTACTCTTAATATCAGTCCCCGTTTGTCTGGCTCTGACTAGACGATGTAGAGGCTGGAATACTGAGTGTTGGGGTAAACAACAAACAAACAAGATCATGCTCTCTCTGTTCCTACAAAACTGACACCTCCATTCCATATCCGCAAGTTCACAACTAGAAAAGGAACCATCCTTGTATAGGCTTTTGGAAAACCTACCCATATCTTGTGAAATCTGTCAGCAGTCCCATCAATGTATGTGAGAGCTCCTTTTCGGATTTGTCTGGTCCGGTTAGTCCACTCGGGAGCACTTTAGAAACCGCAGCCAAGATGGCTTTAATAAGTGTAATACGTGTCTTCGGCATGATCTATCCCTTTGCCATGACCGGGAATAAAGGATGGTATGTGGTCAAACACATGGTATGTGGTCTTCTTTCCTGTCTTCAAGTGTCTGGTCAGCTTTGCATGAGCCCTCGCAAAGAGCGTCACGGGGACGACCATCCCAGCATCACCAAGAGTGTTCATTACTGCCTGGAGATCAACGGTAGGACTGTGAGGCGGGAGATACACCTTAGCCACGGCCTGTGTCATGTCGGGAGACGATGCACCGAAATAAAGCTCCAGAATCTCTGGGATGAAGGTGTTAATGTAGAATCCCTTGTTCTGAACCGATGAGGATAAGGACGTGTTGAACTCTTTATCAGCCGCTTGTGCCATAACATTAAGGATTCCCCCTTCATTGCTTACAACCGACACCATGCAGTCAAGATTTTGAAGTCCTACCTGTTCCAGGTAACTTGGAGAATTAATTAAAACCAGTGGATCGTCTTTGCCAAACTCCCCATCAACTGTAGGTACAAACTATTATTCCCCTAAAGCAGTGACCGGTTCATTTCCCATTGGTCACGATGCTGCAATCAACGCCTTGGCAGGGATAGTCCTCAGACAGGTGGTCATTGATGCGGTATCGTTCTGGGAGGAACAGTTTACCTTATGGGCCAGTTCTATTGCATATTTCAGAGAGTTCCGTGTATAAGCCCCGAGACAGACCCGCTCTGCATGATTGTCCTCCGGAACAAACCCTTGGACCCTGGATACAAGGCCTGGAATGCCACGCTGGCGGACCCTGCTGATTCTCCCATGATGGTAATGCTGTTGATAACCCCGCCAAAAGATGCAATGTTTTTCTTGACCCATTCCAGAGCAAGATGTTGGTCCCAGAGACCATAGTTTCCCCTTGACACGTCATCGTTTGTGCTGAGGAACCCGAGCGGCCCCAGACGATATTGGATGGTTACTACTATAACCTGTTCAGCCCCAACGATCAATAAAGGGTCAAAGGTGAAAGCATCCCCGGAAATAAATCCCCCTCCATGTATCCAAACAATTACAGGATTGTTTTTGGTTTCCGTAAGTGATGCTGGAGTGAATACATTCAACGTTAAGCAATCCTCGTCCCCAGTAACACCATCATTACCATAGAACTGGAGAGTCTGAAGGCACGATGGACCATATGAGTTGGCTTTGAAGGTGTGGTTAAATCCTGGATGGGGCTGTGGTTGGTTGAACCGCCTAGCCCCTGTAGGCGGAACTACGTAGGGGATTCCCAGGAATGCATGGTAAGGTGTTCAGTCTTCTGTGACGTTCGTGGTCCCCTCAACTGCGTCCCATGGGGCGTCGACGACAGGTTGGGCGTTTAGGTGTTGGAAGGTGAACAGCAAGGCGAACACCCCAATGACTGACACTGTATTGTTTCAAAGAACGAACGCACTCTTGAAGCTCGGGTTATTTTATGTGCCAGTCATGCATTCGCTATGTTGGGAAAAAACAGTTGTTTTTCAAGATGCCCTTATTCATAACCTCTCCCTTATCTGCACAACTGAATGTGCCACTACAATGTGCCATGTACATTTGCACACATGATAGTGACTTGGGATGTAAGCCCCTTTGAACTGAATTACAGTTATGGTGTACACACATGTCATGGCAGTCACAAACAACGTTTGTTTCTCGTCATCTACCGATCCAAAGAACATTTTGCATGCTTTAATTCGTTTCCGGTTCCGCATTAATATTCCCTTTCAAAGTTTTCCCTTCCAAAGTTGCACTTTTGACTAACCTGCGCAGACGATATGGGTTTTTGGTGATTTTTGTGGCGCAAATACCAGGAAAAACTGCGAGGCTTTGAATTAAGCCTTAATAGGCAGTCGTTTTGCTACAATTCCGTTTGCAGTGTTTGGGAAATCGAATAAAAAAAAGAATTGAAGTTGTATCTTGCTACAGCCATTGCTTTTGGTTTAAAGAACAATATAAAGAAGAAGGTATCACTTATTATTTTCATTCAAAACGACTGAAATGTTATACTTACGTCTGTAGAGCAGTGGATTTATTAATAGGGAAAATATTGTTTATTGCCCCTCAAAAACATTGTTTCATTCACTCGTAAAAGTGTTCAGTGACAACGTGTTTGCCACATTCCCTATTTTATTCACAAATCGCCACATGCAAAAGTGGGTGTGGTTCACAACAAACTTCGTTGACCATCGGAGAAGTCTAGATTCATTCGGAGTAAATCGGGCGGTTCCGTATCCGCAACAGCTGTAGTGTTAACGGAGGCGAAAAGGCAATGCAATTTGATATTCCGATTGCAGCAAGTGCGTGTACAAAGATGGCGTCTAACACAATGTGCAGAGTGTTGGCTCTCCTTGCTTTTGCAAGTATTGCATTAGCTGGGAAAAGAACGTTGATTTTAGTCGACAACTGGGCCATCAGAGAAACGCATTCAACGTTTTTCAGATCATTAAGAGGTAAGGAATCATGCACAACTGACATAGTTGTTAGAGATACATTGCCGGCGAACAGACCGGTGACACGTATATGGGGAGAAATCGATGAGAGTGAAGAACCATTTTGCTTGTGGGCCCTTTGCTCAACATTTTGAAATTATCTCTGAATTGTGCTTTGCTGTTTTGTTTCTTCACATTGTATTTACTTGGTTGACCATGATGTTATTTCTTGAAATAATTTAGAAAATATAATGAATGGATTGGTCAGTACAACGACTGCTCCCATTGCGGAGCATGGCTGTGGATGCATCTTTTGAAGAATACATTTAATATCTAGCAAAAACTTGAATCTTAAAGAAATAATCAGCCACTGACCAAAATCTTATATATTCACATTATGATTAGTTTTAAATGCTTGTCATAGTCATTGTATTGCAACTAAATAGTAAGTTTTCTGCTACTGTGAGAGGGTGTGTGTTTATTTTCTACACTTCTTATTCAGTAATCTTCTGTTAGATTAACTTAGGATAGCCAGTTGTCCCCAACCTGTTATGGCTTGTCGTAAGACAAAGAAGTGGCTAAATTTGTGCTCAGACTAGTTTGAGGGTTGATAATATGTGTCAGACCTAGTTGGACATGGCTTGGAATGTCCAACCACAGGTTGATCTTGCACAGATTCGATTACAGGCAGCAGTAATGTTGCTAATATTGTAATAAATCCTGGAATACTGCTGAATGCTGCATACTTAAACTAATGCTGTATTTACCACATATGACTTTGTCATACACAAGATACAAGAGATCTATCTTGTCGTGGTATTTGATTTGTAATCTGTTTTGAGTTGTTTAGTGATACATTAGTCATGTTAGTGAGCCAAATTGTCAATTTAGGTATGTTTTCTCCACAACAATCATTACCTGATTTCCATATCATTTAATTATTTTCAGATATTGGATTTGACCTGACATTTAAACTAGCTGATGATGGAAGCCTGGCCCTGGTCAAATATGGTGAATTCCTGTACGACAATCTCATTATCTTCTCTCCCTCTGTCGAAGGTAGGTCTCAACCTCATTTGGTCATCAATCCAAACAAACACTTGTGTTTCAGGTCACCTGACTTAACCCGATGTTTTTATCAAAGCTGGAAACCCATGCTTATTATTTGAAAAATAATCAGATGTTTCCACAAAATATACTTGGAGAAACAGTTTTAAGCATTGTTGATAAAATCTTGAACCCTACGTTCCAAGCCGAACCTGTTGGTTATACAAGAATAATACATCTGTTTACTTTCCATGCTTTATGCAGTCAAGTAAAGTGGTGCTTGTAGGTGAAGATACCATGAGTCACATCCAACTGTAGTCCGTTTGCTATCTGGGCTATCTAGATCTATCTAACAATCTAGATAGACTTGTTGTTTTATCCCAAAATTATTTTATCACTTGTCCGAAATGATCTAGTTGGATGTGACCCATGGTGTCTACCCTGGACACATAGTGAGAAATGTAATCTTGTAATTTATGGGATTGTTTTGTGTGTCAAGCTAAAAAGGCTGAAAAACAAGAGGATGTTGCTATTGACACAATTGTGTTTAAATTGTATTGTTGATTTTGGATTTTTTGTAACTTGTATGGCATGTATGATGATAATAATATGCAATCAGATTGTGCATTTCATTTTGTGATAGGCGATATAGTAATACTAGCTTTTTGTCATCAACTTTGAAGATACTACTTTCGAAAAATGATACGCCAGTGATACACAGTTATAGTATGATTGGATACATTGGTACAGGCATACTGTGTATCCTAGCAGGGTGGGTGGCACTACAGCCTTATGTATATCCTGTTTGTAGAGTTTGGAGGCAACCTTGATGTGGCAGCCATCACAAGTTTCATTGATGGAGGAGGAAATGTTCTCGTTGCTGCCAGCTCGGCTATCGGTAAGTTTATCGTGTTCATGTAAAAGTTTGACTGTCCCTTTGACATGTTTAGTAAAACATTTTTTCCCAATAGTTTTCACCACAGTGGAAATATTATCATCGCGTTGAAAACTAGGTGGAAATATTATCACCGCGGTGGAAATAGTTTTCTGTATTTTCATTTTAGTTTTTGACATTTTCGTTTCACTTTTCAGCGATTCAATATCTTCTTAACACATGATTTATCACATATTTGTAAGACAAACCGTGTTAATTTGCAATAGGTTTCGATAAAAGTAAGTGAAATATCAAAATATGGAAAAACAGACTATCGGTAAGTTTATCATGTTCCTGTAAAAGTTTGACTGTCCCTTTGACATGTTTAGTAAAACATTTTTTTCTGGGTTATTGGTAATGCTTAATGTCACAGGGATTTGCCAATATCAGGTAAGGTCCGTGAGAGCATGTTTACTTTGCAAACCCCACGAAATTGGCAAGTAAAAAGGTATCTCGCTAGCCAGGCTGTATAGTGCTGTTGAAAATTTATTTCTCTCACTGTTGTCGGTCACCAATTTGTTGCTTTTGACTTGATAGAGAGAGGGTTATCTCTTATTTCCAAATTATTTAATCGTTAGATATGATGTATAGAATACCACAGAAGATAATCCAAGCAAAAGATTTTGTTAAAAAGGGTGAATTTTTATGGAAAGCTTGGATTACGATGCACAGAAAAAAAATTCCAGCTGCCAAGATGGCGCGAAAAAGAGTGAGTGATGAGTTACTGGGCTTGGTCACATGGTTCTGGTGCGCATGCACGAAATAAGGGTGCGTTAGGGTCAGCTGTTTTCTCTGTTCTGTGGGAACAGCACAGGAAGTTTCAACTACCAATTGGAAGAGAGAGAGATAAGCAATAAGTATGAGTCAGGATAAGTATAAATGATATTTTTACTCTAAAAAATACATTTTCATGCTTGCCCCTTGTTGTTCAGGCGACCCACTGCGAGAGCTCGCAACTGAATGTGGTGTGGAGTTTGATGATGAGAGGACGGCCGTCATTGACCATCTCAACTATGACGTGTCCGACCTTGGCAAGGTGAGCAGTTCAACTAAGTAAACACTCACTACAGATACAATGATATGTCAATGCGCTGGTAAACTGGCCTCTTGACCGCCTCCGTGGTCTAGTGGTAGAGCGTCCACCCGGAGAGCGGAAGGTCCGGGGTTCGATCCCCGGCCGCGTCATACCAAAAGACATTTAAAGATGGTACTTGTTGTTACCCTGTCTGGCGCTCGGCATTAAGGGGCTAAAACAAGGATTGGTCGGCTCGGAGTCAGTATACTGTGTGTGAGTGGGGTATTCATGTTAAACTGCGGCATGGTATCTCAGTGTGCTAGCACTATAAATCGGCATCAGTCCGGACTAGTACAAGCAGCCACACTCACGTACATGCACGTCGCTATATAAGTGCAATAATCTTGGACGCGACGTTAAACCCAATTTCACCCCACCTCACCTAACTGGCCTCCTGTGATCGCTGACTGGCTTGATGCATTTTGTCATATCTGAATCGCGTAGATTTATGCTGATGATGTCAATCATTGCATTGTCTGGTCCAGGGGCACAGGTGGCCCAGTCATCTATGCCGCAGCAATTCGCTGTGCAGAGTTGCATCCCTTTGGCGTACCAGAAACCTGTGGTTGTGAGTTGGAGTCCCAGACCACCCTGATTATGTTTCTAGGTTTGTCAGCACCATACCCATGCTCATAGGTTTCACCAAAGTGGTAAACATTTGAGACCTGTATCACTTCGGGCTTTCATCCCAAATAAATTGCCAAGAAGGATGGAAAGGAAAGGATTGTCTGGTCCAGACTTGATTATTTACAGCCCAATGCTTCGCTCGTCACGCCGAAGGCCCGGGTTCGATTCCCGACATGGGTACAATGTGTGAAGCCCATTTCTGGTGTCCCCCGCCGTGATATTGCTAGAATATTGCTCAAAGTGGCGTAAAACCATACTCAGTCAGTACAGCCCAATGCCACATAGCTGAAATATTGCTGGGTGCAACATTAATCAACAACAGGTTAATTGCAATTTTTATCCCCAACATTCCAAATCATGAATTTCGATTTGTCATATTTTACACAACGTATCTTTCAGGTAGGCTATAGAAGGAGCGGGTTTGTCTCATCCAGGCTGTTGTATTACAGCAGGAATAAATAAATAAATGAACTAAGAAAGATAAATATTGATCCTGATCTTCCAGCACACACTGATTGTCGCAGACCCAGGTAACCTCATCGAGTCTCCAATGATTGTGGGCCCGAAGAACCCCGCCCCTTTCCTCTTCCGCGGCGTTGGGTGAGTTCGAGACCAATATGTTAATAATAACACAATAGAATCATGTTTTTTGCCTGATATATTATAATACAAATGTGTGATTAAGTGATTAAATGAATTATCTTTGACTTCTATCTTTTGACCGAACTTCAGTGCACTGTTAAAATAGGGTTTTACATTCAGACCTTGGCAAACCGGGAAACCTTCGGGTGAAACGGTTGCCATTTATTTTCTGGCAATTCAGAATTTTGTTAATCAGGGTGATTTCATCAGGAATAGTAAGCACTGTCCGTTTTAGCTTGTTTCACTGTTCCTTTTAGATTAGGCCACTGAACTGGGGTTTGAGTTATCTGCTTTTGTTACAATCAAGTTAGTCATAGTTACCATTTTCACAAAGGAACTCTCATTTAAACTTTGATTCAAACTACAGCGCTGTTGTACAATAAAACCTCGACGCTACGACTGTAGTAAGTCTATAGTAAGTTATGGGAGTAACGATCACCTCAGCGCAAACATCGCTTGTACAACAGCACCCTGTTAGATAAGATCAACACAAAAATGTCCCATTATCATCTCATTATTGTCAAGTTTATACAAAATGTTGATGTTGTTGAAATGATTATGATGATTGTAGGATGTTGGCTGATCCCGAGAACCCGCTAGTGCTGAGTCTGCTTCATGCCTCCTCCACTGCCTACAGCCACAACCCTGACACCAAGATATCCGAGGTACCCGACAGTGCAGTACCATACACATAGCTGCCAACTGTGTCAATTTGTGTTATTTTGTTATGTAATTCATATGAATAATATGTCCCAAAAATCGCAAATCCAAAATTTTCATAGACACGGGGGTGGTCGGGTAGCCTAGTGGTTAAAGCGTTCGCTCGTCACGCTAAAGACCCGGGTTCGATTCCGACATGGGTACAATGTGTGAAGCCCATTTCTGGTGTTCCCCGCCGTGATATTGCTGGAATATTGCTAAAAGCGGACATATGGGACATATGAGAAAGTGTGGATCATTGCTCATGCTATCTTCCATTGGTTTTCCTCGCATTTAAAAGCAGCTTGTAGACCCGTGAAGATCCGGGATGGAATAGGTCTCCAGCAACCCATGCTTGCCGTAAAAGACAACTATGCTTGTTGAAGAGACGACTAACGGGATCAGGTGGTCAGCTCCGCGGACTTGGTTGATGCATGTCATCGTATCCCAATTGCGTGGATCGATGCTTATGGTCAATCACTGGATTGTCTGGTCCAGATTCTATTATTTACAGACCACCGTCATATAGCTGGAATATTGCTGATTGTGGCATTAAACAACAAACAAACAGACACAAGCATGTAAGAAAGAGGCGAAGAGACTCTGTGGCCCTCCAACACAGTATTTTATAAATTTGGGAATGGTAGCCCCTGGCCCTCATTTCCTGGGAGCTCAGATGGCCCACTAGTCAAAGACTCTACAATTTAATGTGAAGAGTTATTTCCCTTGATCGTGACATAATCTGATAATCAGATTTGCCCTGTTTACTTTTTGGTTTGTGAGCAGCCTACCCAAGCCATCTCATTAAAATCAGATCTAGTGCTCACTACCGCTACATTAAATCTGAGGACATCACCATTAAAGGTCACATTAGAACTACCTTTCGTCAACTTTGACTGACCAAAGAAATCACTAACAGGAATTCGACATTAGCAAATATGAAAGCTGCTTTCTCGAGCGAAGTGGTAAAGTGGTAGATGTCCTAGACCTACATCACTCTCAGCTTTCCTCCCACAGTAAGCTGAAATGATGTGATAATACTTGAAAGAAAACACCCACTCACTCCCAAGTGAACTGTCTTGTGAATCTACCCCAGGTATATTTGCTGAAAGCACCATGAAACCCAACTCACTCACTAACTGATCTGTTTTAGTTCCCTCATGCTGTTGGCAAGAACACTCTCCTGGTGGCAGCCCTCCAGGCCAGGAACAACGCCAGGGTCGTGTTCGTGGGTTCCCTCGACTTCTTCAGTGATGAGTTCTTCCAGTCCCCTGTACAGAAGGCAAACGGTGGCAACCGGTGAGTAGGGTACAATCTGCATTAACAGGAATACGTTTGAATTCATTCCACCTTGTTCCCATGCTTGCCGTAAACGGCGGCTATGCTTGTCTCAAGAGGCTACTAACGGGTAAGGGTCGTCAGGCTCGCTGACTTGGTTGATGCATGTTATTGTATCCGTATTTGCGTAGATTGATGCTCTTGATGTTAGTCACTGGATTGTCTGGTCCAGACTTGTTCATTTACAGACTGCTGTCATATAGCTGGAATATTGCTGAGTGCGGCGTTAAACAAAAAGCAAACAAATATTGCACCTTTGTGTCATCTTGATATGATTCTCTTCCTGAACATTTATCTTCATTGTCCATTGTCAATACTTCACATATTCGTGTGCACTGTTCCTCCACCAGCCATGAATACATGCAACCCTTTTTGCTGTGTTGAAGTAATTTGTGTTTATTTATCGTCAGTTACTGAAATAAGGTGGTTTATTATTATTGAAGTAATTTGTAGAGAAGGTGGCCGGACAATCTCACTAAAATCAGATCTTAGTTCTCGCTACTGCTGAACAACAGATTTGAGAACATTTCAGTAGGAGTCACATCAGAACGACCTTTCCTCCGACCAATTAAAACATCGCTTACCAGATTGAGAAAGTGACTGTCGGAATGTTTTTTCTAACCATGCAACCTCAAAAGGCTAACGGTTGTACATCCTCTATCTCACGCTTCCGTTGATAAACATTTCAAATAGAAGATACTTTCCATTGCCCATGGGAAGTTGAGTGGAATCTGTCATATTCCGATTTTGGTGAAAAACAGACCTTTCTCCAGTCCCTCAATAAATTTTCATTACTCAAACTGACCTACAGTTAGGGTCCCAACAACCGACATGACCAAGTACTACTGAAAAGAAGCTGTCTTAATATGACTGGACAAGACTGGACTGGAAGTTCTCTCTCTCTTTGAAGTAGGCCTAGTCATTGTCGGCTAAAACAACATTAGTGATCCTGCTTGTAGTCCTATTGATCGTAACACTTTGTTGTCCGATTAGTTAATTAGAATTTACTCACCTGTCAAATGAGAAACCCAACTTTAGACTTATTTGATGTGTGTGACAACGTGAGTGACTTGTGGAAGAGTGTCACCGTCCTAGATGTTGTTCAATGGATCAGTTTGGCCTGGCGTGATACAACTGACATCACAATTCCCAAATATTTTTCCATGTGTGGATTCTTGTCGACTGCCATCACTATCTAGGTAAATGTTCCCTCACTGGTGAACCACTTGCTTCACCTCGAAACTATGACTGAGGACACGACTTTGAATAGGTCATAGATATAAGCAGCCTGTTCTCAATAATGACTTTACAGGGCGGTGGGGTAGCCTAGTGGTTAAAATGTTCACTCGTCATGCCGAAGGCCCAGTTTCGATTCCCCACATGGGTACAATGTGTGAAGACCATTTCTGGTGTCCACTGCAGCGATATTGCTGGAATATTGGTAAAACAATATTGCTGAACAGATTTGTTCAGTTTCACTGTTCTTATTATAACATTATCTGCCCTTGTTACAATCAAGTTGGTCATGTCTGCATTCGTTGGTAAGAAGTAGCTATTAGGCTGCACAACCCAATGTATCCTCTGGTTATGAAGGAATGAAGTGTATACACCGTGAAGAATTGACAATTGAAATGATGTGGAGCAGGATTTAGCTTGTCTTGTCCTAAATGAAGTGTGTGTGAGGCACAATGTATAACTGATAGTCCTTGTACAGGTTCGACAAGTCTGGCAACCAGGACTTGGCTCTCAACATGGCACGGTGGGTGTTCAAGGAGAGGGGTGTGTTGAGGGTCGGCGCCGTTACTCACAATAAGAAGGGGGAGAAGAAGCCACCAGCAGCCTACACCGTCTTCGACAACGTGGTGAGTATTTTAGGGGTGCAGCAAAGTGGTGGGAGAGTGCCAACAGGTATGTTCTGTGGTCTCTGGAACAATATGTGTTTGTGGGCGCGCCAGAAACCTATGATTGTGGGTTCGAATCCCGGTTCGCCCCGATTATGTTTCTAGGTTTGTCAGCACCATACCCGTGCTCGTGGGTTTCACCGAAGTGGTAAACGTCTGAGACCTGCATCACTTCGGGCTTTCCTCCCACATTAAGCTGACACGCCACGATATAACCGGAATACTGTTAAAAGCGGCGTTAAACCCAGCTCACTCACTCACTCACTCAATGTGTGTTCGTCAGTCCTCTCAGTTTTTAAAGGAGTAATGTAAGGAGGTTCCAGGCATGTTCTGACCACATGGAACATTTGACTTCAACAAGTTTCAATGGTGTCATAATAGCCTTTTGCTTATAATGTGTGGTGATTTCCTTGTTTGAAACAAATAAGTGATTGAGTTAAGATCAGAACTGGACTTTGATTGTTTATCTTATCAAAATGGAAGTGTGTTAATTTACATGAATGCTATAATTGAAACAATTCTGATGATGTTTATGCCTCTCCTGGGTCTGGTACTACATATTCTGAAACACAAGCCAGCATCGTCGTATCAACATACACCGACTTTCTGAACTGCAGCAGCTCTGTTTTGAGAAGCAACCACTGTTCACCACATTTCCTTAAGTGTAGTAGAGCAAGTAAACTAAACATGCTGCATGTTGTATCGACAACAAAAATGGTGCCCTACATCACCTGCCACCTAGCACATAAACAAATATCGCACATGACAAATAGAAATGACAACTCACAAGGCATGGACAGAGCTACCTCCCTTACATCGTAGGGACCTTATCGCAAAACATACATGAAATATGCTTTCACTGTTAAAAATAACAAGTCGTTTTTGATACCAATATAATCAGCTTTAATTCTAACGACAACAAAACATTTTTACTAGTAACTATTTACTTGCATGGCAAAGAATAAGGACTGTCAAAATGACATTGTTGTGTTTGATTATCTCATGTCTCATCACACCGAACTTGATTAGTTCGTATGGCCATTTTGTCAAGTATAACAGAAATACGAATGTGTTTTCAACATGTTTCAGTATATATAATTGGGTTGGATGGTTCAGATATAGTGATCAGAGCCAGATTTTATTATTTACAAGCCACTGTATTATGGCTAAAATTTTAACGCTCATTAAAATTTGGACAATTTATTTGTAGAATATTGAAAAAGTTGTGTTTGCTTGCAGAGATATACGATCCAGATTGAGGAGTTGTCGGAGGGGAAGTGGCAGCCATTCCAGGGTACAGACATCCAGCTGGAGTTTGTCAGGATCGACCCCTTTGTCCGCACACTCCTGAAGAAGCAAAGTATGTTCACACACAGAGTGCACAATACCACTACTCAATATATTCCACTCAACTTAGATCAACCACCTCCGTGGTCTAGTGGTAGAGCGTCCGGAGAGCGGAAGGTCCGGGGTTCAATCTCCCGCCGTATCATACCAAAAGACGTTAAAAGATGGTACTTGTTGTTACCCTGTCTGGCGCTCGGCATTAAGGGGCTAAAACAAGGACTGGTCGGCTCGGAGTCAGTATACTGTGTCTGAGTGGGGTATTCATGTTAAACTGCGGCATGGTATCTCGGTGAGCTAGCACTATAAATCGGTGTCAGTCCGGACTAGTACAAGCAGCCACACACACACACGTGCATGCATGTCGCTATATAAGTGCAATAATCTTGGACGCGACGTTAAACCCAATTTCACCTCACCCCAACCTAGATCAGTGATAATCAGATGCCATTCTGTTAAAGTATCTGCTTGACATATGAAGACAATTTGTTTTGGATGTCATGGAAAGATAAAACAATGTCCCTATCAAAAGTTGAGTAGTGTATGTTGATTTGTAGTCAGTAAATTTTCATCTATTTCAAGTATGGCTTCAGTATAATGGAAGTAATATCAGTCAACATTCATATTTCAAAAGAAAACATTTTACTCTGGAATACCTTACTAAACAATAATCCTGTGAACACCATTATCTTGGTGCTGACCAAGATTTTATGCCAACATTCCAAGACATCCAATGGGACCTTACTCAGTATTACTCACTGACAAAATATATTGCAAATGTAAATTATGATCTTAGATATATCAGCAAGTACTGGTCAAGCTGCCATCTACTCTTCTCTGAATGTACAACAACCATGATATGCGTAACTGTAAAATGAAAATGCAACAGGAGATAAAAATAAGAAAAAGAAGAAGACAGTCATGCATTCTTGCATCAGGATTTAATTAACTGATTTTTTTCAACCATTCAATTCCATGGAATATTTTTTGGCACCTTCTGCAGCAGACTTGAAAATGTCAAGTCACTTTATCTTCATGATCTAAGTACAACAAAACTCTTTTCAATGTTTAAAAAATTAGCACATCTTCTGAATGATTTGCCATCATGTTAACATTATAGGATGGATATTTTGTAAAAATAATTGAAGCAGAGTCATCCATTGTCACAACCTGAATCTTGCTGTCAGTGATAGAAGCTAACTGTTTTCGTCCACTAGAAAACATATAGCAAAACCCTTAAAAATGGCAAATTTCTACTGGTCCTTATGATACCTTAACTATTGGGCAGTTTGGCAAGGACTATAGGACTATTTCTAACGCTGTTGCTGTTCTTCCAGATGGGATGTTTTACGTGGAGTTCATTCTGCCTGACGTGTATGGGGTGTACCAGTTCCGTGTCGACTACAACCGTGTGGGCTACACCCATCTCTTCAGCACAACTCAGGTAGGTCACCTCACATCCTATTCTTATCTTAAGAGGCGACTAAAATTGATGAAAGGTGTCTGTGCGTTTTGACTGATTGTATGTCATCCATGGGGTAGATCACTACTCATGCTTCCCATGAAGATCCAAGTTAGAATTCATATTCAGCACCCAGGCTTGTGAGAGGCGACCAACGAGATTGGATAGTCAGTCTCTCCACCTTGGTGGATGTCATCGTATCCCAGTTGCGTAGATCAATGCTCAAACAAACAAATAGTGATGTGCCTTTTTATTTTCTTTAACGTAAAAAATATGAGGTTTTCTTTTTACCTGGAAGAAGATGTTGAGTTTTGAAAAACAAGATCATTGTTATATTGCTGACAGCATCAAGCATTCACATTTGCCTATGTTTCAGGTGTCTGTCCGGCCATTACAGCACACGCAGTTTGAGCGGTTCATCCCTGCAGCCTACCCATATTACACCAGTGCCTTCTCCATGATGTTTGGAGTCCTTATACTAAGTATAGTGTTCCTGCATTTCAAGGAAGAACCTAAGGAGAAGAAAGAATAGAAAACATTCCAGCTTTATAGGGCAGTCATCTTATGAATCATTTACAATTATTGAATGTATGTGTTTTTTGTCATCGAAAGAATGGATGATTGTTGAGGGATTCGAAATATACCGACATCTTTGTTTCTTGAATCTTGGTGTATACTTGTAATTTGTTTCGAGGATAAATAAAAACTCTTTTTATTTTATATATTTGTGTTTGTTTTCACGTGGTGACTCAAGTCTTAGGTTCTGCAACTCATTCATCATACAAAGGAGTCCTGCACGGCCCAGTCGTCTAAGGCGCCGCAATACCCTCCGCAGAGTTGCATCCCTTGGGTAGGCCTGAGAGCTGTTCATGGGTTCGAATCCCGGTTTGCCCTCATTTTGTTTCTAGGTTTGTCAGCACCATACCAGGGCTTTTGGGTTCACCAAAGTGGTATTGCCTGAGACCTAAGTCACTTTGGGATTTCCTCCCACGTCATGCTGAGAAGCTGCGTTATGACTGAAATACTGTGGAATACTGTTCATTAGTGCCTCGCAGGTTTGAATTCATTACATTTCTTCACACTTCCGGACTCTGTGTTTGTATTGGTCCCCGGCAACCTATGCCGGTGATGGGTGACCAAATGGATCAGACGGTCAGGCTCGGTGACTTAGCTGATTGTGGGTCATCATACAGCGTGGATCTTTGTTCACGATGTAAAAGCTGTACAGTCATTGTTGCCATCGTTTCAAATCCACAAATTTTGAAATTTCGTCTGTCAGCCCAGTTCAAATTCAAATCACCTTGCGCCTCATGTAGTTGGAAAACTGATGTAACGCGGCCACACCATTTGAACCAAATACATCTTTGTACACTGCATGTCGATCCTGAAAGGGGCTTGTATGAAGGAAGGTACAAAGGAACTACCGCGTATACTAACTAGTTCCACTGTTCGTACGCGCCACACGTTAACGCTGACAGGAACACAATGTAATGACACGCTGAATTACTTCCCTTTGACCGCAAATCTTTCTCGTTTGAACAAAATGTATTGAATTGACTCCCTTTGACCATGACAAAAACTTTGTGACGCGCACGTTATGTCCCAGGAACAGGTTCATCGATCTGTCCATCTAATTTAATAAATAAAAAAACATATTTTTGAAACTATCTAGATCTAAACCTGTGTATAAAGATTTTCCCTTGTTCGTAAATTTGCAATGTAGTATGCGGCTTCATTTAGCCCGAGACTGCATGTCAGAAGATACATTCTGTGATTTATTCGCCCTGTGTGTTACTTGTATGACTTGAAATAGGTCAGTGGTAATGCTTTTTATTACAGTGTCTTTTTGGTGTTGGTTTCTTATTTATTAAATGTCCTTTTCCACAATGAGTTTACATTTCGGTTTTCGGGTTCGTCTCCAAAGTCGACGAGACATATGTTTAAGTCGTTGAAGCCTTGAACAGGTATTCTGCAAAATGTGCAAATAAGGAACCTTTCCCCCTTTTTGTTTTCTTTTACCGCCCGCCCTTACAGGTGAGGTCATATTGATACAAGCGACGTTTAACAACAAACAAACAACATGTTTTAAATCACAGGACTTGCAGCGAAATTCACGCATGAATTTCCCTATTTTGAAAAAAACAGTTACCGTATTCGACGTAATAAGCACCCCGTTCTATTATTAGCGCCCACGGCGATATTTGCTAATATATTGGCTAGTGAACCATCCCAATTAGCACCCCTTCCGATTGATCAATGTACACAAGACTTATTAATTCTTGTATAATACGCACTCGTGTGTAACATACACCCTTATGGGCAATTACATTCTGGAAAAATACATCTGTCGTATATAAACATTTCAGGCTGTCAGCATAAACCAGGAATTTTACGATCTTTCAACTCTGTATTTTTCACCAAAATAAAATTCTAATAGGAGCCCCCTATTTCTAATATTGAGAGCGCCCTGGGCGCTTATTACGTCGAATACGGTATGTGATTTAACAGCATATATTTTGAAAGATTAACATCGGTCAACAGATGCCCTATGTGTTGTTACCGCCCCTATGCGTTTACATCATAAGTTGTTTCGATCCAAATCTAAGTTAATATTTCATATTTCATTGCTAACAGCATTGGGGTACGAAAGTTTTTATTTCTAGCAAAGTTGTACATACATTTACATTAATACCCCTTTATTCCAGGGATACGAATTTACACAGACATCCTTTTATTTTCACAATATACTATAAATCCTAAATTTATATCTATCTATCTATCTATATCTATATATTGCGATATACGCAACGATGTGAACCATTTTATAGCGTTGTCGAGAAGAGGTCAATATGTATAAGTGCTTCCTTCTTCGAACCGGGCTGTGAAAGCTGAGCAAATGAAAGGGGAGACCGGATGTGTCCCATGTGACTGGTCATGTGACAGTCACGTGATTGCAACCGCGGGAAATACTCCAGCGTGGTAAACATTTGAGTGGTTGTTGACGCGAGAGAGATTCGCCATAATGTCAAGCTACGAGCAGTTGAGGCAAAAGAATTTAGCAGATAACCGGCGTATTTTGGCAGAATTAGGTCTTGTCAATCCGGTAAGTTGACAAATACACTCGATCAGTGTTTATCTTTTAACAATTCATGGAGAACTTTCTTGATCGCTCACTCGAGGGTGCTGCAAACTCCTCCTTTGGGTAGATTGCATGTATTGAAATGATGTTCAACTAGTTTTAAAACAAATTTTCAAATGCCGTATTAGTGAATTAACGTCCTTTTCACAATCTTGTTGTTTCGTCGTCTAAAAAGTCGCATGCAACAAAATCACAGAAGACGCTCGGCTTGTCGGGAGGGTGGTCGGCGTCACGTGATTGTTGACTTTTCGACCCCCCACCTCGCCATTTCCGACAGGGGCTGCTTCTGTGTTGTCGGAGTGTCGGAAGCTTCGCACACTGGCCGGCGTCTGTTGTAATAATTAGAGTATATTTTAGATTTCCGAACAGTTGATCAAGACGTCACTGACAGTGGCAGATCAACATTTATTTAAATGTGCCAATAGTATGGCCATGAGGCACTGGGATGCATCTTTATTTGTTTGTTTGTTTTTTGTTTAACGCCGCACTCAGCAATATTCCAGCTATATGACGGCGGTCTGTAAGTAATCGAGTCTGGACCTGACAATCCAGTGATTAACATCATGTACATCGATCCACACAATTGGGATCGATGACATGCATCAACCAAGTCGGCGAGCCTGACCACCCGATCCCGTTAGTCGCCTTTTACGACAAGCATAGTTGCCTTTTACGGCAAGCATGGGTTGCTGAAGACCTATTCTACCCTGGATCTTCATGGGTCGGTATGCATCTTTAAACTGCTAGAGGACAATATGAACAACTTGCACATTTTATCTAAGTTAAACTACATGACACAATTTAGAAACGCATATATGCAACTATATATTGCAAGGTAATTTTCTTAAAAAATTAGTCAGGCTCATTCATTTTTAAAAAATCAGCTGTAACTTGAGAATAATAAAGTGTGATGCGGTTGTCACATGTACTGTTGTGAACTTATTTGACAGTTGGGGCAGCACATGGACAGCTGCAAGGTTAGAAGTCTTTTGAAAGAATCTTATACAGCAATTTAGCCAGAATTGTTAAAGAAAATGACATCCTCCTGAGGCAAGGGAGTTAACTGACATCAAAAGTTGGATTTCCACCGATGCTAAACTAGATGGAATTTCGTGGCTTGATTGTAGCCTTTGCTTCAAACAAAGTCAAGATCTATGTTGTACTAAAACAGGTCTTACCTCTCAAAGTGCATTCTGATAATGACCAGTTGGTTTGTTATTTAATGCCACACTCGGCAATATTCAAGCTATATGACGGCAGTCTGTAAAAAATCGAGTCTGGACCAGTCAATCCAGCGATTGATATCATGAGCATCGATCCACACAATTGGGATACAATGACCACCTGATCTCTGTTAGTTAGGGGTTTCATGATAAATTGAAATATTGATATATTGTTGTTGGTAAGCACTTTAAGTCAATAAATATATTGTTAAATCAATTTCCAATCAATAGTATCGATTTCAGTTAGGAATATCGATAGTTTCTATTATATTTACCATATCATGAGATTGAGTCACCGAAACACGCCCGCGAACGCATCCGAGTGAGGATAAGAGTTAACTCTGCCCTTGATGCTTAGAAACCAGTCAAATGGAGTTTGTGACAAACTTCAAGTGTTTGGAAGTTTTATGGTTATCACATTGAAAGGTTAAAATTCAAGAAAATCCATCAAAAATGATACACTGAATACTATCGATATTTATGGCAATAGTTGCTTGCAATATCAATAGTTATCGCAACAGTTTCTTTAAATATCAATAGTTATTGCAATAGTATTTCCAGACCAGTAGTCACCCCTATCGTTGGTCGCCTCTTACGTCAAGCATAGTTGCCTTTTACGGCAAGCATGGGTTGCTGAAGACCTATTCTACCCTGGATCTTCACAGGTCGATAATGACCAGTACTGTACTCACATGGTTTACTAATTATCTGCACTATGTGTCATAGAAAGGAGATATGATCGAGGATTCTAATCATGATATGTCTGTAGTATAACTTGCCTTAAGCAGCCAAAGATAACGTCAAGGACTACGATTTGCAGAGTTTGCCTTCAATTTCAGTTTAAGCCACTTGGGCGTGTTGTCAAGAAAGGAATCAAACGGAAGGCTCCCATTGACAACAAACCAAGAAAGAAAATTGTGGTTGAAGAGGACTTATCAAATTGTGGCTCTATACATGGCACAAGGAGGAAGTCGGCTCGAATCCAGGGCAAGGTAGACCAATTTGTAATTACCATGTTCTTGTGTGTTTGTTCTCATCCACTATCATCCTGCTAAATACACATCCCATTAGGGCTGGGACGGGTACCCGGGTTGGGTGGGTACTGAGTAGGACCCGGGTACCCACAGGACTACCCGGACCCGTGGTTAGTTACATGATATATTGTTCAATGACAAAACTTATCTAGAACTCTATGGTTCTGACTATGCACCCATTCCTTCTGACTTTTCATATGGTTGAATAAAGATATAACTTAAGTCAACTCCAGAGTATGCATGACCAGATCGTTTAAAACATGTATCTAAATACGTTTTACAAGTGCTGTGGTAAAAAAAATCCGAAATCAGACATTTTGTATCTCTTGAGACCTACAGTGGGTCCCCGGGTAGGGTAGGGTAATAGGGGTGTGGGTACCTGGGTAGTAAATTTGGACTCGTCCCAGCCCTACATCCGATATATCTCCTGGGCTTGCATTTTCGTAAATGTACTCTAACCCCTGGACATGGTCCTTGATTTTCATTGGCCAAGTTGATTTGCTACGGACCCAATCAGACTGCGAGTTACAAACCAGCCTTTTGTTGATTTTTGTCAAATGTAGGCCTAAAATGGTGTACTTAAATTCATTTGGTTAAAATCTTTTATCTTTTTATGTGTGTGTGTTTTAGCTCACCGGGTCAGCTGGACCAAAGTGAGCTTATGCCATAATGGTGCGTTTCGTCGTCCGTACCTTAAAAATATTTTCAAACGACTTCTTCTGAACAACTAATTAGAAATTAACAAAATTTGACTGGATGCATCCCTAGGTGGTGGGGATTCAAAATTAAACAAATGGGGGGGGGGGGGGGGGGGGGCTGAGAGGCAGGCCCAAATAGGGGTAATATGGCTATATTTCTTTAATCAACTTCTTCTGGGACTAAGAGATAGATATCAACCATATTTGGTGGGAAACATTCTCCAGGAGTCATCATTCAGGGAGTTTTTTGATTGAGGGCACACTTCCAGCTTCAGTCTGTAATTAGTAATCGTGTTTAGAGCATGTGGACACCAACAATTTTGACTTGGGGATAAACGAAGTGTGTCTCTTTTCTATCCCTTCATTTTTGTATTTAAGCCGGTGGGCACGGAGGAAGAATGGAGAAGTGTAGAGGAAGAAGATGACGAGTACAAGCCCAAGAGAATCCCTGCGAACAGACCCAAGTTCTATGGGGCTGTGCCAGGTAAGAAGGTGGTAGAGGCGACTTGGCATAAGTCATCTGACATTTACCCTGAAAAATGCAAAGGTCTGACATGTTTCATATTGTCCAATAGTATTTCAGTAAGGTCCAACATTAACTTCAAACTAACCTGACTGTTGTAATAAACATAGCTGAAGAAAGATCAAGCCAAACCTGAGCTTTTAATGAGTGTGCAATGGTAGAAGTCTTTTTATCAAATCGAGGCAAAAACTTTATCATTTCGTTTTGGAATGAATATACTGGACTGTCAGGTGATGGGAAACACAGAAACAAATATGGCCAGCCTTAGATTCCACTCTATTTGTTGCAGTGTTTCAACATGATTGAAGCCAAGGGCCAGACCTTCTTTATTTGTAACACAATCAGCTATGTCTGGTTTATCACACCAAATACATCCTTAACCATGGTAACTATTTGTTTCTTTGTTATTTTTGTGTTGTGAAAGGAGAGATTTTGTTTTTATGCGTTTATTCCTTTCTGGCTGCTGTAGGTGTGGAAATCGGCACTGTCTGGAACTACAGGATTGACTGCAGTAGAGACGGCATCCACAGGTGTGTGTGGGCGGAATCAACCTTTCTTTTTTTCATGTTTTTGAAAAATTGAAAAAAATAGTATTACTTGCATGAAATAAAAACCATTGGCCAGTAAAAAATTCTCACCCTGCACTTACCAAGATTATCACACACATTAAATTATAAAGGTCATGTATACATTGTTATTAATTTCCTGTAAGTTACAGTGAAAGATCCTGTTGTCATTATTGTGAATTTGTTACAACCCTCTCAACCTCATTAAAATCTGACCTAAGTTCTCGCTGTCGCTAAACAAAGATCTGAGGACATCCCACTATGGGTCACGTCAGAACGACCTTTTGCAGCTTTGACCGACCACTGAGACGACTAACAAGAAGTCGACATCAACCAATTAGAAAGCAGCTTTCGCGAGTTTTACAGCACTCGTTTCAACCTGGCGACTTTCATTTCAGACCATGCTTGAAAAATATGTTGACACAGTTCTCGATTTATATTTTGAAAACTGAACAAACGAACATTCTGGAATGTCTAATATATGGTTGAGATTGTATGGCAGTGCTATCCACGTTCTGTGCAAAGCCGCCACTGTTCAAATGTTTATCCCACGGAAGCAAGAGACAGACAATAATTTTGACTGAATCGGTTGTACGGCCCGTAACTGTCTTTCGGAATAACGTTAACGTTTTGAGGTTGCATGAGAGAAAACACATTCCGACTGTCACTTTTATGATCTGGTAAGCAAAGCTTTGATTGGTCAGATGAAAGGTCCTTCTGACGTGACCGGTAACGGGATGTCCTCAGATCTTTGTTTTAGCGATAGCAAGAACTAAGATCTGATTTTAATGAGATTGACATTCTTTTAACCATGTCAATATTGTCTATATCATGATTACATTCCTTGCATTTGTAATTTCATTGCAACCGTTGTTGTAATCATATTGTCATTAATGTTCACCGTCCTTTGATCATCATCAAGGTCATCAGTATTTTGTTTAACATTGTGTTTATCAGCAGTTTCTTTATCCTAATCCTAACGTTGTGTTTATCAGCAGTTTCTTTGTCCTAATCCTAACGTTGTGTTTATCAGTATTTTCTTTATCCTAACCCTAACGTTGTGTTTATCAGCAGTTTCTTTATCCTAATCCTAACGTTGTGTTTATCAGCAGTTTCTTTGTCCTAACCCTAATGTTGTGTTTATCAGCAGTTTCTTTGTCCTAATCCTAACGTTGTGTTTATCAGCAGTTTCTTTGTCCTAACCCTAACGTTGTGTTTATCAGCAGTTTCTTTGTCCTAATCCTAACGTTGTGTTTATCAGTATTTTCTTTATCCTAACCCTAACGTTGTGTTTATCAGCAGTTTCTTTATCCTAATCCTAACGTTGTGTTTATCAGCAGTTTCTTTGTCCTAACCCTAACGTTGTGTTTATCAGCAGTTTCTTTGTCCTAATCCTAACGTTGTGTTTATCAGCAGTTTCTTTATCCTAATCCTAACGTTGTGTTTATCAGCAGTTTCTTTGTCCTAACCCTAACGTTGTGTTTATCAGCAGTTTCTTTGTCCTAACCCTAACGTGGTGTTTTTTAGCAGTTTCTTTGTCCTAATCCTAACGTTGTGTTTATCAGCAGTTTCTTTATCCTAATCCTAACGTTGTGTTTATCAGCAGTTTCTTTGTCCTAACCCTAACGTTGTGTTTATCAGCAGTTTTTTTGTCCTAACCCTAACGTTGTGTTTATCAGCAGTTTCTTTGTCCTAACCCTAACGTTGTGTTTATCAGCAGTTTCTTTGTCCTAATCCTAACGTTGTGTTTATCAGCAGTTTCTTTGTCCTAACCCTAACGTTGTGTTTATCAGCAGTTTCTTTGTCCTAACCCTAACGTTGTGTTTATCAGCAGTTTCTTTGTCCTAATCCTAACGTTGTGTTTATCAGCAGTTTCTTTGTCCTAATCCTAACGTTGTGTTTATCAGCAGTTTCTTTGTCCTAATCCTAACGTTGTGTTTATCAGCAGTTTCTTTGTCCTAATCCTAACGTTGTGTTTATCAGCAGTTTCTTTGTCCTAATCCTAACGTTGTGTTTATCAGCAGTTTCTTTGTCCTAATCCTAACGTTGTGTTTATCAGCAGTTTCTTTGTCCTAATCCTAACGTTGTGTTTATCAGCAGTTTCTTTGTCCTAACCCTAACGTTGTGTTTATCAGCAGTTTCTTTGTCCTAACCCTAACGTTGTGTTTATCAGCAGTTTCTTTGTCCTAATCCTAACGTTGTGTTTATCAGCAGTTTCTTTGTCCTAATCCTAACGTTGTGTTTATCAGCAGTTTCTTTGTCCTAATCCTAACGTTGTGTTTATCAGCAGTTTCTTTATCCTAACCCTAACGTTGTGTTTATCAGCAGTTTCTTTGTCCTAACCCTAACGTTGTGTTTATCAGCAGTTTCTTTGTCCTAATCCTAACGTTGTGTTTATCAGCAGTTTCTTTGTCCTAATCCTAACGTTGTGTTTATCAGCAGTTTCTTTGTCCTAACCCTAACGTTGTGTTTATCAGCAGTTTCTTTGTCCTAACCCTAACGTTGTGTTTATCAGCAGTTTCTTTGTCCTAATCCTAACGTTGTGTTTATCAGTATTTTGTTTATCCTAATCCTAACGTTGTGTTTATCAGCAGTTTCTTTGTCCTAACCCTAACGTTGTGTTTATCAGCAGTTTCTTTGTCCTAACCCTAACGTTGTGTTTATCAGCAGTTTCTTTGTCCTAACCCTAACGTTGTGTTTATCAGCAGTTTCTTTGTCCTAACCCTAACGTTGTGTTTATCAGCAGTTTCTTTGTCCTAACCCTAACGTTGTGTTTATCAGCAGTTTCTTTGTCCTAATCCTAACGTTGTGTGTCCAGACCGACGGTTGCAGGTATCCACCGGGGGGAAGAGGGGGCGTATTCCGTAGCCCTGTCCGGGGGATATGACGACAATATTGACCTTGGCGAGTGTTTCACCTACACTGGAGAAGGTACTCCCCAGCTGCATATACGTCTTCCTTCTTTATCATTCTCCTGTCTGGGTTACAATAGGTCCCTAGGGTGTGGCAGTCAACAACAACAAACGAACAAACAAATGTCATCATACATGTCGGCTGTTGACAAACATGACAAAAGCAACCTGAAATTAATGTTCACATAAATGTAAAATAAATTGTCTTACTTGTCAACACAAAATCCATCTTTGTACACACTCAATACCTTTAAAGTTTATTTACCATATGACATCACTAATTCCTGTGTTACGTAGCATTATGTCATGCTTTCTTGGGCTTGATGTCATCAAACTGTGGGTACTTCAAGATTTTTTACAGCAACACGTCAATACTGTTTTCATGCCAACATGCACTTGGTGCAAGTGAAATCTGACTGTGATGTTGAAAAACAAGCAGTCATTCTTATTTGGATGAGACTGTTACCCACAATCTAATATAAATAATGTACTTTATTGTTGTTATTCTGTACAATTTCACCATTTGATAAATGTTGCCGTTGTATATCTGAGCAATGTATTGTTTCTGATTATTTATGAAAGATTGGGTCCTTGTCGTAACCCTAAAAAATAATTATTAAGTGGGGTTGTAGATATAAATACTGTAAATCTGGAATACATATCCTTACCTTAATCCAATCAAACAGCAAATAGTACTGCTTATTAGCACTGAGAAAAGCACTTCCATAAAAACTTTCTTAAAAACAACACAGTTTATATGTTTGCTCGGTTTACTGGCATTAAGGAAGTTCAAAGGCAATAAAATAACTGAACCAACAACAGTTCACTGATTGGTATGCGGAGAAGGTGTCAACAAGCTTGACATGAGTGGGTAGAACTCTTGACCCCAGCAGTGATAACTCACTTGATGCCCACTGTGTAATTCCTATTCTGTGAATGACATTGTTATATACTTGTTACAACTGCTGCTCAATAAACCATGTTTGTGTTAATATTCAAGTTGGTATGTCCGCTATCCAAAGTGTGCAGAGGCCGTCTTATTGTTGTTAGTTACTTTTGAGACATGAATGTGAAGTTAATTAATGTGAGCGAAGACCACTCACTTTTTTCGCATTTAATTCACACTCGTGTTAATTTTAATATTTACAGTTCTGTAACGTTATGCTACTTCAAACAAAAACAAATTTGATCCTGTTGATGTGTGTTCACTTGTTTGTGAAACAAATATAAAACTGAGTTGAAGGATTTTTACAAATTATGAAATGAATTATTTCAGGAGGCAGGGATCTTAAAGGAACAGCATCAAATCCAAAGGTGTGTATATTGTCCCCGATTCACAAGTTGTTGATGGTGAGATCAGTCTTTATTCCAGTTTAAAGGGGTTTATTTATAATATATATAAATCTCAAATTGTTTCCAATGCATGCTCAGTGACCTGAACATGTTTGCTTTAATCTTGAGATAGAGCCACAAGCAGGACTATATAGTTCACTGGTAATTGAAGCAGTTTGTGGTTTTATTCCCTAGTTAATGTTATTTGAAACCAATCTCGTTAAAATCAGATCTTAGTTCTCACTCCCGCTAAACAAAGATCTGAGGAATCCCATTACAGGTCACGTCAGACCGACCTTGCACTAACTGTGACTGACCAATGGAATGATCAATCAGAAGGCAGCTTTCTCGTGCTTTATGGCACTAATTTCAAATTGGCCACTACGCTTAGCAACATATTTTGACAAACTCTCGATTACAAATTTGAAACCTAAACAAAAGAACATTCTGGAATGGCAAATAGATGGTCTAGATTGTATGGATTCAGTTGTTAAACCCGAACTATCGTCACTTTCATGACCTGGTAAGCGACGCTCTGATTGGTCGGATGAAAGGTCAGTCTGACGTGACCCCTTATGGGATGTCTTCAGATATTTGTTTAGAGGTAGCGAGAACTAAGGTCTGATTTTAATGAGATTGATTGGAAACAAACATTTCGGTCACATTTCACAAAAATACTGAAACGAAAAGTAGAGAATCTTTGCTCCGATTCGAAATCTGGCTTGATGTTGGAGGTTAGGATTGAGAAGTGTCTCATTTGTTCACAGAATCTCCGTACAGCTCCCCAGTCAAAGGACCAGGCCCTGACCAATGGTAACTTGGCTCTGTCCAGGAGTTGTGAGAACGGAAACCCAGTTCGGGTCATCAGAGGCTATAAACTGGATAGTCCATTTGCACCTGAAGAAGGCTACAGATACGATGGTGAGTAGTATCTGGGAAATCCTACCGATGTACTGCTCTGCTGTTACTATCTTCTGGTTACTATCTTCAAAGCTTTGATTTCCTCCTTCATTGATCTCATTGAAATCAGAATTTAGTTCTCACCACTGCTGATCAAAGGTCTGATGACATACCATTACAGGTCAAGTCAGAACGTCCTTTTCGCAAAATATTTCCCAAGCAATGAGAAATTACTCAAGAGAAGCCTCTTGTTGAAAGAGGCGACTAATGGGATCGAGTGGTTAGGCTCGCTTACTTGGTTGATGCATGTCATCGTATTCCAATTGTGTGGATTGATGCTCATGATGTCAGTCACTGGATTGTCTGGTCCAGACTGGATTATTTACAGACCGCTGTCATATAGCTGGAATATTGCTGAGTGTGGCGTTAAACAACAAACCAACTGGTCATTATGAGACAAACCAACCAAACCTACTCACTCACTCACCCACTCTCCTCCAGGGATCTACACAGTGGAGAAGTTCTGGTTCACCACAGGATTGTCTGGGTTCGGAGTCTGGAAGTTTGCGCTGCGACGCTGCAAAGATCAGGCACCTCCACCCTGGGATGTTATTCAGGTAGGACCTGCAAACTGGTGTATAATACAAAACATATATAATATCTAAACATTCAGCGAGTAACACAGGGGCACTTGACTGATTATTTTTTATAATATGAGACTAAGAATAAGTATGTCAGCCTGTTTTGCTTGAAATATATTTATGTTATGGCTGAAGCAAATTGTACAAGCCTGCTTCTTCATTAATTAGTGTGTTTTCACGGTTAAAACTGATTGAGGTATCCTGCAAAGTTATTTCATGTATTCTTTTGTTTAAGAGATTCAAAACAACATCTTTAACATTGCTACGGAAAATGCTATTGTGCAGAAATTCAGAAGTATAATGTATATTAATATACCTTTTCTGCAAAGTTATTTCAACGCTGTACAGAAGTATGTTTGTTGTGATCGTGACATTTCACCTTTCAGAAAGAAGATTCTCCAAAGAAAAACAAAACAGTCAGTCCTTCTACAGACAGTGCTAAGGGAGATAACTCCAGTGAAAATTCGCCAAGCCATAAAAGCGATGAAAATAAAGACATTGAAAATATTGAACACACAGAATCTTCACAAATAGAAGAAGCGATAGAATCAACCAAAAAGAAAGAAGAGGTCATAGAATCAACGGAGGAGAAAGAAAAGTCTAAAACATCTATGCAGGCGAAAGACACAAAGGAATCTGAGAAAGAAATATCTTTGCAAGAGAAAGAACATACGATGGAATCATCAAAAGAACAAGAAACGACAGAAAATAAAGAATCTTCACTGAAATCAACCAAAGAAATGGCAGACACATTAAAATCCCTGATCCCTGAGGAAAAAATATCGCAAGATGAAAATAACAACCTTGGCACTGTGGAAGACGATGCTGTGAAGAAGGCCATCCCTGAGACCAGTGACTCCGGTATTGAGTCTGATGCCAGCGGTGTGGAGTCATCTCAGGCCTCGTCTGCGAGTGTGTAGTCCAGGATGTTTCTTGTGGACAAAGTGTTGAAACTTCTTAGTTTCATTCATATTGACCATCATCACAGTTCTGTTTCCAATGCTTCAATGTTCAAAGATTTGCTTTGTTGGTGCCAGTTTTGTGCTTCCTTTGTTTTTTCAGAGTTAATGTGGTGCTTTTCATTGCATATTCCTGTTCAGAGGAGCCTTGTGTACATGCACTCATTCAGTTTGCTTAGTTACTGAATCCACTGACCTTAAATATGATAAAAATAAAAATAAAGTAAATTAGAATGAATATGACAATAAAAATTACCATGAAATGCCAGCAGCAGATTTTAGGTTTGTAATATTTATGAGGACCCAAATCTGAGATTCTTTTTAAGATGATTTAAATAATCCTGCGCAATGACTTTTTAGATATACTCAACATCAAAAGAAAGGTGAACCATAGAAATAAATAAAGAAGTACCACTCATACATGTTAATGACAAAAGTAACAATCAGTCAAGTGTTACCTCAAAGTATCTTTATTCTTGTCATGAAATGCTTCCATGATTTTCAAACTTTACGGGGCAGTCAGGTAGCCAAGTAGTTCGCTCGTCATGCCAAAGATCCGGGTTCGATTACCGACATGGTTACAATGTGTGAAGCTCATTTCTGGTGTACCCCCGATGTGACATTGCTGGAATATGGCTAAAAGCGACGTAAAACCATACCCACTCATTTCCAAACTTTACACACAAATCATGCACGAGACAAGTGGTGCATCTCCAGTCATGGACCTATGATGTCACATGTGATGCGTTCATGAGCGTCAGTTCACACAACCAGTATGTGTCGAATAACTCTAATATCTCTTGAATATGAGTAATTCTTCATGTATTAACCAACCTGTATGGTGTTCGTGTTTCTTTTGTCGCTGAGTATATGTATTTTTTTAAATAAGTTTTCACTTTCAAAATTCGTAATTGTCTAAGATGAGCTTATAATACTTCGCGCTAAGATCATCAGGATTTTGAAGAGGGAATATAGGTTTCACTCTGTTGTTTGCATTTGCAAAATGTTCAACATTTTTCAATTTGATCAGGATTATTGAATATGTACTGTTTCACCTGGTTTCCTTGTGTGTTTAATGCACTGAACTATCTGCCGACGGCTAGGTATATTCACGCATCAAGCTAAGGACCTCCTCAATCTTCTTTAGGGTGAGAAAAGAAACACCTTGATTTCCATGTTTAATTTTGATCACTGTTTCGCATGTGTTAAGCCTAGTTTTGTAGCAGGGATCGCGAGAGTGAGGTTTTAATTCTTAAGCTTACCCTTGTGGGGATTCAGGCTTAGAAAAGTTAGTTAAATGACGCTTGGTGACTTGGTTGATTGTGTGTCTTATGATTGACTTTGCTTGTAATACCAATCACTGGTCATATAGCGAGAATAGCGCTGACTGTAGTGTTAAACAACAGACTGAAAAAAAACAAAAAAAACATTCTATCACATCATTCCAAAAAATCTCACCAATGCTCATCAACAGAAGTCTAATCTTGTCAAAAAGATTATAAGACTCCTAGAAAAGTTTTCATTGTATTTTATATATGTATGGATTTTATTGACATGGAATAGATTTTATGAATGGAGTCACAATTCTGCCAATTACACCTGACAAACAGGCAGAATTGGTCCACTGTATTGAATTGGTGCAGAGATAAATGACACTGGGTGTCTACAGTGTGTGAAATAGTTGGCCACTGAACCAGAACAGCGATGATGATGCTCACACTGTCAACCACTGGTTTGTCTGGCCCAGATTGATTATTTACAACCCTCTGTGACACAGCTGACAGCTGCAGACTGTCATTTGTAAAAAGGTTAATTTCTCATCTGTTAGAGATTGACTTGATCATGCCCTAACTACTTTTGTCAATGCTCAAGGATAGTTTGGGAACAACTTTCATGAATAATATTAAGTCAAGTGATTTTTATCAACCAAAAATTCGCCTCGTTATTGCTGGAATATTGCTAAAGACCCGTAACACTAGACTTACTCATTCGTACACACATTGACTCCCCATCCCGGTTCTGCCCCGTGGGATGATATGTGGAGAAAATCCAACTGTATTGTACATTGTTGGTCAAGGAAGGTTTTTTGTCGTTTTCCTTTCTTTGGGATATTTTGCATTTACTGTCATTGTAAGTGATGCAGTAATGTAAAAATACAAAAGTAACAGTTTTATGTACCAAGCACATTTGTGAAGGTTGGATGCACAGATTGCCACTGGTGAAAAAGCAAAGACTCCTGATCAGATACCACTGAACACATGCTGGAAGAAGCACAAAGGGAGTCTTCCCATTCCAAGTGGGAAGAGATGATCATGTCTGCAGATCACTGTGCAGAGTTGTGTCCCTTTTCTGCTGGGACCAAATGGAAGACCCTCCATGAGATGATGCTTTCTTCTAGGGTATCAAGGCACATCATCAGATTTTGTGGGCTCCTTATTCGTGGCATGCGGTTGTGTTCCACAGTGGAGGTAAATATCTGGGGCCTTGCATGGTCTTCCAACTCGTTGAGGTATTACATTACCCAAACACTGATCATCCAGGCAGTCACTTGGAGTTTTTTTTAAGTTGCAGTGTTTTCTTGTTGATATTCATAGATGCTCAATTTGATCTATGCAAGAAACTTCACATTTTTTCGAGAAGATAAATGGCATGTTTCTGTTTTGTGTCCAGTTTTGATGCAAGCCTCCGTTATACAGCAGTTACAGCTTTGAGTAGATCGTAACAAGACTCCATGTGTAGATAACTTAGTTTCCTTTTCATTATCAATTTATTATTAAGTTTTTCACTGTTTTTGTCAATTTGAAAAATGTTTGGGTTTAAAGATGGACCTTAAAATGATTACCACAATAATCTATTGTATCCTCCAATGCAATGTGTACAAAAAAAGAAGACAAAAATAAATTCAGACTATTACAAAAAGCGACTGAACTGAACTCCTCAATTTTCTAAAAGAGATACTCCAGCTAAGATAAAGGTTACTTCCCTTCATTAATCCCCTTCATTAATCCCTTACCATTGTTTGTGTACAATTGAGAACAACCGAAATATATGGATATTCCAAAAGAAATAAAAACAAAAATCTTGAAATATGCTTGCATTTGTTTCATGCCTGTTATACAAATAAGGATCAGGGCCCCGTTCCTCAAAGCGATCTTAGCACTAAGGCTATCGTAAGGCCCATTCTTTAACATAGGGTTAGGATCGTCGTAGTGCTGAGATCGCTTTGAGGAACGCGGGCCCTGGTCGTCACATTTGTGATGTGTTGTCCTGTATCCCCGAGTCCTTCATCACTTCCGGCCTTTTTCTCACATCAACCCGACACAGAGACTGTTCATCGTGGCGTTAAACCAACCCACCCACTCACTCATTATGCATCAGCAGCATGAACTGTTGCTCAAGTTGACAACGCTTGTTGCCTTGACGACTAGAATCCTGGGTTATGCTTATCTTCAGAAGTGACGAAATTGCAAAGGTCTGTTGATTGCACGCCTTTGTTCCCAAATGTGTCAGAGGACGTTGCTCACAATATCAGTCAACCGTGAACATCATGCTTGCTGTAAAATGCGACTATGCTTGTCAGAGGCGACGAACTGGATCGCGTGGCCAGGCTTGCTGACTTGGTTGATGCATGTCATTGTGTCCCAGTTACATAGGTCGATGCTCGTGTCAATCACTGAATTGTCTGGTCCAGACTTGATTATTTACAGATATTAGTCACTCACTCACTCCCACGGCAGGAGCAAAAGCACTAAAACTTGATCATTCAATTAAATTAGGATGGGACCGTTTCACGTAAAATTGATGTCCAAAGGCGGTAACCAAGTTTTAGTTTTTCACTAACATGCATTTGAAATTTGATGACAAAAGAACAACGTGTTTTAATAATTAAATGATTTTATCAAAACTTGTAACAAAGGGAGACATAGTGACTATTATGTTGTTGACAGTTCAGGCAATGCTTCCCACGTCAAGGTTATAGAGTTCGCTCCTAAAGCAGAGCGCCCTCAGTAGCATGTCGCTATACTTGGAGTGCACCTTGTCCAGCGCTGTGAGTGTCATGTCTTTCCCGGCCTCGATAATAGGGATGACTTTAGCCTGGAAACACAGGGGCATTAAAGAGAAGTTCAGCTCGGAAACTCAGGGGCATGAGAGAGAAGTTCAGCTCGGAAACTCAGGGGCATGAGAGAGAAGTTCAGCTCGGAAACTCGGGGGCATTAAAGAGAAGTTCAGCTGAGAAATTAAGGTGCATATAAGGATTTCATTAGCCTCTGAACAAAGGGATGTCTAGGGATGACATTTCGCCTACGAACAGAGAGGACTATGGGATACATTTAGCCCGTAAATGATGGGAAGCAGGTTAACTTGAGCCTGTGAAAAGAAGGCAATATCGGGATAGGTAATCTTGAAAACCGAAGAGTGTATGGGTAACTTTGGCCTGTTTAACCGGGACATTTGGGTAAACGTTAGCCTGGAAAAGGGTATACATGATAACTAAGGCCTCGATACAGGGATAACATTAGCCTTTAACCATGGGAAAAGGGGTTAACCTCTGCATGGAAGCATTCACATTCTCATACCAGGAAAGCTGATACATACGAGAGCATCTCTCAACATTGTTATTTTGCCAAGGTTTTGAAATGGAATTTTGGCATCAGGACCCACAGACTTCAGAAGCTTCAGGCCCTGGCTTTACTCTTCTGGACCTTATTAAAAAACTGCAGCTTACTGTGTCAAATAAATCATCATCTAAATTTACCGCAGGCCATAAGGACCAATGCAACTTTGAAACTATGGGCCGACGCGCATATTTCGAACAGCGGATGTCTCGACGGTGACGCGCCTAGACGCTGCATGCCTTCGAAGTGAACACTTACATAGAAGGCTTTCCGGGAGATGACGTTACTGAGCGTCTTCTCAAGGTCGGAGCCGGCTGGGACATCAGCGATATAACAGTCCAGACTGTGCATGATCATCAGTAGGTGCTGCAACGCACAGGTAAACATTCACAAACCGCACAGGTAAACATTCACAAACCACACGGGTAAACATTCTCTTTCTTTTATCGCCCTGATTATATTTCTAGGATTTTCGGCACCATAGCCGTGCTCATGGGATTAAGTGAGTGAGTGAGTGAGTATGGATTTACGCCGCTTTTAGCAATATTCCAGCAATATCACGGCGGGGGACACCAGAAATGGGCTTCACACATTGTACCCATGTCGGGAATCGAACCCGGGTCTTCGGCGTGACGAGCTAACGCTTTAACCACAAGACTACCCGACCGCCCCTCATGGGATTAAGAAAAGTGAGACCTGCATCACTTCGGGCTTTTCTCCCACATCAAGCTGAAACGCAGTGATATAACTGGTATACTGTGTTCCGGGTGAATATTTGTTGAAATGAATGAAAGATTAAATTCATATCATATGGCAATGAAAGCAGATGCCAGTCTCATGACATCAACACGAATACCGACGATAGATTTATGTTTCACTTCATTTATTAGATTAGTCTCGTGGAAATCAGTAGGTGGAGCCTTACCAACAGGTGAGGAATATTACTAAGATTTATTATTCCCATATATAACTAACCGTACAACAAACTTGACAAAATACTAAAGCAGTTAGGACAATGAACAGGGGTGAATGTAAGGCTCAGGCATATTTTCAGTTCTTTAAATAAAAGTCATCTGAGGCGCCGCGATTCGCTGTGCAGAGTTGCGTCCCTTGGGCACGCCAGAAACCTATGATTGTGGGTTCGAATCCTGGTTCGCCCCGATTATGTTTCTAGGTTTGTCAGCACCATACCCATACACCGGTGGTAAACGTCTGAGACCTGCATCACTTCGGGCTTTCTTCCCACATTAAGCTGACACGCCGTGATATAACTGGAATACTGTTAAAAGCAGCGTTAAACCCAACTCACTCACTCACTCACTCAATAATAGACATTTTTACTTCATATCTCAACATTTTTCATGAAACGAACACCACATTATGCATAATATACGGTTGGGCTCGACGGGTCATTTAAGGTCAAACTACATACTTTCAAACCTTCGCGTATGCGTCTTTCTGGTAATACTTACAAATTCATCATGATACTGAAACCTATAGCCGCTGACGGTCGTCTCGTAGTCTCCCTGATGGATGGGGAGGAATTGAGCCTGGAAATAATGAATTACTGTTACTTATACAGCCACACATGACATCACCGAGGAGGTCATCGCTCCAACCCTGAATATCCAGGGAAGAGCAGGTCTTCAGCAACCCAGACTTGCCGTGAAAGGCGACTATGCTTGTCGTAAGAGGCGACTAACGGGATCGGGTGGTCAGGCCCGCTGACTTGGTTGATGCATGTCATCGATCCCAATTGCGTGGATCGATGCTCATGATGTCAATCGCTGGATTGTCTGGTTAAGACTCGATTATTTACAGACCGCCGTCATATAGCTGGAGTGCGGCGTGAAAAAAACCCAACCAACCCTGCAAGAAAAATATCCGGAAATAGCAAGGAAGTCTACAATACTATGTCAAGTTTAGATTTCTTCTCTTCCTAAAAGAAGAGGTCATGTGGGCCCATCTTTCCATTATGTATCTAAAGACAATTTAACAAAAAAATTACTTACGTTTCATTTCAGAGTTCGAATGCGTAGTAGAAAACTACTTAAATGTCTGTGTAGTATTGATAAGTAAAAACATTTCTGTCAGGACAAGTGCCAAAAGAACGTGAGGGCGTGAAAAATTGTTTTGGGACAGTTGGCTTCCCCGTGCAACGGAAGAATCGATTTCCACTGAACAGGCGACTGCAGTGTTGATGGAGCGTGACAGTGCACGCGCAGTTCATGCTCTCCGGGTATTTGCCAATGCGCCACGTCGACTCGTCAATGCACAACATCAATGCACGTAAGCTGTTCCTATTTGTGACTTGAATGTTAATATTAGCTGTCTTCAACCACTGCTGTTGTTATTGACTGCACGGATATATGCAGGTCCAAGGCTTCACTTTACAGTTGGTTTGTTCAGCAAAACTTACCTTTAAGCTATAAATAGACTTGTCACAGTTCGAGACCATGAGGTTATCTTAATATCATGAGTGTGTAAATACAATGGCAAAACACAAGTTCTCTCATCGAAGTACCGGCTTGAGTTTAATCATCGGGAAGTTGAATGTTGGCTTCTGTGGAATCAGGCAATTTGTAAATGTTATATATATTACTCAAAACAGTTTAAGGATTCTTTCACATTACTATTGTTATATGAAAAAAGAATCGGGTGTTCCTTCACTTTTTTTCAGTTGTATATGAGATTAAAATAATATCTGCAACCATTCCCGGAATGTTTTTGACACACTTGTTTGAAAGTGTTAAAGAATCTGCACTGGATGTCCGTTTGTAAATAACAAACGTGGTCTTAATGAAACTTAATTTCATTCACGATTACGTTCTGTAGACACGTTCGGGTCAAGTTACATTGACTGGTAAGATATCAGTTGGTCTCAACAGATGTCCGATCCATTGAATATGCATGAACTGCCAGGCCAAAAAAGTATATACTTTATTGGCTTTGATAAAAATAGTCTTGACAAAAGAATGTATATACTTGATTGGATTTGGCCAAAAATATTCTTGATTGAAAACAATCGCCTGTTGTGAGATACTCATTGATCTGCTGCAGGCATTAAATATCGTCTTTGATAACCGCATCAAATGCATCACCATCGAATAACTTTTTCTTGTTTCTTTCATTTTAAGCTACCATCAAACAAACATGGTGCATACTTTCTTTAGCCCGGTAGTGTATATCGGAGAGTCGTATTTCTACACATGCACGACTGTCATTTAAACATTTTCTCCCCTTGTACATGTATCTTGAGACGTGTGCTGCGGCAACATGTTCATGACAATGTGCAGTATAAAATGTACGTAATTATTTATATATGCAGTATATCAGAAGAAATCAAAGAGTACATAATTTCATATTTAAAATATATTTGGGACAGAATGGTATCATTATTTGCAGGCATAAAAGTAAGTTGAGTTTCATATATACTTGTACAAGTCTCTAAGGCAATGGGGGCGGTCGGGTAGCCTAGTGGTTAAAGCGTTCGCTCGTCACGCAGAAGACCCGGGTTCGATTCCCAACATGGGTACAATGTGTGAAGCCCATTTCTGGTGTCCCCCGCCGTGATGTTGCTGGAATATTGCTAAAAGCGGAGTAAAACCATACTCACTCACTCACTCACTCTAAGGCAATGATTATTACAAAAATCATAATTTCTAGATATATAAACAATTCATAACTTCTTGATTAAAAATAATAAAAACAAGCGGTCCCTATAAAAGACTGTACTGTCCGCTTATCTAGATTTGCCTGATATACATCCTTGGCCCGATTTTAGCACCACTATTACGGCGGGGTCACCTCAAATGGGTTTCACACTTGCCCGTATGTGAAATCGAACTGGATCTTCTTCATGATAAGAAAACTCGCTAGCCACTGGGCTACTGCAAAAGCCCACTTTAGTTATGTAGGAAGATAAAACTTCAATCTGAAGTTGTCATTACCCATTATCTTGAGGACAAACGAATGACATATGCATATGTAAACTCGGCTTAACGCAAGATAATGGTATGATGGCACCGCACTTAAACTGATGAAAGATTTTGACAATGCATGGCATGACATTACGGCCCTTGTAGGCATGGTATATCCCATGTATTTGATAAAATTAAAGTACTGACAGGAACAAATATGAAATTAAAAGTTAATTTTCAACAGGTATTTACAGTCGAAAAACAAATCAACTCAACATATTTTCAAAATATTTGTTATCTTCATGACACTTAGAGAACAAGCTAACAACACTGGTGAGTTTGAGAGTGAATTTTGTTGGACGCTTTGATTTGTGTTTTAATCGATATGGTTCGATAGTAAGAATGATTTACATATAAATCTGACACTGTTAAATGTTACGCAGGACAGTCTTATAACAGTGAAAACAAATAAAAAGAAAAGATACATAATAGTTACTTACCGAGACAGCAACAAGGAGAAACACGAAAACAAGGCCAGTCATGTTGGAACTAAATAATTCTTCTTGACCCACTGCGGAAAATACTGATCGCTTGTTGCTGGGAAAGTGAAAGCTGCCACTGACGATAATCTCTGTTCGCTTCGCTTTTTATCTAAGCGCGTAACGACACCGGAAGATTTTGTGTATGAACACAGAGACATAGTGCTTCCTTGCTTTAATCTCCTTAAGTCCGGGGGGCGAGCTGCAGCGTTCAGTGTCCGAGTGGTCAGTTTCCGGTCATCATGGCTAGTTTAACGGTTTCCGTCAGCATTCAGAAGTACATTCATGTCCTTGTTGACACAGATATACGATCATGTCCGTATTTTTCTTGTATGTTCTATTTTTAACTGAGGAGTTTGAAGTTATTTGTTTGAAACATTCCGTTTGTTTGTTTTAGATGATCCGCATTTTTGATTCACACCAGTTGATAAAAAAAACAAAAAGGAAGTATATATTTTGTAAGATTTTTAAATAATCGCCCTAATATAGGAAATGTTTCCGTAATATATGATAATAGTTTTATACGAACTCTACAAACTAAAGTTCATTTCTTTGTAAATACTAAAGACAGACGAATAATTTCGTTCAATTTAAAAAAACAACAACAATTGACGTGTGACCCCTCTTATTGGGACTGTACCGGTACCATGGCTATCGGCCGCATTACCACATTATCGGATAAACGAATCTTGAGTATGAAGTAATGTCCCTTTTATTATTGCTTCTGCTTGACCGGGTTTCAGTGTATGTATGAGTTACCTGATGGCAATTAAAAGCAGGAAAAAGCCATTTCCATAATGACAGGAATACTCTATTAAAGGTGTCCATTGTTCGGTTCCGACTGAGCGTATGTCTAGAAATCACTATCGCTTTGTGATGATGCGGAAAGGTTAGCGTATCCTGCCAAACGGCCCCCGTCACAAACACATGCAAAGGCAAGTCAATTGTTCACCTGAGAAACACACGGGAACATATGGTAAATTCAAAATAGAGAATTGCATCGGCCATCATTTTGGTCACTGATGCGTCAAATTTGGAAATGTCCTCTACATGTCAAAACAAAGCAAAACGCTAAAGACTATCACTCTTCGCTCACACATCTTTCATTCTCTTTGGACTCACTCACTCACAGAAACTTATATCGTATGTAATATCCTAGGTTCCCCTAATAATGTGTTTGGGTATATCAGCACTACATCTGTTTGGCAAGTATAGAAAACGTTTGAATAATAATGAGAGAAAGTCACATGACACATTTCACAGTTTGTGGAGATATTCATGTAACCAGTGGCAACAAAAACGCTTTGACCCAAATAAAAAAGTGTACGACTGTGGTTCACGCAATTTCACCATCCCGTTATAAGAATAGAATAAAAGGAATTGTGTATTCAAAAAGAATATAATGCCGATGCGATGTAAAATTTTAACTTACTCACTCATAAAGAATAGTCGCTGAAACCCCGCGATTGCGAATGGCACCATATCAAGAGGCGGAGGAAACACGAACTGTATTCATGGTTACATGAAGGTTAATTACTTGACATTCCGACTGAATAAACAACAATGTACACACATGCTTACAAAACAATTTCCAGTGAAACTTCGCATTATAGATTTTCAACAAACTTCATACAGTTTACTCATGTGGGGAATCGAACCCGGGTCTTCGGCGTGACGAGCGAACACTTTAATCGCCAAGTTAGGAGACGGTATTTAAATTTAAAGAAAATTAATGGACATTAAGATATTTTAAGAGCATGGTCAAAGTTCAAAGGTCAAATTAAGTTCACGGAATACGAGACATGTCTGAGTAATGCCGACAAAACGTTTCATATTTCAGTGTGGTCAATGTTCAAAGTGGTTGCTGAGGAGAAGATGCTTTCAGCCGACGGCGTGGACGGCGCCGACGACACCGGACCGAGCTGACCATGACATGAGCTCAGCTGTCGTCTTTCACTCAGGTGAGCTAAAAGTAAAGACCCTATGAACTAACTGTGTGTGATATTTCATGCATAATTTAACCTTATATTGTTCAAGGCAATTCAAATATAATCGGGGAGGTCGGGTAGCCTAGTGGTTAAAGCGTTCGCTCGTCACGCCGAAGACCCGGGTTCGATTCCCGACATGGGTACAATATGTGAAGCCCATTTCTGGTGTCCCTGCCGCGGTATTGCTAAAAGCGGCGTTAAGCCATACTCGCTCGCTCACTCACTCACTCACTCACTCACTCACTCACTCACTCACTCACTCAAATATAATACTTCTTGTCAGATGAACACAGAAGTTCTGCACCAATTTGTTGTAACACAAACCTGCACTTGTCGGGCATTAACGAAAAATAGTTGCTGAAGTATATGAATGTGAAATGATGATGATGACGATGATATTATTGATGATGATAATGATTTATTGCACGAAACACCATAGCCCCAGATACAAAGTATTTACCGTATGTGGTGGCTAATTATGAAACCCATGAATGTAAATATATCGCGAAACACTGAACGCTGAACACTATGATGGAATGCGTCGATGGATTTTGTTGTTGTTTACTTTTCAACATTATAACCTCCGAGGTCCACACACTTCTACCAGCGATGCTTGAGTGCAGGGATCCATCCCACTTGCGTAGAACGTCATCCCCATTTGCTTCGTGCTTGCCAGACAGTCCTTTCTTCAGGTTTGGCAAGACGTGGAGATCAGATGGTGCCAATTCTGGTCTAATCAGTTCAAAGTCACAGGCATGCATTGCAGCCATGGATAGCAGTAGTAAGTGAAGTTTACTTACTTCGTGAATTTCACTGTCCACTCAGACACTAACTTGTTCGGAGATTTTACTAACCAGTTATAGTCCGTCGACCCTCGTTGTGACACCCGGATTTTCACAATTATTTTCAACCCGTGGGGATCCGGGTCAGAATAGGCCGTCAGCAACCAATGCTGGGCATAAAAGGCGTGCAGGCTTGCCATAAAAGGCGACTATGCTTGCCGTAAGAGGCGACTAACGGGATCGGGTGGACAGGCTCGCTGATTTGGTGGATGCATGTCATCGTATCCCATTTGCGTAGATCGATGCTCATGATATCAATCACTGTGTGGTCCAGACTCGATTATTTACAGCCTGCCGTCATATAGCTGGAATATTGCCGAGTGGGGCGCTAAATAACAACCAATAACAACCAACACAATTATTTTTCATTATTTGATTAGCATTACTTAGAAGTTGACGGATGACAAAGTAATCACAATTTATGGATAACAGCTTCTTTAATACTGTAAAGGCGACGTTCCGGTATAGATCCTTATACCGTTGTCAAGCAAGACTGAATGAGGGACATAGTACAGAATACATATAGAAGGTGGGGGATTAACAGTAGAGGATTAACAGTAAGGACAAAGCATACATGAGTGGGATAACGTGAGTAAGTAATGACAACAGAAGGATAATACTGTCACAACATGATGGGCAGAGAACACATAGCTGGAAGCCAATGGGACATGAAGCCAATTTGACAGGATAAGTTGTATAGGTGCAGTGATTATTTTGCTTGATGAGTTCATAGTAGGCGGGTGGGATGAAGTAACCTTGATCTCTGTTGACTGATGGCTTGTGGCGGCGAATGTGGACAGCTTCTGTTAGTTTTCTTTCAATGAAATCATGGAGGTTGTTGGAGAGGATTTGGACGTTGTCCCAGTTGATGATGTGATTCGGACAGTTGCTGATATGGTCCGAGATGGCTGATTTACTGTCGGATTTAATGGTGGAGGTTTTGTGCTCTTTGATTCTGGTGTTGATGGGGCAGGGTGTTTCACATACGTAAGATTGTCCACAGTTGCAGTAAATTTTGTAAACTACACCTTAAGGCACTGATGGTTTGGTTGTGTTTCTGCCGTTGGCTCTAAGTAGGGTACTGAGGGAGGTGGAACTTGTGAATGAGCGACATGATATCTCAGTGGGCGAGCACACTAAAACCAGCTTTAGTCAGGACTAGTGCGCGCACGCACGCACGCACACACACACAGACAACACAAGACCAGTGGCATTTTGCTGCAGGGTTTATGAGAGAGGAATACGATTCTTTCACCTGCTCTCCCTTTGGAACACCTGAAGTGACATTCGTCCCCACTCGCCCCTTTCCGTAACCTGCAATTCGGCTTGTCCCGGAATAACACGAGTTGGTCCCACGCCAAACGCCACACGCCACACGCCACTCGCCACACGCCACACACCACACACCACACGCCACACGCCACTCGCCACACGCCACACACCACACGCCACTCGCCACACGCCACACGCCACTCGCCACACGCCACACGCCACATGCCACACGCCAAACGCCGCTCGCCACACGCCACTCGCCACACGCCACACGCCACACGCCACTCGCCACACGCCACTCGCCACACGCCGCTCGCCACACGCCACACGCCACACGCCACACGCCACTCGCCACTCGCCACACGCCATACGCCACTCACCACTCGCCACACACCACACGCCACTCACCACACGCCACACGCCACTCACCACACGCCACTCGCCACACGCCACTCGCCACACGCCACACGCCGCTCACCACACGCCACACGCCACTCGCCACACGCCACATGCCACTCGCCACAAGCCACACGCCACTCACCACACGCCACTCGCCACACGCCACTCGCCACACGCCGCTCACCACACGTCACACGCCACTCACCACACGCCACACGCCACTCACCACACGCCACTCGCCACACGCCACTCGCCACACGCCACACGCCACTCACCACACGCCACACGCCACTCACCACACGCCACACGCCACTCGCCACACGCCACACGCCACTCGCCACACGCCACTCGCCACACGCCACTCGCCACACGCCACACGCCACACACCCACAGACCGGGGGAGAAGGGTGTCATCTACATTGACCATCTTTATAAAATATGGATACTTCTAACACGACATATTATATTTTCGAAGACGGAATGTTTTCAGCACTTAGCACATACTCTATATCTCCAGGGCCACACGCCACACGCCACTCGCCACACGCCACACGCCACTCGCCACACGCCACACGCCGCTCGCCACACGCCACACGCCGCTCGCCACACGCCACACGCCGCTCGCCACACGCCACTCGCCACACGCCACACGCCACACGCCACTCGCCACACGCCACTCGCCACACGCCACACGCCACTCGCCACACGCCACACGCCACACGCCACTCACCACACGCCACTCGCCACACGCCACTCGCCACACGCCACACGCCACACGCCACTCACCACACGCCACTCGCCACACGCCACTCGCCACACGCCGCTCACCACACGTCACACGCCACTCACCACACGCCACACGCCACTCACCACACGCCACTCGCCACACGCCACTCGCCACACGCCACACGCCACTCACCACACGCCACACGCCACTCACCACACGCCACACGCCACTCGCCACACGCCACACGCCACTCGCCACACGCCACTCGCCACACGCCACTCGCCACACGCCACACGCCACACACCCACAGACCGGGGGAGAAGGGTGTCATCTACATTGACCATCTTTATAAAATATGGATACTTCTAACACGACATATTATATTTTCGAAGACGGAATGTTTTCAGCACTTAGCGCATACTCTATATCTCCAGGGCCACACGCCACACGCCACTCGCCACACGCCACACGCCACTCGCCACACGCCACACGCCGCTCGCCACACGCCACACGCCGCTCGCCACACGCCACACGCCGCTCGCCACACGCCACTCGCCACACGCCACACGCCACACGCCACTCGCCACACGCCACTCGCCACACGCCACACGCCACTCGCCACACGCCACACGCCACACGCCACTCACCACACGCCACTCGCCACACGCCACACGCCACACGCCACTCGCCACACGCCACTCACCACACGCCACACGCCACTCGCCACACGCCACACGCCACTCACCACACGCCGCTCGCCACACGCCACACGCCACTCACCACACGCCACTCGCCACACGCCACTCGCCACACGCCACTCGCCACACGCCACACACCCACAGACCGGGGGAGAAGGGTGTCATCTACATTGACCATCTTTTTAAAATATGGATACTTCTAACACGACATATTATATTTTCGAAGATGGAATGTTTTCAGCACTTAGAGCATACTCTATATCTCCAGGGCTCGTAGTTGAGTTTGGGTAATTTGAGATCGCGAGAACCATGGGGATGGATCCAGGGGTTAAGTTTTCCGAAATGTGAGCCCCGGGGATACAGAAGTTGTACTGTTAGTCAACATGTTGTATTTCGCCTTCATTGTGTGTAGCAATAGTATTAGACACATAACAAATAATCATCAATTATTTTTCCATCCTTCCCGTTTTGTACATGTGATGGGTTATTCTCTGTACAGAAAATATATCGAAAAACATTTCCAAAGTTGACCTGAATAACATGTATACTATTCAAGCCCGACATCTTTTCCGTTTTGTACTTTTTAAATACAGATGATGGGTAGTTAGTCTGTATAGAACTATACTTTAAAACACCTCAGTAATCTCTACAATCTACACTATCCAAGATGTGACGTTGTCGGACAAAATGGCGTATTCTGTACCATGTGGGAGGTGGTTTTTTTATGATTCTTTCACGTTGCTTGTCAGGATCACGTTGCTTGTCAGGATCACGTACCCGAGACCATTATCAGTTTTCACCATTTACCGGCGGCCGTTGTACACACCGAAATAGAACAGACCCTGTATCCATGCACCGGGCGTCATAAACACAACACCCTTCCAGTATCAAGTACGGTAACTATGACAACAGTTCACACTGTCGTCGTCTCGAGACTCTCTTCTGAAAGTCCTTACTCTGGGTAGAGGAGCCTGTTCGTATACAACAGTCTTATTGCGATCAGGTAAGTGTTGTTTTACTTATGCTTTGAAATATACGTACTATTAATAGGTAATTCAATATATAACGGTATTCAATAAGCAGATATGGCATGCATTGTTTTTAATTTAAGTTAAATCATTGGTTCGGTTCAAAGAGAAATACCATTCTGAAATAGAAGGAAAAAGCGATTTTCTTACCCATATTTTAGGCAAGATCTTCGGAAAGAAGTTTGCTATTATTTCATCTTTATTTCCATCATTTTTATGCAAAATATTCTACATCAATGTTATTCTAAAGGCGACAATATTCTCAATGTAGTACTCATTCGTATTCAAAATATTCATCTAGATAAGGTTATTCGATGTCTTGTTCTGCGGATCAGCTGAAATTGTTCACATTGGAATTATGGCGCACAAAGTACTTCCGTCGTTCCATTATAAATGTATTTTAGAGATCACTCAAAAATATTATTCAGTAATTTTATATAAACTGCCGGGCAAACGAAAGTACAAACCTGAAAAATGGATTTGAACCCCAAATTACAAACGTTATCAAAACGTTACTAGGCTGAAAACAGTTGCCAAAACACGACTAACTTTTGGTCCAAAACACAACTATGATACCCGTATCAAATACATCACCATGAAATAACTAGTTCTTTTCTGTTTCATTTTTAGCCACCGTCAAACGTGGGTGTACACTTTCTTTTGCCCGGCAGTTCCAATTCCATCATGAACTCTAGTTTAATACAAAAAACCCTAACCTTTCGTCAATGTATCGCATCTTAAGCAGTACAAGTGTAATTCAACGAAATAATGTCGACACATTTGTAACATTATAACTGGTTATTAATCTCGCTAAATCGAACTGTGATAACTCGATATATTATTTAAGATGGAACTTTATCGTCCTGGCAGACATGTTTGTGACAACGTAGTCGGATATCAACACTCCGCCCATCTCGAACGAATAACTGCTATATTTGGGCAGTCGTTGTTTTCATATTTGTTGATAATTTTCATTTATAAAAAATGAATATAAGCTCAGAGAAACCACAATAATAGTTACTAATAAATAACACATTTGCAATTTACAAAGGCAACATCACAATGGCAGGTCGAATCAATGTGCGGTGTGAAGAGCCTTCTAAAAGTAGTTGACCGCCTCCGTGGTCTAGTGGTATAGAGCGTCCGCCCGGAGAGCGGAAGGTCCGGGGTTCGATCCCCGACCGCGTCATACCAAAAGACGTTAAAAGATGGTACTTGTTGTTACCCTTTCTGGCGTTCGGCATTAAGGGGCTAAAACAAAGACTGGTCGGCTCGGAGTCAGTATACTGTGTCTGAGTGGGGTATTCTTGTTAAACTGCGGCATGGTATCTCAGTGAGCTAGCACTATAAATCGGCATCAGTCCGGACTAGTACAAGCAGCCACACAAACACACACATGTACATGCACGTCGCTATATAAGTGCAATAATAGTGGACGCGACGTTAAACCCCATTTCACCTCACCACATGCACACCACATTGATACACCACATGCACACCACACACCACAGTGATACACCACATGCACAACACATACATCACATTGATAATCAACACACACAACACATTGATACACCACATGCACAACACATACATCACATTGATAATCAACACACACAACACATTGATACACCACATACACCACACATACGTCACATTGATACACCACATACACACCACATTGCTACTCCCCATGCACACCACACACCACATTGATACACCACATGCACACCACATTGATACACCACACACAACATTGATACATCACATGCACAACACACACACCACATTGATACACCACATGCACAACTTACACACCACATTGATACGCAACATGCACAACACACACACCACATTGATACTCCACATGCACAACACACACACACCACATTGATACTCCACATGCACAACACACAACACATTGATACTCCACATGCACACAACACCACATTGACACTCCACAGGCACTCCGCACACACCACATTGACACTCAACATGCACAACACACACACCACATTTATACACCACAGGCACAACACACATACCACATTGATACACCACATGCACAACACATACATCACATTGATACTCAACATACACAACACATACATCACATTGATACTCAACATACACAACACATACACCACATTGATACTCCACATGCACAACACACACACCACATTGACACTCCACAGGCACTCCACACACACCACATTGACACTCAACATGCACAACACACACACCACATTTATACACCACATGCACAACACACATACCACATTGATACACCACATGCACAACACATACACCACATTGATACACCACATGCACACCACATTGATACACCACATGCACAACACATACACCACATTGACACTCCCCATGCACAACACATACATCACATTCATACACCACATGCACACCACATTGATACACCACATTGATACACCACATGCACACCACACACCACATTGATACACCACATGCACACCACATACACCACATTGATACACCACATGCACACCACATTGATACACCACATGCACACCACATTGATACACCACATGCACAACACATACACCACATTGATACACCACATGCACTCCACATTGATACACCACATGCACAACACATACACCACATTGATACACCACATGCACACCACATTGATACACCACATGCACAACACATACACCACATTGACACTCCCCATGCACAACACATACATCACATTGATACACCACATGCACACCACATTGATACACCACATGCAGACCACACACCACATTGATACACCACATGCACACCACATACACCACATTGATACACCACATGCACACCACATTGATACACCACATGCACACCACATTGATACACCACATGCACAACACATACACCACATTGATACACCACATTGATACACCACATGCACAACACATACACCACATTGATACACCACATGCACACCACATTGATACACCACATGCACAACACATACACCACATTGACACCCCGCAGGCACTACACATTGATACTCCACTTGCACAACACATACACAACACATACATCACATTGACACTCCGCAGGCACTACACACACACCACATTGACACTCCACTTGCACAACACATACATAACATTGACACTCCGCAGGCACTACACACACACCACATTGACTCTCCACTTGCACAACACATACATCACATTGACACACATTGACAGTTCACAGACACATACACCCTCCCCAACACCCCAACTGTTAGGTAAAAGGAAGGTAACATAGGCCTATAAACGACATAGATGTCACTGACACCTTAGCTAATGAAAGTAGCATCTATAACATTACAGTATGCAAGTGAGTATGGTTTTATGCCGTTATTCTACCAACATCACGGCGGGAAACACCAGAAATAGGCTCCGCACATTGTACCGATGTGGGGAATCGAACCCAGGTCTTCGGCGTGACGAGCAAATACCTCTAGGCTACCCCGTCGCCCCTACATCACAGACTCTCAAATAACCATAATCAACAGTTGTTTCAGTTTCAGCTTTTGCCACTAAAGATGTCGTGGTTACTCAAACGTCGGCGTGTGGAGCCAAAGACGTCATCGGAAAAACGCCATTCGGTAGCGTCATCCAACACGTCCTTGACCCCTTCACAACTTGACCTTGCCATTCGTGACCTACTCAAGCTGAACCCCCCAAGGAACAGATGTGAAGAGTTTTGTAGAGGTACAAAGGCCCTGTTCAGTTCGCAAGAAGCAGCAATCGATGGTGTTACAAACAAGTCATCACCCACTTAGCGGCGACCCTTTGATATTGTGGGGGCTGATGGGATTATTCTGACCAAAATAACCTGTTCCCGAAAATGCTGCAAAGATTATTTAAGAAATTCAGAATTATTTCGTATTTTTGTATGAAAGGGTATTTTGACGCACTATTTAATTCAAATGAAATTCACAATGAAATCCCTGCTCTGAAGGAGTACGGGTGGCCCAGTCGTGTAAGGCGCCGCGATTCGCTATGCAGAGTACTTCTGTACTGTTACTGTTGAGATCTTCTTCAGTGATGCCAAGGGAAAAAACTCTGTACTTGCTAATCCGGTATTATCTAGGGACCCGTTCCATTGAGCAGTCTTAGCGCTATGCTTATGATAAGTGTTAATGCATTTGAGTAACGATCGCCTTAGCGCATAGGCTATTGGGACTATTGTTGTTTAACACACTTTTTCTGTTTAAAAGGGGAGGGGTTTGGAGCACGAGTGGCCCTGTCGTCTGAGGCACCGCAATTCGCTGTGCAGAGTTGCGTCCCAGAAAGCTTCGGTCGTGGTTTCGAATTCCGGTTCGCCCCGATAATGTTTCTAGGTTTGTCAGCACCATACCTGTGCGCGTGGGTTTTGCCAAAGTGGTACACGTCTGAGACCTGCATCACTTTGGCCTTTCCTCCCACATTAAGCTGACATGCCGTGATATGACTGGAATACTGTTAAAATCGGTGTTAAAACCAGCTTTCTCACTCTGTTTAAAGGCAACCCAATTACCTCTTCCGGGAAGCGGAAACAGCTGGTCAAGATGGTGTCCATAGTGATGATCCCCGTGGCCGTCCTGACAGGCCTGACCGCCAATACCTTCTTCGCCACCTTCACCAACTACGTCCAGTCGTCTGACATCCGGGCAACACTGCTCTACAGGTACCTGTGTACAAACAGTGGCATTAGAAACTAACGCTACTAACATTCTTACTAAATATTCCCGAACATGAACCTCGACACTGATAAAGACCGTTTTAGTTTCAAGTGGGGAGAATTTTCTAAAAAAGTTTTTTTTTGTTTTTCTGGTTGTAGATATTGAAATTTTCTCTAGTGTCGCGCTTTTGTGATAAATGACTAAACAATCACAAAAACTTGTTCGCCGGTTGCCATTTTAAAGTTCATTAATCGACCTCAAAGAGAATTCGTTTAAGCTCAGGTGCCCATTTCTCGGTCTATAGATTTTTATAGTGTGAAAAGCTTGATACATTAACTAAACGACTTGAATCAAATGTGACAATTGGCTTGAGCGTAGCGTCTCTTAAGATGAAAGAATGGAATTCGATTTCTGCAGACACACCTGTCTTTTAACTGTCCATAAAGAACTGACGTTTCGGAAAATCCATGACGTTAAATAGGACGAAAATGCAGTCCTCGTTCTAGGATTAAGCAGCGCTTGGAACGAGCATTCGATGACTATCTTTAATATCCTATGTTTACCCTAGCGTGGAGCTCGGCAGCGTCATACATTACCTGCAGGAGGAGCGCGACATGAGCGCCCTCTATCTGAGTTCAATCGAGGAGAAGACGAAGAGTTTGCTGCTACAGCGATACCCCGAGACGGACCGGTCGCTGGAGAAGCTGACATTCTGGACTACAGGACCGACGCTCACCAGGACGGAGTTCCAGTCTAAGGACAGGTTTCTCTCCTACCTCAACAGGTTCCTCTCTACTTTATATATTATCATATGATGGTTTCTTAACCTTCTTCGTCTTGTGGTAGAGCGTCCGCCCGGAGAGCGGAAGGTCCGGAGTTCAATCCCCAGCCGCGTCATACCAAATACGTTAAAAGATGGTACTTGTTGTTACCCTGTCTGGCGCTGGTCTAAAGCAAGGACTGGTCGGCTAGGAGTCAGTATACTGTGTCTGAGTAGGGTTTTCATGTCAAACGCCGGCATGGCATCTCAGTAGACTGGCACTATTAAACGGCATCAGTCCGGACTAGTACAAGCAGCCCGACACACACGTGCATGCACGTCGCTATTTCAGTGCAATAATCTTACGTTAAACCCCATTTCACCTCACCCCACCTTAACCTTCTGCGATTACTAAGACGTTGAGGTGGCCTTGTGTTAAACGAGGTCATTTATCAGGGTCGCGTTGCTTTGGCCCAGCGCTATCCAGGGCTGCCCATTGGTGCGCTCAACACCAGGCTGTGGCACAGCGCTGAAGAGCGAAAGTCAGCAACGTTGGGATATGCTTGGCAGTGCCGAGAGGCAAAATAAAAATGACGGCTGAAAACGCCGTTGGGTATGACAACAAAAACATTAGACTGTGTGTCTCTCTCAGGATAAAACTCCAAATGTTCCAGCAGGCGAGGCTTACTCATGTATTACTATGCATCGGTTCCTGGTTATATTGTTTCAACTAATATATATTTGCATAAGGAGTTTGTGAATGCAAATTATCTATCATTGATCAGCACAGGAGGTGCATGTTGCATTATTTATATTACACCTAAATATGGTGTTCTGCTCGTAACATTCACATGCAGATACAGCTGGAGGTAGCACACTGATGCATGGACGGCTTCCAAGCTCTGCCTTGCGCCAATCCCAGTTGCTGGCTAACACAACGCGACCCAGGCTAAAACATTAGTGCTCAAATTGATTCATTCTCAATTCAATTCAAGCGCAGATTATGAAATATCTTTAGCCCGTGATCAACTAAGCACAGCTCACTGTCCAGTAAACTTGGCGCGGGTTTGCTAAAAGTTCTGTTTATGTCACAAAATGCGAATTGCAACACATCAGACGAGCATGGTAAGTACGGAGCAAGGTTTAATGTGAGCACAAAAACATTCTACGTTTTGTTTTATTCTTGGTTTTCACCGCCGTCATATTGCTGGAATGTTGATCAGGCCATACTGACTCACTTGGTGTTGGTGACGTCACTTCCGGCTTTCCGAAAAGAAAGCTATGGTGGCGAATGGGGCCAAGGTATTTATCAAAATAAAATGGAAATTATCACACTGGATAATCTCAAATGTTGTATAAAAGATGGACAATTTACAAGTTAACCTGAACCTATCCTGTCTTTATAACAGACATCGTTATGAGCTGGACACACTCAACCAGACGGTCACCATGGAGCTGCAGATGTACACCACCCTCATCCGTGTGTTCATCACGTGGTTGTATGATGCGGTAACGGAGGACCAATCAGGATCCATCTGGAGGAGTCTTGTCGCCTACCAGGAAGTCATCATAGCGAAGGAATACATGGGACTTGAGCGCGCTCTGGGAACTATTTTCTACGCAACGGGAACCTTCCCTTCCCAAGATGTGTATCTCTGGTTTTCTGAGAGCCAGGATGTAACGAACGCAACCTTCCTGTCTGCAAGAAGATACTCGGATTTGGTCCATGCTCTATATGATGAAAACGTGAACGTAAGTCGTGTTGTTGCCATCACACCTAAATTATTTGTTTCTTCATTTCTTTCTCCTTTGGGGGTAGGAACCTTTTCATACAAAACAGGTTTCCATTTTAGGAACCTAAAAAAACATGGGTGGGGGTGAAGTAAAGATAAGGCTTATGGAATATATCCTAATCAAAGAATTACCAGTTCACCTTTTTATTATCTGTGTCCGAATCTTGTAAAATGATTCAATTTATTTAAAGGAAAAGGGAGGATTTCGACATTGTAGATATACTGAACAAAATAAGTAAGGGATAATGAATATTTTGGGGGATTTGTTGACTGAGACTGACCATACAATATGCAATATCCCCCAAATATCATGATTCCAACTTGTTTTGTTCAGAATGCATGGCAGGTAATGAGGTTAGATTGGAAGGTGTTTAGTTTGGCCGTCGGTAATAAAAGGAAGTTCTGTCATTAAACCATCTCCATAGGTGTGTATTGTGACCTCACATTCATGCCAGCAGACGTTTACAGCACATCATAGCGGTGAGTGAGTCACTGATATGACTTTATGTGAATATATATCGTTTTTCAGCAACCACAGTTGATCTTGATTCTCTGAAGAGAGTTCCGACCCTTTGTTAAGTTAGGATCCGCATTCGCTGATCACGGAATAGACATTATTACGGAGTGGTATACGTCAGGCTTGCCCCAATTTTGTATTTCCTCGTTAATGAAACCGACACGCCGTGATACAATAAAAATACTAACCAAATCGGCGTTAAAAACAAAATATTGTTCACCCACTCTATGTATATGCTCCACATGTTGACATGTTGTTGTAGGGAAACGAGATGTTATTGGGAGTTTTGGGACGGATGAGAGCAGAGATCAGACGGAACGACCTCGAAGGAAGAGGATCTGTCAAGATGGCGCAGTGGTGGTTCAACAACATGACAATCTACATGGATCTGCTGCTGGAGACTCAACAGGAGCTTGCTGTGGAAATCACCCAGATGCTGGACCAGAGGCAGGCTACCAACCTGCAGAAGATGGTCGCCATCTCTATCGTCTTCGTCTGTGTCTTCGTCGTTTCAGCCATTATCATCTACGCTGTCTACTCCCTCACCGACGAAATCCAGAAATACTCCATTACGCTTGCTGAGAGGTTAGTAGCGGAGTGTGTTAGGGAAAGTGTGAGTGAAGCGCCACTTTGGACAGAATTCAGATACGTCTATCACTGGTCTTTTATGTATGTCATAGTATCTGACCCCTGAAGATCCGGGGTAGAATAGATCTTCAGCAACCTATGCTTGCTGTAAAAGGCGACTATGCTTGTCGTTAAAGGCGACTAATGGGATCGGGTGGTCAGGCTCGCTGACTTGGTTGATGCATGTCATCGATCCCACATGCGTGGAACTATGCATATAATATTAATCACTGGATTGTCTGGTCATAAAGCTGGAATATTGCTGAGTGAGGTGCTAACCACAAATAAACAAACCAACAAACAGATAAACACTGATGAAATTATTTTTTTTAAATTAACTGAATTGGCCTAGTCAGCACTCAGAGATTAACTTGATTTTGAACTTTTTAAAATAAAAACATCCATTCGCTTAATACAGAACTGCTGATGGGTATCTTAGACATCTTATCTTTAGAAATCAATAAATCAAGAAGTGTGCCTTTTTCGGCTCAAATTTACATGTCAAACATGCAAGGGGGCATGTGGTTGCAAATTCATTTTTTACCCAGTCTTCATTGAACTAATCAAGGTTTACCCAAAATTACCCAAACACAGATTACTTTTTTACAAACTGTTGCAGGAATGAGTAATAGTTGAGTAGACGTAATCAAATTTAACAACAGTTCTTTCAGTTTTCAAACACATGTAGAACAAGCTCGGTATACTTTCTTTTGCCCCTGAGTATCAGTATGTTTTTTATCGGTAATTTAGCTCTAGAACGGCGATGCTGGTCGTAAATGGATCGGGTTGTCAGGCCTTGTGACTTGGTTGATAGCGTGTCAACGTAACCGACGCAAGGATTGTTGTTCATAATATCAATCACTGGATTCAATAGTCGTGACTATTTACAGCGCTACGTCATGTTGCTGAGTGCGGCATTAAACGCACGCACGCACACACGCCCGCACGCACGCACGCACGCACGCACGCAGCTGCAGCTACACAATACTATTGCTGTTTTGTCATTTCCCAGAACCAAAGCTTTAAATAAGGAGAAGAAAAGAACGGACACGTTATTGTACCAGATGCTACCCAAGTCGGTGGCGGACTTGCTTAAAAGCAATGAGGAAGTGAACGCCGAGAACTACACCGAGGCCACCATCTTCTTCTCCGACATCCAGGGCTTCACGCAGATCTCGGCCCGTAGCTCACCTGTACAGGTGGTGCAGATGCTCAACGGCCTCTACTCCTGCCTCGACGACAGGATCGCCCAGTACGACGTCTACAAAGTGGAGACAATCGGCGATGCCTACATGGTGGTGTCAGGTGCGTGTTACTTTGGTAACGGTGTCAATGGGGATATACTTGGAGGCCGACTTTTTAAAGCTAGGATTTGTGTTAGGCACATGATAGTTTTTCAGTCCCCGTTTAAAGACGTGCATTTTGTTTCTCAGACCCTAACCCTGTCAAGTGAGCTTATGTGATGGCCGGGGACACGGGTGGCCCAGTCGTCTAAAGCGCCGCGATTCGCTGTGCAGAGTTGCATCCCTTGGGCACGCCAGAAACCTATGATTGTGGGTTCGAATCCCGGTTCGCCCCGATTATATTTCTAGGTTTGTCAGCAAAATACCCGTGCTCGGGGGTTTCCCCGAACTGGTAAACGTCTAAGACCTGCATCACTTTGGGCTTTCCTCCCCCATTAAGCTGACACGCCGCGATATAACTTGAATACTGTTAAAAGCGGCGTTAAACCCAACTCACTCACTCACTATGTGATGGCCTCTTTGTCCCTTGTAAACACCAACATCTGAACCAATGGGGACGGTCGGGCAGTCTAGTGGTTAAAGCGTTCGCTCGTCACGCCGAAGGCCCGGGTTCGATTCCCGACATGGATACAATGTGCGAGGCCCATTTTCGGTGTCCCCCGCTGTGATATTGCTGGAATATTGCTAACAACGGCGTAAAACCATACTCACTTACTCCCTGAACCAATGAAGCTAAAACTTCCCATACTTGTTACACGAATGATGACACCCAGATTTGTTCCAGAGGTTCAGATCCGACATCCAATATGGCCGCCACGGTAGCCATTTTGAATAAGACCATTTCATGACCATATGTGTAAATGATATGAAATTTTGTATTTGTTTTGTGCAGGAATCAACACATACGTATTTTGCAATGTTTTATTGTTTTACCTTGTTATTACCATGCGTTTTTCTTTATTCATATAGAAAAAAAATCATATTATGCTCATTTAAGGCAACGGGGTAGCCTTGTGCTTAAAGCGCGTCCCCGCCATGCAGCAGAATCGGGTTCGACTCTCCAGATGGGTACAAAAATATCATTTTTGGTTGTCCCTGCCATAATATTGCTTGAACAAAGACCTGATTGACAAATAATATTTCCAGGCATACCAAAGCTTAACGGCCAGCGCCATGCAGTTGAAATAGGCAGCATGGCCCTCGATCTCCTTGGCAACATCAACCGCCTGGAGATACCCCATCTTCCAGGAACCAAGTTCAAGCTGAGAATAGGCTGCCATACAGGTTTGTTACATTTGTATTATTGTGGTAGATGTGTTGGTAATCTCGAAACCCAGGCGTGTAAGTCTCACTACACACTGTTTGTTATCTTGTTTGTTTAACGCCAGACAACCCAGTGATTGATATCACTAACAACGATCCACACAATTGGGATATGATGACATGCATCAACCAAGTCAGCGATCCTGACCACGTGCACGCGATCCCGTTAGTCGCCTCTTACCAGAAGCAAGGGTGTTGCTGAAGACCAATTGTAACCCGGATGTTCACGGGTTCACTGCGCCCTGAAGGAATCGATTAATCCGCCCTATGAATAGGAAATAATCCCAATTAACGCACATCGGATGTTGTGTCAAAATGGGTTTTTTTCTGGGGTGACCGTTTGCCACTTATAATAAAATAATTCTATAAGAAAATCCAAACCCTTACATTTCAAGGAAGCTTTTGGTTTGTTTGTTTGTTGTTTAACGCCGCACTCAGCAATATTCCAGCTATATGACGGCGGTCAGACAGTCCAGTGATTGATATCATGAGCATCGAATAACGCAATTGGGATACGATGACATGCTTAAAACATTTAGAGAGCCTGACCACACGATCCCGTGAGCTACCTCTCACGACAAGCAAAGTCGCCTTTTGCAGCAAACATGGGTTGCTGAAGACCAATTCTACCCCGGGTATTCACGGGTACAGCTTTTGGTTCTCATAATGAACTACGAGAAGGTGAAAGGATGGAGAGGTTTCAATGAGGCAGTTTTATGGGGTTTGTCCTCAAAATATTGAAATGTCAAAAAAGATGTTTCAATAAATTTGTGGTCTCACATTTCTTGAATTGTCTCTATACTATTCACTTAGGAAGAGGTAAATGTTATTGTGCAAATTGCCTGTGGCCTAATTTCAGCGTGGATTTTATTTGAAATCAGATTTTTTATTTTTTTATTTTTTTTTATCATTTTACCAATGTTGTTGTCAGTGAATGCTATATGCAATTTTGTTTTAAAAAATTAAATGAAGATACCCTTGCTTTACTCTTTCTTGGTGCATGAAATGTGGCTGTGGCACTTGCAGGTTCTGTGGTGGCGGGCGTCGTAGGGACGAAGATGCCTCGATATTGTCTATTTGGGGAAACTGTCAGCATCGCCGCCAAAATGGAATCCCTGGGCAAACGTAAGTAACCTTGGTTTATATCCTCCTAATGCTGAGCGCGAAGCAGGGTAACAACACGTACTATCTTTTAACGTTTTTTGATATGACGCCGCCAGGGGATCGAACCACCGACCTCCCGCTCTCCAGGTAGAGCTATATCCACTACACCACGGGGGCTGTTGAGCCAAAATCACTCACACAATACCGTTTGCATTCATCTCCACAACTGTATCTAACCTTCTCATGTTTCTTGGGGCAGCGGACCGCCTCCGTGGTCTAGTGGTAGAGCGTCCGCTCGGAGAGCGGAAGGTCCGGGGTTTGATCCCGGCCGCGTCATACCAAATGACGTTAAAAGATGGTACTTGTTGTTACCCTGTCTGGCGCTCGGCATTAAGGGGCTAAAACAAGGACTGGTCGGCTCGGAGTCAGTATACTGTGTCTGAGTGGGGTATTCATGTTAAACTGCGGCATGCTATCTCAGTGGGCTAGCACTATAAATCGGCATCAGTCCGGACTAGTACAAGCAGCCACACACACACACACACACACACACACACACACACACGTACATGAACGTCGCTACATAAGTGCAATAATTAAACCCAATTTCACCTCACCTCACCTTCTTGGGGCAGCGGGTTAGCCTAGTGGTTAAAGCGTTCGCTCGTCACGCCGAAGACCCAGGATCGAATCCCCACATGGGTACACTGTGTGAAGCCCATTTCTAGTATCACTCGCTGGTAAAACTATACTCACTCACTCTTATGTTGTGATATCATAAAATACTCACGAGTTTATATTGTAGCGAGTCGCATCCATCTCAGCCAGACAACCTATGACGCTCTACTGGGAAGAGACGGATTCCGACTTGAGGAACGAGAAGACGACATGGCCAGGGCAAGTATTGCGTCTTCACATCCTCATCCTCATCAAGCTATCTGTATTACGATTCGCTGTGCAGAGTTGTGTCCCTTGGGCACGCCAGAAACCTATGATTGTGGGTTCGAATCCCGGTTCGCCCCAATTATGTTTCTAGGTTGTCAACACCATACCCGTGCTCATGGGTTTCACCGAAGTGGTAAACGTCTGAGACCTGCATCACTTCGGGCTTTCCTCCCACATTAAGCTGACACGCCGTGATATAACTGGAATACTGTTAAACGCGGCGTAAAACCCAACTCACTCACTCACTCACTATCTGTATTATCTGCGTGACCAAAATCTGTGTTTGAAATTAGCATATGCAGATACATTTGTTCTCCCTTCCTGTAAATCATAATGAAAAAGCAATTGACATCATCCAAGATGTTCATCAGTGTAGAAAATCCGCTTTACTCACTAAGATCGAACATTCACTGGTGTAGCATGAGGCGTGTTATCAGTATTACGGGACACAATTCGCTTCATTCTGTTGATAGACATAAAACATATCAACATCTGAAAAGATGCTTAGCTTAAGTTTTCTTTTGTTAACTCTCTATAAAAATTATAACATTTTTCATATGTAAAATCTTCATGTAAAAAAAATGAATGAAATTTAATTCGAAAATAATCCCTGCATGTGAATTATGTGAACAAGCATCGTGATAATATCATTTTATGTTTTGTTTGTTTGTTAATTAGTTTGTTTGTTTAACGCCGCACTCAGCAATAATATTTGTAAATAATCGAGTTTGGACCAGACAATCCAGTGATTGACATCCACAGCACCGATCTACGCATTATGTGACAATGTATGCATCATCCAAGTCGTGGGGCACGGGTGGCCCAGTCGTCTAAGGCGCCGCGATTCGCTGTGCAGAGTTGCGTCCCTTGGGCACGCCAGAAACCTATGATTGTGCGTTAGAATCCCGGTTCGCCCCGATTATGTTTCTAGGTTTGTCAGCACCAAACCCGTGCTCGTGGGTTTCACCGAAGTGGTAAACGTCTGAGACCTGCATCACTTCGGGCTTTCCTCCCACATTAAGCTGACACGCCGCGATATAACTGGAATACTGTTAAAACCGGCGTTAAACCTCACTCACTCACTCATCTGTCGTATCATATCAGGACTTCGTATTGTTCAACTAATCCGCTGGGCAAAAGAAATTTTACATTTGAAAACTGGATTTGACCAAAAAATATTGCAAACCTTATCAAAAACGTCATGAGGCTGAAAACAGTCGCCGAAACACTGCAAAGTTTAGATCCAAAGCACAATTTTGATGACCGTATGAAATACATCACCATTGTTTCTTTATTTTTTCGCAACCTTCAAACGTGAGTGTACAATTGTTTTTTACCCGGTTGTTTACATGAGTTTCCAATAAATATAAGCGACACCCCTTCCACAGCCGCAAGAAATCTCTGCTAAAAGCAGAGTCGATTGTACGATTCCGACTATATAATGATCATGTGTATGAATCACTATCTGATAGTGATGATACCAGGTGTTCGTCAAAAGGTGAGCGTATCCGGCCAAAACACACGCGGCGTAAAAACATACGCACTAACGGACTCAATTTTTTAAATGAAAGAACGTGGTGTCCCCCGCCGTGATATTGATGGAATATTGCTAAAAGCGGCGTAAAACCGTACTCACTCACTCATCCACTTTAACAGCGAGACCGGGAGCTGCAGATGTTCTTCAAAGGCTATGTTCACACCTACTGGTTGCTGGGAAAGGAGGGGATGCCGAGTCGCCTCTCCAGCAACGTCGGAAAGGCATCGACATCCGAGTCCAGTGCCAGCGAAGAAAGGATGCACCTCGATGGTGAGTTGTCTTCAGATAAAGGAACTCTAGGCTCGGGCAAAGTGGCTATGTCGGCAAGATTGATTCAAGTCATTCTTACATTGTGTGTCTGTGACTTCAAATGTTATGATTTAGATAAATCTCACAGTTAATGACAACCCTCATTACGGAATGGTGTGTTATGTCGTTTTAAGCCATCATTTTTTGAACTATGCGATATCGGCCTGTAATAATCGAATATTGACCAGACCAACGCAATCAGTCACAGACACTATCCACCCGATTCAAATGTCTGTTGGTTCTTGCCACAAGCGGGGCGGTCGGGTAGCCTAGTGGTTAAAGCGTTCGCTCGTCACGCCGTAGACCCGGGTTCGATTCCCGACATGGGTACAATGTGTGAAGCCCATTTGTGGTATTCCCCGCCGTGATATTGCTGGAATATTGCTAAAAGTGGCGTTAAACCATACTCACTCACTCACTCTTGCCACAAGCATGGAGCACTTGGGACCCTTTCTACCCCCAAACCCTCACTTAAGAGGGTTCAATCTACATTTCACAGTAAATATACCGTATTTGCCGTATAAAATCCTAGACCAGTCTGTAAGTAATCCTTATAGGCTCCCCTACGAAAAGGTACATGCCAGTCCCAATTTTCTTGCGTTCGTTACATAAAACAGTTTCCAGTACTTCCTGGAAACTATTTTCGAAAACATATGTGTTTGTTCACTACCACTGATCACTGAAAATATATTTTTAAGTAACTTCTTGTGTATGATCTTAATCAGCACCCCTTTGTCAGTTATCTTAGCGTCCGATTCACAGCCATTCTCAATGCATCTATTTTCACAAGGGCGAGTACATTGTCAATGAAAAGTTGCAGTGAACGTTTCGCAGGATGCTAACAACTGAAAAATACCTTTCGCAAGATGGGATGTTTATACTTGAAATTTGTATCCCCCACAGGTAAAGAACATGTGTGGGAGCAGCATTGATGCCTTGCTGCGTCTGCGTCTGCGTCACCGAGCGTCTGAACGTTGTGTACGTTAGAAGCATGCAATAATAAGTATACACCTCTTGGGCTGATACAGAGGGGGGGTGCGGGGGTGCGCACCCCCACCCCCCCCTCCCCCCCCCCACCCCCCCACCCCTTTTATCTCGAAAAAAATCTTTATTTCTGTATAAATTACCACCAAAGACAATAAATAGATCTTAATTGTGCACCCCACCACCCCCCCCCCCCCCCCCTTTTCAAAAAAGCTGTATCCGCCCATGCACCTGGATTCGTCACTGTAACTTTTCAATAATTCAGGAATTTTGGTTTGTGCGAATCTTTGCTTCGAAAATGTTGTTTACTGTAACAAAGGGTGACAACGGTATGTCGAGTACATCGAAAACATACTTTGCCATATTAACTTTTGCCAATGTTTTCTTATTTATATTTTCATCTGTGTACATATTTATTGTGTTATTTTGTTTCTCAGTAGTAATTTATTCCAGACTTTTCATGATGGTGTGCCTTTATTTGCTTTTTGTCACAACATTTGAACGGGCACATCATCATCATTATCATCATCATCATCATTATCATCATCATTATCATTATTATTACTATCATCATCATTATTATTATATCTATTATCTTTTGACAGATGATGTTCCAGTACGAGGAAAGGCAGTTATAATTATGTAACATGGCGCCCAAGAATACCATCCTCGAATTCTTAAATGGTTGTATCTCTAATCCTATTGTGTTTGATTAAAATTTGCTTCTCAGTATCACTGACAGAGAAATGGGTAAGAGTCACAAGGCCCTTATTGTTCTTGTGTTATTGACAGCTTTTGATGATGAAAACGTTATGAAAATCCAACGCAGTGTGATAAAAGTGTTCAAATGGCTGACGACTATCATTTTTACCTTTATTATATTTAGGCGGTGGGGGTAGCCTTGTGGTTAAAGCGTTCGGTCGTTGTGCCGAAGGCCCGAGTTCCATTACCCTCATTGATACGATGTGTGAAACCCATTTCTGGTGTTACCCGTGGTAATATTGATGGAATATTATCAAAAGCGGTGTAAAACCACACTCACTCACTCTATTAAACTGTTGCATGAATAAAGGTGGGTTTATTCAACGTTTCGGAGAGTCGAATCAATGAACATCTCAGTAGGCGTAATTAATGCACCTGTCCTCTATTTACACAATGATGGTCAGGAGGCACGGGTGGCCCAGTCGTCTAAGGCGCCGCGATTCGCTGTGCAGAGTTGCGTCCCTTGCGCATGCTAGAAACCTATGATTGTGGGTTCGAATCCCGGTTCGCCCCGATTATGTTTCTAGGTTTGTCAGCACCATACCCGTGCTCGTGTGTTTCATCGAACTGGTAAACGTCTGAGACCTGCATCACTTCGGGCTTTCCTCCCACATTAAGCTGATACGCCGTGATATAACTTGAATACTGTTAAAAGCGGCGTCAAACCCAACTCACTCACTTACTCTTGTAATCGAAAGGTTGTGAGGTTTGTAAGAGTGTTTGTTTGGTTTACATGAACAAGAGTATGGAGGTAATGCAACTTCTGTTTGTCAGATACAGATATGATTGGTGTTCAGTATGTGCTCTTGTGATTATTCATATTATGACTTGTGTTGATCCCTGTGGGTATCACATGTGTATGAAACTATTACGTGTCGAATATATTAAGGTTTCTTTGCATAATGAAATATTCTTTGCGTCAAAAAGGCTGCTAGAGCTACAATTCTAACTTCTATGCACATGAATACAAAAGTAACGTTTTGTCAAATATTGTGTACCCTTCGAAAATGTAAACAAATATTGTCAATTCATTTAAAATCGAATGACAAAGTATTGACTTTGGGTGTTGATGGAGGCATGGATGACCCCGTCTAAAGCGTCGTGTGCAGTGTTATGTCCCTTAGGTGTGCAAGGATCCCCTTATTCGTGGCTTGTCGGCGCAATGCACGTTCTGTTTATCTCGTTAAACTTTATGTAAAAAAAATATGTGTATGTTCATTCCTCATCTGTCTAAGTCATTGTTGTGTGAAATAAAGTATTTAATGCTCATATTTTGTTTTGATGTTATTATGAACATCCGCCCACCCACATCTTCGTCATCTGGGCTGATGGACATCATCCAGATTACTGTGACTGGACGCTGTCGAAGCACTCGGTATATAACCCTCCGTTTGTAAAGTGATCCATGGTGGAATTACATGTTGATGGAATACGTTCCAACGTTAAAACCTGGATCAAATCGCCACAAACATGTGGGAGGGACATATTGAGTACATTCCTTCCAGTTTTGTCGGATAAAGTAAAACAAAGGATAATTGTTAATAATTGATAAAAGTTAATATATTCACAGAAGACATCGACGCGTCATTGGGAGTTACCTCCCCTTGACATATAACATATGGAAAAAATACCCGACATTTATATCATGAAAATATTGCAAAGTTATTTTGAGGGTTTGTTTAAATGCCATATATTTACAAAACCAAAGATGCTGAGTTGTCTTGCTGAAATTAAATTATAAATCGGAGTTGTAATCGATGGGACGTTTGTTTTGAAAAGTACTGTACCCCAACAAAAAACAGAACGTCTTTTTTCTCTCCTGAAAGTCTGTTAGTATGACGTCATCAGAGTACATTAACGACAAAATGTAATTTTTCCGTATAAACCGTAAAGTATTTAATTACGATTTAATGTAAAATGTTTAATTACGAAATCGTAAAACACCTGGATATATATTCTTACCAGAATAATATCTGAAGGATTGTTCTTATGTTTTGTGTGCAACATCTAACTTGAAATTCAATGAGTTCCGATGGACATTGTCACAATTGCATGACAAGGAAAATATTTACAATATCCTTTAATATCAGAAATGCATTCCACAGTAGAAGTCAATTAACGATTCGTACTACTTTGATGGGTTTTTTTTTAACAGGTGCTGATTATAACACCAAAGGAGAATGTATTTCGTAATTAATATTGCTGTAATGTAAGTCAGTGATCCAGGTAAACCGATTCAAAGGCGAACACCATTCTGTGCAGCTGGTGTGTTCAGTACGAAAACAAACGCTTTTCTCTGTATCATTAGCCTACACGCGCCATCTGCCATTTCAAAGAAAAATTGCTTCTCCTGTAAACGTATATATTAGATCGCGCTTTTACGTCCCCCCCCCCCCCCCCAGATTTACACGAACGAATGATCGAGCTGACCGAAGTTAGGCCGAGCGACGAAACCGGAGTTCGGAGGATATCTGCAAAGACTGCAAAGACATCATATGGTGCGCTCTGCTCGTGCCGCAATAAAATATTCTCCTTTTTACGTCAGTTTGTTTTATTATTTTATTGATAAAACTCTTTTGGTTCCTTTCCCTATTTTTAGACATTGTTTGAAATGTTGCAGACCGCTGCACTGACACGATAGCACGGGGAATCCCTTGTGAGAAAGTGAACAGTTGATACACGAAATCACTCATATACAGCGACGTTGTTACGACGATGAGTTGTTTGATGGACGAAGCATTAATCTTCGACATTATGAACATTTGTTATCGTTTATAACGTAAAACATGTAACTTCATGGTGCCGGTCCCATAATGCTTTATTGATCTGAATATTTGTCAGCTTTATTCGAAGTCAACGTAGGCAAATTGTTCCATATAATTAAAATCATACATTTATCTGAATCCTAGAATCCCACACGTCTCGAACGATCGATAATTCGATATATGTTCGAGACTGACTTGACTTTGGTAAGCGAGTAAAACGAGTCTCCATTCAAAATAATGAATAGATTTACAACACGATGTGTGTTCAAAGACGTTCACTGCAAATTATAGATAATTTGTTTAGTTTGGGTTCGACGCCGTTTTCTTCGGGGAGTTTCTTGATAGGTGTAGGGTGAGCCACAGTGCTTTCTGAGTCAGCTGCACGTGCCCACGGCTCCAAGTCGGTCTGAGCAGTAAACCCGAACACCAGAGCTGCCAGGAATATCAAGCCTGCACATACGTAGAACACGTTCCTCCATTCTTCAGGTGTGTCCTACAATCGCAATTATATCGCAATAATAATAATATTAATAATAATAATCATCACTTTAGAGGTCAACACTGACATACGGGTATTTACATTGGGTCTAAGACGTAGTGTCATCACTGATTTTCAGTGATCCATTCATATATTTTTCACCGCTATTTTGCCATTTCGCCCAATCTGTCCACCTGTTCATCGTGTTACCGAGACTGGTTATTCTCTGGCGTTGACGTTTCTTTATTTACATTGGGGGTCAACACTGAAATCTGGGTACTTACATTGGGCGTCAACACTTAAATCCGGGCACTTACATTGGGCGTCAACACTGAAATCCGGGTACATACATTGGGCGTCAACACTGAAATCTGGGTACTTACATTGGGCGTCAACACTTAAATCCGGGCACTTACATTGGGCGTCAACACTGAAATCCGGGTACATACATTGGGGGTCAACACTGAAATCTGGGTACTTACATTGGGCGTCAACACTTAAATCCGGGCACTTACATTGGGCGTCAACACTGAAATCCGGGCACTTACATTGGGCGTCAACACTGAAATCCGGGTACATACATTGGGCGTCAACACTGAAATCCGGGTACTTACATTGGGGGTCAACACTGAAATCCGGGTACTTACATTGGGCGTCAACATTTAAATCCGGGCACTTACATTGGGCGTCAACACTGAAATCCGGGCACTTACATTGGGCGTCAACACTGAAATCCGGGTACTTACATTGGGCGTAAACACTGAAATCCCGGCACCTACATTGGGCGTCAACACTGAAATCCGGGTACTTACATTGGGGGTCAACGCACCGGCGACGAGGGGCGCCAGCATTCCTGGTATTGTCGATATCGTGTTGTTAATCCCGAAGAGAAGCCCCGCATATCTGCAATACAGCAATTTTCGTTTGAGTGTCAGTGATGTTAATTGTATCATGACACCTGAAGTTGCTTCTGCTATGTTTACGACCTGAACTATTTGGAACACAAGCGTAATTGCAGTCGTCTACACACTCAGAACACTGATCTAGTTATAATTACATTGCTTCTGCGTTCGACTCCAGTTACTCGGGGTTTAGCAGGGGCACGGGTGGGTGTTGCAGGTCTTTGACGTTTAACACTTCGGTGAAACCCACGAGCACGGGTATGGTGCTGACAAACCTAGAAACATTATCGGGGCGAACCGGGATTCGAGCCCACAACCATAGGTTTCTGGAGTGCCCAAGGGACGCAACTCTGCACAGCAAATCGCGGCGTCTTAGACGACTGGGCCACCCGTGCCCCCCGTCAGTAACTACCATGCGTGACATTAGATTGTAGGACTGTTTTACTGTAAAGAAACAATTGCAGAGAAGATATCCAGGGTATTTTTCATGATAAAAATGGAGACGATATTCACTGAAGTATTTGGAATGGTATTTTACTTTTATATATGTCAATCTGACTCAGCCATTCCAACCCAGGTATTCTTTGTTTGGTGTCAACACCCATAAATCCACAGATCAAAGATGTGGTGAGGTTACCTAGTGGTTAGAGCGTTTGCTTGTCACACCGAATACCCGGGTTGGACGTCCCATGGATACAACGTGTGAATCCCGTTTCTGGTGTCCCTCGTGATTTCCCTGGAATATTGCTAATAGCGGCGTGATCCAGTCATCAGACACATACAGCAAATAGAATCACTGTAGAAAGTGACGCTTGAATAATGAGGACAGCAGAATAGTCAAGTGATCATATATAGCAGGAAGCGAATAACAGTTTTTGCCAGGATAATAAATGACGTCAGATGAGGTGCAACTTCCCCAGGCAAGAGAGTTAACTGACTTTAAACAAGGCTGGGCTCGATCGTAGCGCCACCAGTGGCTATTACGATACGAGTTATGTCCCTCCATGGAATAATCAGATTCCACCTCTCGTATCACTTGCATTTGCTTCAAATAAAATGGCGGCGCCCATTCAAGACGATCTGATCGATAATCAAGATCTATATTGTGATAAAACAGGTCTTACATCGCGAAGTGCATCAAATCACGTGAACACCTTGATTAAAAACATGAAAAGATTTGGAAAATATCTGTTGACAACGAGTTGGCGGTGCACATGTATTGCACATCCTGCAATCAATTGAAATCTGATTGACAGTTTACGAACAGGATTTCGATTTCATTGCGCGATTTTGATTGGACTGTGCATACACGTACTGGGTATATCCACATGTACATCCTTAGACATTCGTTTTTCAGAAGACTATTCCAGACTTTATTGCACTGATCCTCTGAGTTGTACCTGCTTGTACGAGACAAAGTGTTTACTATGTTTACTATGTTTACTATGTTAACTATGTTTACATGTTCTGTCAGTTTTATTCAGTTCCAATTTTTAGCAAAGATGACAGAGCTTTCGTTATATACAAGTTGTCAAACAAAAAACGAAGACAGTTATCAATGAGCGTTTAGATGGAAAATAGTTGTCTCACAGTCCCTGAACCATATTATTTTCCCTTCCGCCCAACCCTTTCTGTACTGCAAAAGCCCCAAATGAAGCAAGTCTAGATTTTCCTCAGGTTTCCGGTTGAGTTTTCCCACAATCCAATGCTTGTTTCCCAAGTGGTAAAATGGATTAGTCCCTATCATACCCCATTAGTCAGTGACCTCATGAGAATATAATAGTTGTCGCTGACTAAAACATGCTGTTCTCTCGTTTGCATGAAAATAATTTTCATTTCTGTGTTTCAACACTATCAAAAGCATTTATTATATCAAAACACATTTTGTCATGTTGAATTTGCTTCTAATTTTGAATGCTATTAGTTCATTTTGAACACATTGTTTTATTTATTTCACATGTTTTATATTTTATCGAAAACTGCGGATATCGCCAGTTTGGTTAGACCAGTAATTTCAAACAAACGTGTTGGTGAACGGCTCCAGGGTATATATTATAATAGAATGAAGACATAATACCCTTGATAATTGAGGATGGACGTTTGATTTGACGTGTATGGAATATTAGTGTATGTTAGCACTGCTAGTATTGTCGTCCGTGCTGAACACGTTACCTCGGGGCGAAGTCGATGGTGTTGACCATGAAGCCTGAGTTGACCAGTCCCTCCAGACCCACAGCCGTCGTGAGGAGAGCTACGGCCACGTATCTGTTCTCACACGTCACAAACCCCACACCGACCAGACAAGCCGCGCTGCCCAGAAATGCTGAAACATGGCGGCAGCGACACTGAGCCAAACAATTATTTTTTCCGTGTTTATTTCTCGTAAAATAATACAAGGCCCAACCCTGGTCGTTTGTTTGGCCCCAAAGACAGGTCCCACGTGATAAGACAAGCTGCACTGTACAGTCGGACCTCGTTATCCCAAACTCCGTTATCTCGAATTGAGACATTTTATCCGGTCTCTACTACATAAATACACAAATTTGCCCGCTTATCTCGAATTCGAGATAATTATTCATAATGTTATCTCGAACATTGGTTCGGTCCCAACTTTGGCTTTCCTATGGAATTTTGTACCTTTATCACGAAGTTTGCATTTGCCACATTTTTTAAAAGTGCAAATAAAGAACAGTTCAATTTAAACCAATTGCTCAACCAATTATGTTAACGAGTGACTATAGTTTTACGCCGCTGTAAGCAATAGTCCAGCAATATCACGACGGAGGACACCAGAAATTGTCTTCACACATTGTACCCATGTGGGGAAACGAACCCGGGTCTTCGGCATAACGAACGCTTTAACCACAAGGCTACACTATCGCCCCTAACCAAGTAAGTATTTATCCAATTGTAATGGTAATCTTTTTTAACAAATAAAACATCTGAGTAAGTTACATAAAACTTGGAAACACTGAAACTCTCGACAAATTGAGTGCGTGCTCATTATGCGCGTGTGAATACCTTTAGAACATGTTCACGTTAACGTGTTTGCTTGCTTTCTGGCGTGCATACGCTCGTTTACGTTCGCTTATGTGTGCTGGTCTGAATTTATGCATAGTATTCTTTGTTAGTGAATTAGACATTTTTACCAGTCCGGTGAAAACATTCAGAATGGTAATGGTGCTGATTTGGAGCAGATCCTGTCACGGCTAAGGGACGCAACTCTGCCTAGCTAACTTCGGTACATTAATTTGTTGTGATTTTGCTTGTGAATATCAATGCCCTTCTATATCTAAGATTAAATCCCTCCTTTATAGAAGTTATTTCGTAACATGGCTTTAATTATTTTTTTTAATTTTCAATAATTCTAAACAAAATACAATTGGAAATTAAAGGTTAATGTTAGGAATAACTTACAAATAGATTGGAAAGATCGTCGGACAAATCTTGTAGAGAGATAGTTCTTCCTGAGCCAGTCTGCCACGTGGCCACCAGCAATAGACACCACCACCATGGCGATGTAGGGAACAGCTGATAGTAACCCGTTCTGAATAGATGGGGATACAAACTGGATGTATCAGGCCGTTATAACATACTTTGATTGCTATTATGGTGAACCAAGACAGTTACCGCGTAGTGTTATTGGTGTTTTTAGACCGAATGATATATTTTATTTTGGGGGTATTCGTGTTCAGCAAGCACTTAACATAAGTGGGAAATAATTATTGTTCATTCTTTACCGACCTCTGGGACCATGTGCCGAGAACCGGTTATACTTTGGAGACGTCCACATAGAAACAATGGTATAAATGACTCCAATATGTGTGCACCTGGAGCAAAGGCCAATAGAAATTGTAAATATCTCCAACTGAACCAGTTTTTACTATTACATAGATATATCGAGGCACATGAAAATTGAGTTATGTCAGAGCTTCCACGTAGATTGAATCATACATGGGTAATATTGGACAAGTTGATGATGCGTCATGAATGCTGAATAAATAGATGGATGGATGATGGATGGATGGGTGGTAGACAAATGATGGGTTATGGATGTATGCATGATGGTTTGATGGATGGTGGATGAATGATGGGAGAATGGATGGAAGGATGATGGTTTGATGGATGATGGGTGGATATATGATGGTTTGGTGGGTAGTGGATGAATGATGGGAGAATCGATGGAAGGATGATGGGTGGATGTATGATGGGTGTATGATGGTTTGGTGGGTGGTGGATGATGGATGCATGTATGATGGTTTGGTGGATGATGGATGCATGTATGATGGTTTGGTAAATGGTGGGTGGATGTATGCTGGTTTGGTAAATGGTGGGTGGATGTATGATGGTTTGGTGGATGATGGATGGATGATGGTTTGGTTGGTGGTGGATGATGGATGGATGTAGATGGTTTGGTAAATGGTGGGTGGATGTATGATGGTTTGGTGGATGATGGATGCATGTATGATGGTTTGGTGGATGATGGATGCATGTATGATGGTTTGGTGGATGATGGATGCATGTATGATGGTTTGGTGGATGATGGATGCATGTATGATGGTTTGGTGGATGATGGATGGATGATGGTTTGGTAAATGGTGGGTGGATGTATGATGGTTTGGTGGGTGGTGGATGGTGGATGATGGTTTGGTAGATGGTGGACGTATGGTGGTTTTGTGGACGATGAATGGATGTATGATTGATGGATGGATGATGGATGGATGTATGATGGTTTGGTGGATGATGGATGCATGTATGATGGTTTGGTGGATGATGGATGATGGTTTGGTGGATGATGGATGGATGGATGATGGTTTGGTGGATGATGGATGGATGTATGATGGTTTGGTGGATGATGGATGGATGTATGATGGTTTGGTGGATGGTGGATGAATGTATGATGGTTTGGTGGATGATGGATGGATGGATGATGGTTTGGTGGATGATGGATGGATGTATGATGGTTTGGTGGATGATGGATGGATGGATGGTGGTTTGGTGGATGATGGATGGATGGATGATGGTTTGGTGGATGATGGATGAATGTATGATGGTTTGGTGGATGATGGATGGATGGATGATGGTTTGGTGGATGATGGATGGATGAATGATGGTTTGGTGGATGGTGGATGATGGATGGATGCATGATGGTTTGGTGGATGGTGGATGATGGATGGATGCATGATGGTTTGGTGGATGGTGGATGATGGATGGATGCATGAAGGTTTGGTCGATGATGGATGGATTGGTGATGGTTTGATGGATGAAGGATGATGGATGGATTGGTGATGGTTTGGTGGATGATTGATGGATGTATGATGATTTGGTGGATGGTGGATGGATGGATGATGGTTTGTGGTTGGAGAATAGATGTATGATAGTTTAGTGGAGGATGGATGGATGATGGTTTGGTGGATTGTGGATGGATGGGTGTATGATGGTTTGGTGGATGATGAATAGATGTATGATGGTTTGGTGGGTGATGGAAGGATGGGAGATGGTTTGATGGATGATGGATGGATGGGTGAAAGTTTGGTGGATGATGGATGGATGTATGATGGTTTGATGGATGATGGATGGATGATGTTTGGTGGATGATGGATGATGTAGGATGGTTTGGTGGATGATGGATGATGGTTTGGTGGATGATGGATAGATGATGGTTTGGTGGGTGGTGGATGATGGATGGATGCATGAAGGTTTGGTGGATGGTGAATGATGGTTTGGTGGATGATGGATGGATGTATGGTGGTTTGGTGGATGGTTGATGAATGTATGATGGTTTGGTGGATGATGAATGGATGTATGATGGTTTGGTGGGTAGTGGATGGATGGGTGGATGAAATACCGTCTTGATGTCGAACTTGAGTACGGCCTTCATGAACGTGGGCAGGCTGGTCATGAGAGTGTAGTGCATCCAGTTGTTGCAGAAGTGAGCTGCCAAACAGGACCAGTTGGCTCGGCACAGAAACAGCTTCTTCCAGGGAGTAGAGAGAACCTGTCGCACAGAGTCAGTATGAATCCAAAGCTATACACGGCATTATTCGGTTTGGTGCAACCCACTGGCACAGGCTTGGTGCTGACAAAAAACCGAGGATCATAATCGGGATTACAACTCAAGACCAGCGTTGCTTTGGAAAGAGTATTGTCGCCTACTTAGCACGACTGAGGGACAGTGAGGAGTTGAACTTTCCGTCTATCATTATTCATATGCCACACGCAGATATATGCGTTTGCCTGTTTCTGTGAATTTACAATGATTTGAGCAGATACTCACTTGATGTATATACTGATCAAAATGAGTTTAGGGCCATTAAATATTCACATTTTCCGAACACATTAAACAACCTCAGTCTTCACTACCAAAATAATATATAAAAAATATGAGCCCTGACTTTTTAGTTCAGTATCCATCTCTCACCTTCCCATCCTTATCTCCTATGCTGTCGATGATGTAGCGCTGCTCAAGCTTGGTTATAGTCGGGTGTTCGGACGGAGTGTCAGCAACAACGAACATCCATAGGCCAGCCCACAGCAACGTGCCAGTGCCTAGACAGTGGAGAGAACAAGCGTGTCTTCAGCTCAAACGGCCTTCAGTTTCAACTTGAAGTTTCACACAGTCAGTAAACATGTTTTGCAATAATTCCATGGCATTGATGAATAATTTAGAACATAAACTACCGGGCAATGAAAGTATTCACCCATGTTTGACGGTGGTTAAACATGAAACATATCAGAAATGGTATTCAATGGTGATGTATAGGATACGGGTTTCACAGGCGATATTACATGCATCAATGAGTGTCTCACAACTGGTGACGTGCACATGACGTCTCAAGGACCTAGTACACAGTAATGAACAAAGTGAAGTGTGAGTTTATAGTGTACAAGATCTTTTGACAGGTAGTTTTTATACACAGAACGATACGTTGGGGGTAATTTGTATTACTTTGTAGCATATATTTCAAACCTCAATTTATTAAAATGATTAACTGTCTTCTGACATTTTTGTTTGCTTAAAGATTGGTTTCATTCATTTTCAGATATGAAAGTCAATCTCTAAATTCAATATTTTTATATTTTTAGATGCTGCTTAGCAAATCTGTTGTTTGTACACGCAAAACCTTTAACATGCGCTTTATTTTCAGTTATCGTTTAGGATATGTAGAAGTTTGAAAATGCCACTGTGAAGCAACACCGACACCATGTATTCTAAAACTGGTGTGCCTTGCCAACGTTCAGTCATCGTTGGTCTCCTAGAGCGTGATATGGCTGCTTTGTCGTTTTTGCAAGGCGTCCATCTTCCCCAGGCATCGGAGTTAACTCACTGTAAATGTCCAGTTTCCACCTTTGCCGAACAAGGCTGGAATTTCTGGGCTCGATCATAGCGCTACCAGTGGCTACTGCGAAGTTATGTCCCTTCTATGTCCCTCGTCTTCTCACTGACATGACATATATTTGTTCCGGGTAGTTACAATCTGTCGTTCTTCACGCCCATACCTTGATTGACAGGTCCTTTGAACTTTTGTTTGATGCTTCTCTCTGTTGATTGGCTGCTGCCTTTGTGGGCGCGTCAAGTTATATGCATATATTAAACACCTGATTCGTGTCACGCAACATTATGTATTCATCCCTACGCCTGGAATGTTTACCAATCTCTCTCAGACTGTTTTTCATTAATCTAATGTACATAACACGTGTTATCGACGTCAAATTTAATTGTAAAGATTGCCTGTGAAAAGTTGTTGTTCTTTCTCTATGAATCGAAAAACCGATTCATATACAGTTTGCACATCAGTTTTTCGATTCATACCTCAATGACCCCCCCCCCCCCCCCCCCCCCCCAAAGAAAAAAAAATAAAAAAAAATAAAAAAAAAATAAATAAAAATTCTTTTTTTAATTAAACACACACAACAAACAAACAAACTACAGAGTCAATCTTTTTAATGCTCATTTCACATTCAAAACTTCTACTACTACTACTACTACCACTACTAGTACTACTACTCCTACTACTACTTCTACCACTACTAGTAGTACTACTACTACTACTACGACGACGACGACTACTACCACTGCTACTACTTTTGTTAATGCTACTTCTGCTACAACTACTAGTAGTACTACGTCTACTTCTGCTTCCACTACTACTATTTCTACCCCTGCTTCTACTACTACCACCACCACCACCACCACAACCACTACTACTACTACTATCAGGGACACAACTAGTACCACAACTACTACAAGGGTACAGGGAGATCCTGCCTCCTGAGCATCCTGAGCCAGCATCGTATCATACATGTCCTGTCAAAGTGGTCAAGTTCGCCGACTTGGCTAAGCGCGTCTTGCTAAGTTGTCCAGGTTGTCATTCACCGATTTGTTCGGTTCTGATTGTCATGATGTAGTTAATATCACTGTCTGCGGCGTTAAGCAGCATTCACTCACTTGTTCTGGAGGCGTTGACATAAACACTAATTCTGTGTAATACATCTTCTATCATACCCCTTACCTTTTATGTAGAATATTGACCCCCAAAGATTGCCTGTGAAAAGTTGTTGTTCTTTCTCTATGAATCGAAAAACCGATTCATACAGTTTGCACATCAGTTTTTCGATTCATACCTCATACTACTACTACTACTACTACCAGGGGTACAACTAGTACCACAACTACTACAAGGGTACAGGGAGATCCTGCATCCCGAGCCAGCATCGTGTCATACCTGTCCTGTCAAAGTGGTCAAGTTCGCCGACTTGGCTAAGCGCGTCTTGCTAAGTTGTCCAGGTTGTCATTCACCGATTTGTTCGGTTCTGATTGTCATGATGTAGTTAATATCACTGTCTGCGGCGTTAAGCAACATTCACACACTTGTTCTGGAGGCGTTGTCACAAACACTAATTCTGTGTAATACATCTTCTATCATACCCCTTACCTATTATGTAGAATATTGACCCCCAACCGTTGTCAAAGCCGTATTCACAAAGAAGACCGGATGCAGAGAACGTGAAGATGTTGCCGATCAGAGAACCTGCAGAGTACAGAACATGTATGTAGGTGAACACAGAGCTGGTTTTACAGTGCTACCCCATTGAGAAGGATACTCCACTCAGCCATTGTATACTGACTCCGGGCTGACTATATGTAAAATATTGTAACACGCATTTGACAATATACACTAGTAGTTCAATAACAAAAAGGTATTTTGCTTTTTCTTGTCATCGGGCCAATTTGGTAAAATATTTACCTGAGTAGGTAAAAGATGCCAGTCTGCTTCTCTCAAGGGGCGGGGCCCACACCCCCCACATGGTCTGCATGGCTGGATATGTAACAGACTAAACAGACACCTCGTTAGAGGAATACGACATATAAAGTCAATGATCAGAGAACCGTCCGGATGAATAAATGTCACGGGTGCGGAAAAGTGTATTCCTATACGTTTTCAGATAAAAACGGGGTCCGTTCGAACGAGGTTGAATATAATGTATAAAGCGACAAAATAACGTTTCCATAAGCATGAGAAATATCTCCGAAGAGGAGAACCCATTGTACGATTCCGACTATATCACCAGCATGTCGCGAACAAGTGAGCGTATGCTGCTCCACTGGTCGCACCCGTCACAAACACATGCAAGGACAAGTCAATTATTCACTTGAAACGCAACCACGAAATATTGGCGAGATATCGTGTGTTGATGCATGTTAACGATGTTGTTAAATGTTGCTACGGAAATTGCATCGGACACATTTTTTGCATCTTTCCGAGGCATGGGTGTTAACTGACTGTAAATGTCCAGTTTCCACCCTTGCCGAACTAGGCTGGAATTTCTGGGGTCGATCGGGGCGCCCCTGGTGGTTACAATCAGATCCACCTCTCATATCACTTGCATATGCTTCAAACAAAATGGCGGCGCCCAGTCAAGACGATCTGATAAAAAATCAAGATCTATTTTGAAATAAAACTGGTCTAACTTCGCGAAGTGCATCAAATCACGTGAGCACCCTGATAAAAAAACACGAAGACATTTGGAAAATATCTGTTGACGCCCAGTTGACGGTACACATGTTTTGCATATCCTGCAATCGACAGAAATCTGTTTACGAACCGGATGTTGATCGTAACCCGATTTTGACTGGACGATGCATAGACTCGTTAGTCCAGCCAAAATATACCCTCATAATTGCAGCCTAGTTTGGCAAGGGTGAAAACTCGACTTTTATAGTCAGTTAACTCCCTTGCCTCGGGAAGATGTATTTTTTGTAACTCATGCGACGCATAATCAACTAAAAAATCGGTTTAAGTTTACATGCCTTTGTTATATTTGTAATATTGATGTCATCACACGTGATCCAGATCTGTGTCATTGTTACCACCATTGTTTCCATGCAGCTGTTACCATCATTGTTACCAAGCGGTTAATGACTGTTGTCGTAATTCAGTACTATCACTGCGTATCAGCGAACCCGTGAAGAGAATTTTTTTTTATTTGAAATGTCACTTATACCAAGTTCTTTGACCTAACAATTAATATAGTGATGCTAACATATAATTGTTATGTTAGTTGAGGCCTTGTCAGCGGAAACAACTTCAAACTTTTTCAAGTCGGGGAGCATGATTTTGACTGGATTTGTTCCTTCTCTGTATCCTCTTTTTTCAGTTTGTGCATCCTACCAATGACAACATCACGCACTGACTTAACCCACTCTGAAAGACATGCAAAGCAGCTTCAATTAATGCTCGCTCAAATAACACGTACCGATGATATACCAAGTAGTATTCTCAGCGCCATGACGAGTCTGTAGTCCAACCTTGCACATACCGGCACCAGGAGGGTGGTCAAGGCATTGACCACAAACATAGAGCCAATGACCTTCTTTCCCCCAAACCGTCCCGCCAACCACCCTCCTGGTATCTGCAGGATAAAGTAGCCATAGAAGAACGACGACAAGATGGCCGACTGTGTAGACTTGTCCCACTCAAACTCTGTTGTCTGAAAGACCAAATAATACAAGAATTGAGAGAGAGACAGGACTTTCTTTGTACATACAAATACTTTAAAAATTGAATTGCTCCTTAAAAGTAGTTTCCAGTATGACCCGAATATAGAAGAGGTATTGGCGATAATTAAAAATATGTTCTGATCACAAATTGAAAGCGGCGTACAAGATTATTTCGAATTTGTTTTGATTAATATATAAATTGAAAGCGACAAACAAGATAATTTAAATTTTGCGTTGATCATAAACTGAAAGTGGTATACAAGATAATTAAGAATTTGTTTTGATCATAAATTGAAAGCACTGTGCAAGATAATTTCGAATTTGTTTTGATTTTAATTTGAAAGCGCGTACAAGATAATTTCGTTTTGACCATGGCCTGAAAGGAACAAACAAGAGAAAAAGCGGAAAACGAGAGACTGTAGAAATTGTACTGGTCGTGTCCTGAAGACATCAGGAGTATTGAACCATTGTGACGCGTTAAATCTTTGCAATATTGTGTTTATAGTAATAGAGACCACCTTGGTTCACAAAAACATTAGCAACAGCTCTAAAAGTCACGACACACCAGTGATATTGTCAAATCCTGTTGTGAGAGCGAGACTGTTTGCTTGAGGTCGGCTTACGCTTCTGATTTGCCAACACGTGGTATTGTCATGCGCCAGTGTTGTGTTCGCCACACACGTACCGGTTGTCGTCTTGCCAGTATTCTCGTGTTGGCATGCAGCCAGTGTTCGCCACACACGTACCGGTTGTCTTCTTGCCAGTATTCTCGTGTTGGCATGCAGCCAGTGTTCGCCACACACGTACAGGTTGTCTTCTTGCCTGTATTCTCGTGTTGGCATGCAGCCAGTGTTGTGTTCGCCACACACGTGCAGGTTGTCTTCTTGCCTGTATTCTCGTGTTGGCATGCAGCCAGTGTTCGCCAAACACGTACCGGTTGTCGTCTTGCCAGTATTCTCGTGTTGTCATGCGCCAGTGTTGTGTTCGCCACACACGTGCAGGTTGTCGTCTTGCCAGTATTCTCGTGTTGGCATGCAGCCAGTGTTCGCCACACACGTGCAGGTTGTCGTCTTGCCAGTATTCTCGTGTTGGCATGCAGCCAGTGTTGTGTTCGCCACACACGTGCAGGTTGTCGTCTTGCCAGTATTCTCGTGTTGGCATGCAGCCAGTGTTGTGTTCGCCACACACGTGCAGGTTGTCGTCTTGCCAGTATTCTCGTGTTGGCATGCAGCCAGTGTTGTGTTCGCCACACACGTGCAGGTTGTCGTCTTGCCAGTATTCTCGTGTTGGCATGCGCCAGTGTTGTGTTCGCCACACACGTGCAGGTTGTCGTCTTGCCAGTATTCTCGTGTTGGCATGCAGCCAGTTTTGTGTTCGCCACACACGTGCAGGTTGTCGTCTTGCCAGTATTCTCGTGTTGGCATGCAGCCAGTGTTGTGTTCGCCACACACGTGCAGGTTGTCGTCTTGCCAGTATTCTCGTGTTGGCATGCAGCCAGTGTTGTGTTCGCCACACACGTACGGGTTGTCGTCTTGCCTGTATTCTCGTGTTGGCATGCAGCCAGTGTTCGCCACACACGTACGGGTTGTCGTCTTGCCAGTATTCTCGTGTTGGCATGCAGCCAGTGTTCGCCACACACGTACGGGTTGTCTTCTTGCCAGTATTCTCGTGTTGGCATGCAGCCAGTGTTCGCCACACACGTACCGGTTGTCTTCTTGCCAGTATTCTCGTGTTGGCATGCAGCCAGTGTTCGCCACACACGTACGGGTTGTCTTCTTGCCAGTATTCTCGTGTTGGCATGCAGCCAGTGCCTAGATGGCTTCACTTACTTCACACAGTTCATATCACTTCATGTGTCAATAGTTCTGCCATGAACACGGTCAATTATTCTGCATATTGCAAAAGGATTTAGTTTCTTATTTCACCCATAAAACATTGGCAAAGTCAAAATGTAGAACTTGGTCATTCAAATGTTCAAAAAACGTTGTAATACGTTGCGAGGTATACGCTTGTAGCATTGGTAGTATTTGTGCACGACTTTCCGTATAGACGTCATCTGAACTTTAGGATTTGTTTTTCAACTACTTGGTCCAGTCCATCTCTTACAGGAAGTAACAGAGTGGCAGCTTGACCACGAATGCACAACCATAAGACCCTGACATGGTGTTTTAAGGCTGTTGGCGGGATGCAGGCCAACAGGGAACATACCGCTCATACAGGTCGATGTAGGTCAGCGATGTAATGCGCCAGGGGGGAGCTGGGTGCCCAGTCTTCTTTGGCGCCGCAATTCGCTGTGCAGAGTTGCGTCCCTTGGGTACGCCAGAAACCACGATCATGGGTTCGAATCCCGGTTCGTCCTGATTATGTTTCTAGGTTTGTCAACACCATACCCGTGCTCGTGGGTTTCACAAAAGTGGTTAACACCTAAGACTTGCATCACTTTGGGCTTTCCTTCCACCTCAAGCTGCTATGCCATGATATAACTGGAATACTGTTGAAAGTGGCGTAAAACCCAACTCACTCACTCTAAAGCGCCAGGCAAGCAAGCGCCAAGTGTAGAGATTCTATCCGCCTTGTGACCAGGTCGTTATTCAGCCTGTTGACCTGCAATGTTTACACATTTACAATGTTGTCACAGGCTCTTGTGTACAGTGCCTTCACCATGTGCGCTCAAAAGCAGAAGGTTGGGGACCTATAACCCTACCCTATTCCCCTGGTTAAATAACAGTCGGCGTTTTCCAAACCTGGTTGCCTTGTTTGTTTCTAAATGCGCGAGACTTCGTCGAGGTAGTACACAATGTTGAAGGGCATTTGTCAGCCGAAATTATGCTCCCATTAACAAAAATGATGATGATCATTATACTTATAGGAATACTGGAAAAATGTATGCTGAATAAAAATAAAATAATAATGAGGATTTTACAAGGTGAATGCTTTGATGACGATGTTGCTTATCATTAAGACTACACAGCTCCATAAACTTGCTTACAGTAGCTACAATGAGAATAACGAAGATATGTGAAATAACGTATTCCCTACTTATTATATTATTATGATTATGAGAGCGTCTACATCATCATCAGTGTCATCATCACCATCATCATCATCATCATCACTTACATCAAAAGTTTTAGATGCTTCATTAGCACAGCTTTTAGTCATATCTGAGAGGTTCTCCTGCGTGAGGTTGCCGCCGGCCGTGATGTTCATCTGCTGTGACTTCACCATACACACGATGGCTACGCTGATGTTTGTGCGGACGCAGTAGAGGAAGAAGAAGCCGAAGATGGCCGTGTAGGCCAGAATCCATCGTTTGGATGTAAATACAGGAACTGTAACAAGACACATTAATTGAAAGAAAGGATGACTTGAAATATCGAGCAGTGCGTTTAAGTATCAAAGGACCGGGCTCGTATTGTGGCCGAGAGGGGACATCGCTTTAACGCCTTTAGTTCCGGCAGCGAGAGACGAGAAACCGATAACACAAGACGAGAAAGCGACGCCACGAGACGAGAAAGCGATACACATATCGCTTTCTCGTCCCATGTTATTGCTTTATCGCGGAAAAGAAATATCCCCTCTTGGCCTCAAAAGGGGTGTTATGTATTTCTATACGATTAAAAGTATATACGTAAATAAAGCGACAAAACCCTTTCCAATCCAATAGAAATATCAGAATATTCTATTAAACACCAGCTGGAGCTGCTGGAATATTGCTCGACACGAAGGGAATGTTGACTATTGGAAAGTTGAAGTCATCCCCCTTGTCATACAGTCTTGTGGAGAGTGTTTGGTCTTTAAATCTTTAGGCATAGATCTAAATATGAAACAGATGAGGCGGCCTCTCTGGTCTCCATTACGTCTAGTTCAAGTGGGTTAATCAGCGGAAAGGGATTAGTGACTTGATTGTTATTGAACGATATCGGTATACCTGAAGCTTAAATTAAACTTCTTGGCCAAATCATCTTGTTTTTACTTTGCCAATCAGAACAGAATATAAGATTCATATTCATAAAGCAACAGATCCGCAGGAAGGGGAGCACAACTGGTGCCCATGGGGATGCCTACTTCATGCCTAAATGTCTTAGCCCAAATTTTACGTAGATGTTATCTATGAGGCAGTCCAGCATTTCACATATTGTTTTCTCAGTAAACTTCAGATGGCATTTGCTTTCATATTTCACAAATTGTCCTGAACCTCTGAATATAAATACGTTACTGTATCTGTGTTCCCCATGATCTGTAACAAAAGCCCCCTGGATCAAGGAATGAAGTTTTTCCTTAAGTTTGTCCTGTTGGATAGTTGTGCACACAAAAAAACAAATGTTTTCACAGAATGGAACCTGGCTCTTTTCTGAGACTGCAAAAACTCAAGCAAATCCTTTGAGTTTTTGAGAATCCACATGTCATTATTTCCACTTGTCTCAAGTACTTTCTGTGAATAGAAAGAACGTCCTTCCTTGATTGTATTAAGGATTACGGTTAGTCTTTGAGACAGGGTTTTGGTGGTACATTTTCTCGACCCAGCAATGTATCTCTCTTTGCAATGATGTTTATGGAGCTTTCGAATCAAGTACAAAAGAGGAATGAATATATGTCTTCAGGTTTTAGAGTCAGTACTGACTTGTGGTTTTGGCAGTTGTCTTCCTCAGTTGGCACACTGGCCTTATATGTGGCATTATTTGATATGCAGCCCGAATTGAAGGCCAGAAAGCTATGCCCCCCCCCCCCCCCCCCCCCCCCCTCGGCCACCATAACCAGCGATGATATAGCTTGAATATTGTTACGCAACACTCACTCGCCGTAAGTATCCACTGGTGATGGAGAAACATAGTCACACGTGAAGTAATGACGAGATGTGGGCTTTTCTCGGACCTTTGACAGGGGCGGTCGGGTAGCCTAGTGGTTAAAGCGTTCGCTCGTCACGCCGAAGACCCGGGTTCGAATCCCGACATGGGTACAATGTGTGAAGCCCATTTCTGGGGTCCCCCGCCGTGATATTGCTGGAATATTGCTAAAAGCAGCGTAAAACCATACTCACTCACTCACTCAATCACTCACTCACTCACTCGGGCCTTTGACATCTCCTGGTGACTCGTGCCTCTGACTAATCTGTTTTTAGTCGATAGCTATGTTGACATTTCCTCTTTCTCCGTATCATTTAGAAATCAGAACAATTAAGATGGAAATAGTCTTCCGGTGAGCCTCAATATCTTTAAGGGCTAGGTTTTTTAAAAAAATTCACAAGAACAAGAAGAGAACCAAAACAAAATCATTATGGCAAAGTGATGATACCAGGGGGGAGGGTTTGTATGTTGTTTTACGCCGCACTCAGCAATATTCCAGCTATATGACGGCGGTCTGTAAATAATCGTGTCTGGACCAGACAATCCAGTGATTGATATCATGAGCATAGATCAGGGGGGAAGGAAACGAGTATTAGTGGTTAAACTTCACAGTTAGTTTCAAGAACGTACCAATTAGTAGTAAGTGAGAGAGTTTGGGGTATAACGCCGCTTTGAGCCGTCTTTCTGTTGTATGACGATGTGTCAGTTTCAGGAAGAAGAATAACCCTAAGTGATGCAGGCCTCACATTAACCACATTCCGTGATTCATGAAACCCTCGTACAGTCAAAGTTTGAAGTACAAGCTTGGTTCCTGTGTATTCCTTATTTCGTCATTATTTAATCTCTGATGTATCGAATCGGACGTGTCGAAGTTACGGTTGTCTCGTAGTCATTGTCACCGAACTTTTGCACCACAAATGTACTCGGAAAATCCGACATTATTTTTCAATGTTTTTTTGTCGCATGTTTCGTGTTTTCGTTGAGCTGATTATGTATATAAACACGCCCTTCTTTGAACAACTGTTATGTCGTTGTGTTAACAAACATGAAGGGGACACACATGTATGTATTGCTCGAGTCACCAGGAGAATAGAGTTCAATTCGGAAATGAAGTTTGGCTACGTATACCCCACTTTTGATTCATTGTCATTGAATACCTTTAGTTCGATGATGAAATAGATAATCAGTAAAAGTCACCAGTTCACCGCAAAACTGTTCTGTATAGCAAGTTTCATCAACGGGTTTTGGAGTTTTTGACTATCTGAGAGCAAAACAATCAATGAATGCTGTTCTCATTAAAACACACGCGTGTAAGTATCATGCTCCCAAGAAACACGCTAACATCCAAATTGTGTGCCGTTCATGAACATGCGACCGCCTCCGTGGTCTAGTGGTAGAGCGTCTGCCCGGAGAGCGGAATTTGGTCCGGTTGTATATAAACTTACTCCAGAACTGTATTTATCATTTAACTTAAAAAGTTTATCCATGACATAAGCTTATGACATAAAAACATGTATGTCATACCCCAATGACATAAGTATGCAAATTAGATATGCAAATTAGATAACCGGAAGAGCGAGCGGTTTGATTTGAAACTATATATTATAAGTGAAGTTACACCAGAGATATAATCAGATTACACAGAATCGTTGTTGTGACCGTTATTAAAGCTTCAATTATTCTGCAAAAGTCTGTTCAAGTATTTTGTTTAAATAATCCGAGGAACTTTTTTTCTCAGCGAATTGTTTATTTTGGTTTACATGGCTATGGAAAACATGTATCACTACGCACGATCTATACGTAAGATTTCGACAAGTTGCTGATGTTAATGTTTAATGCAATTATTCCTTAATTTGGAAGCAAAAATGTGAAAATGATAAATAGAATTCATCACGAGTGTTTTTTTAATATGGGAAATATCAACCTCGTCCCGTTAATCGGTATTTGCCTCGCCAAAGGCTCGGCAAATACCGATTAACTAAGACTCGGTTGATATTTCCCATATTAAAAAACACGAGTGATGAATCCTCTATATAAACTTACTCCAGAACTGTATATAAACTTGCTCTAGAACTGTATATAAACTCACTCCAGAACTGCAGACCAAATCTGTGAGCTTCTGGATTTTAATGGAAATTGTGTGCCACATAAAATACATTGTTACAAGATGTTTGTTTTATTTATGCTCATAGTTTTATTCTACATAATATCTTGGTTTGCAGATGTAGCTGAAAAAATATCTGGTCTCCATACAAACCCCGGCACAACAAAACGTTATAACAACAACAACAACCGACAACAACCGACAACACGAATTAAAGAAACCAAACAAAACATGGCCTCTCACTTGGACAACCTACCCCAGCAATAAAACAAACCTGATGTCACGAACTTCAAAAGAAATAAAATAAAACACGACCTCCCACAAGGACAACCTTCAACAACATTAAAACAAAAGTGATATCACAAACTTCAAAAGTAATAAAATGAAATATTACCTCCAACAAGGACAGCCTACGGCAACATTAAAACAAAACTGATATAACGAACTTCAAAAGAAATAAAATATAACATTACCTCCCTCAGGAACAACGTACTTCTCTGTCATATTGTCCAAATGATCTCCACAACACTTCTAACGTCAAACTGGCGATAGACAAACTTAGGGCCACTTCTAGCAATCAAATATCTTCGCTTTGATAGGCAAACAAATATTTGTTTGACCCGAATATATATTCTCAATAAATAAACATCCTTCAACGACTACGGTATCACTGGGGATTCTCTGGTACGAGATGCCAAGTGTATTCACGTCTACTCCAGACTGTGTATCTCGTCACGTCGCCTGTCACGTGATATGTCACATTATGCGACGTTGAGTACGACATGTAATGTAGGTTCTTTATGTAAAGGCACGGTTACGATGTTTCAAAAGGAAGCGATAGCTTTGCATAGCCTATTCAAACAGAGATTACTGTAGAAAAAGGTTTAAATGAAAACAGAGCTTTGGGTGAAGCAGCACGTGTCTCCTCCATGTATCACGTGTAAGCACAATTTACCTGGGGATGATTTGTGTACCGGGGAAAGTCACAGGTGCTTGTCGGTACAAATGACCAGGGAATCTGAAACATATCTATGAAAAATATTGATGAAGATATTAAATAATTTTTTCCCACTTGCGACTAGGTGTATACAATGTCAGTTTACTAACGAGTACACTTGCTACGTTATTAATACCCAGCCTTTATGTAATCCTACAAAGGGGACAGATGTGGCACAGTATTCTTACTTACCACTGAGAAGAGTTATCACCCCTGACATGTGCAAGGATCCGTTGCTTGCGGATTCGAATATCAGCTTCACTTCGATTATGATTTGGGCTGTCGACGCATGAAACACGTGCATTTTACCAAAGTGTTAATGTCTACATTTTGCGCCACATTGTTTTACTTTACAAAGTAGACCGCCTCCATGGTCTAGTGGTAGAGCGTCCGCCCGGAGAGCGGAAGGTCCGGGGTTCGATCCCCGCCGCGTCATACCAAAAGACATTAAATGATGGTACTTGTTGTTACCCTGTCTGGCGCTCGGCATTAAGGGGCTAAAACAAGGACTGGTCGGCTCGGAGTCAGCATAATGTGTCTGAGTGGGGTATTCATGTTAAACTGCGGCATGCTATCTCAGTGAGCTAGCACTATAAATCGGCATCGGTCCGGACTAGTACAAGCAGCCACACAAACACACACACACACGTACATGCACGTCGCTATATAAGTGCAATAATCTTGGACGCGACGTTAAACCCCATTTCACCTCACTTTACAAAGTAAACACTCTCTGATACAACTGAAATTATGTTCAAAGGGTTGAAATAAAAAGAAAAACAACTTATTGTAAAGGGTACTGAATAATGAACTTCTGGGTTGAAAAGGAATGCAGTGATACGTGTTTTGTACTTGTTCATTTGTCTATTTTAAAAGCTTGCAGTTGCTGTTTGTTTGTTGTTTAACGCCGCACTAAGCAATATTCCAGCTGTAAGACTGCTGTCTGAAATTAATCGAGTCTGGACCAGTCAATCCAGTGATTGACATCATGAGCAACGATCCACGCAATTGGGATCGATGACATGCATCAACCAAGTCAGCGTGCCTGACCACCCGATCCCGTTAGTCGCCTCTTACGACAAGCATAGTCGCATTTTACGACAAGCAAATCCACCAACCAACCAACCAACCTTTAATTGGAGATCTGTAACAACTGATAAACATTTGAGATGTGCTGGCTGTTTGTGTTTACAATTAGAGATAAGCGATCCCCCGCACCAGATGATGTTAGCTGTTGCTAGTCTTCTATGGCCCAGGATGTTGGCATATTGTAAAACCTGGGGTGGGGTCTGGGGTCTTGGGCTGGGGTGATGGGCTGGGGTCTTGGGCTGGGGTTATGGGCTGGGGTCCTTAGCTGGGGTCTTGGGCTGGGGTTATGGGCTGGGGTCTTGGGCTGGGGTGATGGGCTGGGGTGATTGGCTGGGGTTATGGGCTGGGGTCCTTAGCTGGGGTCTTGGGCTGGGGTTATGGGCTGGGGTCTTGGGCTGGGGTGATGGGCGGGGGTGATTGGCTGGGGTCTTGGGCTGGGGTGATGGGCGGGGGTGATTGGCTGGGGTCTTGGGCTGGGGTGATGGGCTGGGGTCTTGGGCTGGGGTGATGGGCTGGGGTCTTGGGCTGGGGTCTTGGGCTGGGGTCTTGGGGTGGGGTGGGGACTGGGGTCTTGGGCTGGGGTCTTGGGTTGGGGTGGGGGCTGGGGTCTTGGGCTGGGGTGATGGGCGGGGGTGATGGGCTGGGGTTGTGGGCTGGGGTGATGGGCTGGGGTGATGGGCTGGGGTCTTGGGCTTGGGTGATGGGCTGGGGTCTTGGGCTGGGGTCTTGGGCTTGGGTGATGGGCTGGGGTCTTGAACTTGTTTGGGTTCACATCATATGTTTACAGTCTGAAGCTGAGAATGAAGACGTGACTTAGTGACGCACATATAAACATAGCTGTGTAGGATACAGCTAGATGTTTATCACAGGCTGTCAGAGCTGTCCCCATACGTCAAGTGTTAAATACTAGGTTTTTAACTGTTTGGCTAAATGAAATAGTGGAATGAATTCAAAAGCAATAACCTCTCATTACAGTTTCATCTTTATATTATGAAAACTAACTGATCTTTATGATTTTAATATAGATTAATAAGAATAAGAATATCATTATCTAACTTGAATGTCGGAATCGTGAAGCAAACTTTAATTTCCCCCGCAAAGTTTAAAATGCCCTTCAAAAGTTCAAAGTTAATATTTGACTGATGTGTTGATGACGTTTGGATTATTTTAGTGTTTAATGCATGAACTCCATTTGGGACCATAGCTAATTAGCACATGTGTTTATACGTCTGACAAGGCAGCTGTAGCTAGATAACAGTAATGTTCCTTTCGTTTCCCTTTATGTTGAGCAATATTCTGGCAGTTCCAGCCTTTGGTGTCCACATCTCACAGTGTTTGATGTACAATTGACCATGCTCTTTCCACGAAGATTTCAAAGAGCGTCATACAACTCTTGCTCAAAAGTTGTTTGATCAAGATTACAACATTCGCGGCCTCAGTAAAGCTTTCGAAAGGTTTTAGGGTAGACATGCGGAGGACATTTCAGTGACAAAAATTATGTCCGATGCAATTCCCTATTTTGATTTACCATATGTTCCCGTGTTTTGTCAGGTGAACAATTGACTTGCCTTTGCATGTGTTTGTGATGGGTGCATCGAATGCTTGTCGTAAAAGGCGACTAACAGGATCGGGTTGTCAGGCTTGCTGACTTGGTTGATGCATGTCATCTTATCCCAATTGCGTGGACCGATGCTCATGGTATCAATCACTGTATTGTCTGGTCTGAGTTGAGTTTTTACAGACCGCCGTCATATAGCTTGAATATTGCTGAGTGCGGGGTTAAACAACAAACAAACAAAACTAAGAGACTTGTGCAAGTCCAACAGCTGGTTTACACACACATTTGTATGGAATGCTGGAACTGTCAGCCACTGAGACAATTGACAACATAATGTTCTATATTTTCTATAACATTTATTGTAGTATATTAATGAATGAAAAGTATATTTATCCTTTCAAAAATGGTAAAAAGTCATTTTTAGAACATTTTGAGTTTATTTTCAAAATACTTCTCTTTCAAAGACTATATATTAAACTATTAAATCATAATGTTATAAAGTAATTAGTAAACATCCTTAAGCTTACTCACTTCCAAAATAAACGCACACCCTAAAGTATGAAATGTCCGAAAACGAACATTTTAGTGCATTTCTACTGTTAGGGAATATTCACAAATCTGTCACAAGTACTTCCTAAAAAGGAAAATGTAACTTATGCTGGATTGCTTTTAACTACATCAAAGAAAACCTTAGAACGTACCCATCTAATATGTGAAAAACTCAGAATGTTAGTCAATATAAATTATAATCATGGACTATATTTTGGAGGTTTAAATCCTATCCCAGCTGTTCGTGGCCCAGACATAGTGGGTCGTGTATGATTTTCTTAATTGTGCGTGTTCTGAAATGAATGTCATCAAGTTTGACTTCAATGATGTAGGGACAAGGTTTTCGTGGATTTTCGAATGGACAATTGTTTTCTGAGTGATTGAATTTCAAATCCTCTTATGTCATATCCTTAAGATGGTCGTTGACGGAGACAGCGACGATTATCGATCACAAAAAGGTTTGTAAACAACAGGTTGTGTTTTATACAGGTCATGGTAGAATTTCGGTTTGCATCAGATAAAAGACTCCTGTAAGTGTTCAAATGGTTTAATTTGCCATACAGACTTCAGAAAATGCGTGATTTCATTAAAAAAAACATGAACATGCCAAAATGTCAATTTACAAATCAATAGCGTGTGTGCCGACCTCTGGTTGCGATCAAAGCAACACATCTTCGTCTCATGGAATGGACCAGGCGCCCCACAAAGTCCTGTGGAATATCTGTCCATATCTGCTGGAGCATGTTTCGAAGTTCCTGGAGTGTCTGTGGAACACATGGTTGACGTCGAAGGCGCCGATCCATCTGATTCCACATGTGCTCGATTGGTGAGAGATCAGGGGGAGCGAGCCAGCCAGGGGATGACATTCACGTTGTTTTGTTAAAGAGAGTCCTGAACAAGTCGAGAAATATGAGGCCGGGCGTTGTCATGTTGAAAGGTAATGCCTGGGCCATGACGACGCAAAAACGGTAGAACAACAGGGCCGATGATCTCGTCGCGGTAGAGCTGTCCATTGAGATTTCCCTCTACCAGTATCAAACGGGTCCTCTGTCTTGCTGTAATCCCACCCCATACCATAACGCTGCTGCCTCCGAACCGATCTTCTTCCATGACACAATGATTGACGTAACGTTCACCTCGACGTCGGTACACTCGAATCCGTCCATCGCTGTGGCTGAGGTGAAAACGAGACTCGTCAGTGAATAGAACTTGTCCCCACTGCATGGCCGTCCAGCGTAGACGCTGTCTGCACAACTGTAGACGTGCTTGACGGTGGTTTCCTGTCAAAATGGGACGTCTGGCGGGTCTTCTGGCTTCTGCTTTTCTGTAGCAATTGCGTTTTTGTGACTTGATTCCATACATGTACTACAATATTGAAAACCAAACTTTACTTGTTTGAAAAATACACAAAAATATTGGTGTCACGGGAACTTTTGTTGTTGATAATACATGTGATAGAAGAGTGAGTGAGTGAGTGGGTTGGGTTTAACGCCGCTTTTAACAGTATTCCAGTTATATCACGGCGTGTCAGCTTAATGTGGGAGGAAAGCCCGAAGTGATGCAGGTCTCAGACGTTTACCACTTCGGTGAAACCCACGAGCACGGGTATGGTGCTGACAAACCTAGAAACATAGCTGGGGCGAACCGGGATTCGAACCCACAATCATAGGTTTCTGGCATGCCCATGTGATAGAAGATACCCAGTCACATTTGGCAACCCATGTGAAGAATCTCCTCTTGGCTATATTTGGATGGCACAAAGTGTTGGTAACTCCTCAATGGTCTCAAAACCCTCTTTTGGATTTTATTCACAATTTAAATCAAGTTTCTGTTGTGAAAACAAAATTGTTAATATCAATATGTCTAATTCTAGAACTGCATTGTTAAAATTTTGAACTGGTTATTATATACTTGGTGTCCAGAAATACATAAGAAATCATTCTTCTGAAAATGAAGGTAATTTATTATCCTTTATGTAATGTGCTTGAAAATGAAGGTAATTTATTATCCTTTATGTAATGTGCTTGAAAATGGAGTGCAGGTAATTTACAGTTGTTCTCTGTACTCACAAGTCGGGAGTAAATCCTTTCAAAGTATGAACATTGTTACATATGTTTCAACCGTGGCATTGTAAGTATGTTTGTATGTTTGTAGATAAATATGAACATTGCAAAATATGCTTATCGTTTATTTCATATAAGAAATGAACTGTGAGCTGATACTCAAGCTACTAATGTTCCATCTAGTTGTACCCACCTGTGAGTCACATGACCTTAAACATGTATGTACTTTGGGTCTTATGACCTTTATGAAAATAAATCCTTGAATCCTTAATGCTCATACAAACACAATATTATCTCTTTGGAGACGGCAATAGTCAGTCAGCAGGGCAACAGTCATGACTTGCCGCAGGGCGGTCGTCCACGTGTTTTTTGTTTGTTTTTTGTTTTTGTTGTGTGTTTTTTTGTTTAATTATCACTTAATTCAATTAATTTTAAAGAAATAAAGGTCAAATAAAGCATATTCACTTTTCATGAGACCCCATTTCGAATATGCGTGGGAAATATTGGATTGATGTTACGTTAAATTATCAACCCAATTAGAAAATCTGAAACTAAAAGCTGTCAGTATAGATACTAGGCTCCCAAAGTATGCTTTCTACAAACATCAGTATTATCTAACAGGACGGGAAACGTTTATAGAACGAAGGAGGAAGCGTAAGCTATGTTTGTTTTACAGTGTAAAACATAATGGTGCACCATCCTATCTTAAATAAAAGTGACAAAACCTTTCAATGTTCAGAAGAAATCTCTGCCAATTCGATAGTCGATTGTACGATTCCGACTATATCATGAGCACGTATTTATGAATCACTATCAAACAGGGATGATACCAGGTGTTCGCGAAAAAGGTGAGCGTATCCTGCCCCACCGGTGACACCCGTCACAAACACATGCAAAGACAAGTCAATTGGTCACCTGCACAACACACGGGAACATATGCTACAAGTCAAACCAGGGAATTGCATCGGAACTCCGAGCAGACATTCTGCACAGAGAAACAGATCAGCAAGAAGTGGGGTGCAATTGGTGCCCATGGGTGTGCCTAGTTCTTGCCATAATGTCTTACCCAGAAAACTAACATCGATGTTATCAGCTGGGTCCAGCATCTCACACATTGTTTTCTATGTAAACTTCAGATGTATTTGCTTGTAAAATTGACCTGAAAGTATAATAGACCTGTACCAATATTATAGGTTCAAATGTATGATATAATTTTAGAAATTCAGACAATATGGTGATATTCTTTACCATTAAGACTATTCACAGGTCTGTATGACAAGAGGGATAACTTCAACGTTCCCTTTATGGCCAGCAATATTACATCTGCTACTGCCTTTGCTGTCTACATTTAACAACAATTGAAGAAGAATAGAGCATGCTCTTTCTATGATGTTTTTCAACTCTTGCTAAAGGAATTGGCTTCAGTTAAGCTGTAAAGAATTTTAAGGCAAACATATAGTGGTTATGCCCAAATGTTGCACTTCGGTGACCAAAATTATGTCCAATGCAATTCCCTATTTTGACTTGAACTATATGTTCTGGTGATCGTTCATTTGACTTGCCCTTGTTACTGGTGAGTGTCAGTGGGTCAGGATATGCTCACCTTTTCGCGAATACCTTGTGTGGATATACCTGATGAGTTTGTAAAGGCTTTTGTCTCGTATTTAGGTGCATGATTTAATGGGAGTTTCCACTAATATCGTACGGAATCAGTTCTTCAAAGAAGTGATCCTCAAGGTTCTACATCAGTCATATTGTTGTTTATTGCCATTTATTCAAGCATTCATAATGAGCGTAAGGGAAAGCAATTGTTTTGAACATATCTAACATTGGTGAAATCACTGACTGAGAAAAATACGTAAATTTCGATCCATATCGCAAAATATGTTTAATTTTTCAAACAAAGAGCGTGTGGAGAAAAACGTTTTTTTCTCTCTTATAATGCTCTTCTAACTATTTGAGATGCCCTTTCTGATGGCTATGTCGAATGTCAACATTTACAAAAGAACAGTGTTAAACATGACAAAAAATCCTAGGTTGCCTATTTTCCTTTGTTTATCTTTTGCTTCTTCTATTGTGAGATATTTTGTGGTTGATTACACAAAATATTTCAAAAGTCAGAAAAAGAATATGGTCAAGACATCCTAGGTTTCCTGTTTTGCTTCCAAGTCCACATTTGTAGTTTAGATTTCTGACATTTCTCCAAGACAAGTGCGGATTTATCTTTGGTAACACCAACACAATATCCGTTTGACTGGAGAAACACATGTTCGTCTAACCTGACCACGTGCCACTCCTGGTTCCCGCTCTGACCATGACAAGCCTTCACCACAACGTCAGGTTCATATCCCGATTCTAAACATTCTCCTCCCACTCTAATTTCATGATGTTCTGTGAGCTCCCACAGTTGATTTCCCTGCCCATGACAAGAATACAACAAAACGTTGTTGGAGCCCTCCTGTGCTCTGTGTCCCGCGTCAAGGCAGAGGGTAGTCATCTCAGCATTACGTACTGTCCCTGTGTATATACCGTCACCTGGGATTACTTGATCTGGATTAACATATGCCAAATAAAACTCAAACGGGTGACACTTCAATGAATCTCTCAGCGCTATCCTGTCAGCTATGTCACCATAATCCGCAAGGCTACCATCGTAATTGACAGTAAAACGTTTGAACTTGTCCAACCACACATTGGCCACACGAGCTAGATTTCTTATGTACCTGATCCTATTTTCGTCTGATGGTCTATGAGGGTGGTACATATGTGCTACATTTGAACAGGGGATGATCTCCAGTCCACCTCCACATAGCCACGTCTTGATAGATAACTCGGCATTCTCCCCACCCCAGATTTCCAAACCAGGGTCAAACATTCCAAGTTTCTTGAACCAATTCCTGCTGACGGCAATGACACATCCCACCATGGCTGGAGACCGCACTGGATCAGTCTCACGCTTTCTCTTTTTCCTCTCCCGTTCTGACATTAGGGACCAGGAGAAGAAAAGATTAGGGAAGGTGAGAACGGGTATTCCAAGTCTCCGTCCCTGCCCCCATTCATTGATTTTGAAGTTTTTAGGATCTACTCCATGAATGTTAGGAGTAGCTACAATGCTCTGATTTTCGGCGATCCTTGTCACCAATGGTTCCAGCCAGCCAGGAAAACATTCACAATGTGCGTCCATAAACACTGCTACAGGAGCAGTAGAATGCTCAAAACCCATCACCCGTGCTCTTATCAAGCCCTGTCGGGACTCTGCTCGAACTATCTGCACTTTCCTGAATCTGGACACATACTCTTTCAGTGGTTCCTTCAGAGCCTCGTCTGTGGATGCATCGTCCACCAAGATGACCTCTTTGATCAGATGAGGTGGAGTGTTGTCCATGATGCTATGGACAGTGCGTAACAGGACTGACCAATGCTCGTTGTAGAAAATAATGATCACACTGGTTTCAGGGAGGTTGGGGTCTGAGTACAGTGAGTGACATCCTTGTAGGCGGACATCAGGCAGAGATCTCTGAAGAGGTATGAGACTACTGGTATAACTGGAGTACTCCCTTTCCTCAATACTCCTCTGGAGCTTCTCGGCTTCTTCTTTGGGGAGTTTCTTCAAATCTAATATAACCGCTGTTCCATTGACGCCTGGATTCATCAGCTTCATCACGGTGAACACGAGTTTCACATTGGGATCATCCGGGCTGTGGAGACGTAACAGAGGATCTGTCAATTCCCGAGACAGTCCGTTGCGATTAGTCCCTATTTTGTACATCAGTACGACTATGACGTTTATGAATAAACAAGTCAGGATGGTTCGTCGTTTTCTGGACCTTGTGCACGTAGACGCCATTGATTTACAACAACTGTGATAAATGTCCAACAAATCGGCCAGAAATGGCATCCACAATGTAATTTTCATAGGTGTTGTGTGCATGTCAGCCTAGACATGTGTGTCGCTGTTCGTTTTGTTAAATCATTAAATTATTCAAAAATTCTTATTGTATAGGTGCCTGTTGATGTCGAAACGTCTTCGGGGCGATTTGATCAGATAATTTATTCTGTTGCTGAAGGGAACAATATTTACAAGTATTCCAAATGTGTTTTCACATTATATAGCAGGCCGTGACAGATACTGCACATTTGTTTCACAAAATCAATATATCTATTTTTTTCTCTCAACATCTATTGCAGAAGCACGGACAGACGTCGCCCATACCAGATAATCAATAACTGTTCACAAGAAAAGAAAACTGAGTCTCCCCATGTTTTCAGTAAGGTTGTGAAATTTATTTACCTGATAGATTGTCATATATGTCTGGCTGATGTGCAACGTAGAGATGTAGAGACAGCATTATTAGAAGGTATTTTACAATAATTTAATGATTTAGTCGTTCTTGTGCACACAGCACAAACAACTCCACACAATGTTCACCTGCATACAAGACCTACAAATCACGTTGTGCACGCTCATCGCAGTTGTTGTGAAGTGTGTAGGCGACAGAAAAGTCTGAATGTAGAGGGTAAATAACTATCAATAGTCTGCGAAAAAAAATCAGTTAGTTTCTTTCCGTTTGAAGTGTATATGAAAAGAGTATACTCTTGGAAAGTAGAACTTTGCAAACATGCTTTTCTATAATTGGGGGATTTACAGGCCCAAAAGTCATTCATGTTTTAATATTTATTTGATCTGTTAAAGAGTTGACAAAAATGGACCAAATGAACAGTTTATTTTTTAATTATTTTAAAAACATTGTAATATCAATAAATATAAAATATGATATTTCTTTCCCGCCAGTAAAAAATTCCAGTATATGCGTATTGTAAACAGCCGGCTTCACAAACATAGGTCACAGCTGCGCCGGAGGACATGGCACTTGAACATTTTCTAGATTTAGTTCACACTGAATATATCAGCGCTGAACATGTCACCTCTTCACAGGAAGATTTCTACGTTATTATTCGTGTTACTTTTGACGCTCACCTGTAACTATTTCTGGGTTGCGAGAAGAATGTGGAAACGAGTGACCTGCGTGAGTAAACCTGACAGTGATTATAACCACATTCATTTCCCTGATATTCCGAACATGACACTCTTAGAGTCAGTGTTGGGATTAAAACAACCAGGTGCCAATGGTACTGCTGTCGTAGTGGATGTGAAGAAGTTGCCCAAAGAAGAAGCTGAGAAGTTCCAGAGGAGTATTGAGGAGAGGGAGTACTCCAGTTATACCAGTAGTCTCATACCTCTTCAGAGATCTCTGCCTGATGTCCGCCTACAAGGATGTTACACACTCTACTCAGACCTCAACCTCCCTGAAACCAGTGTGATCATTATTTTCTACAACGAGCATTGGTCAGTCCTGTTACGCACTGTCCACAGCATCATGGACAACACTCCACCTCATCTGATCAAAGAGGTCATCTTGGTGGACGATGCATCCACAGACGAGGTTCTGAAGGAACCACTGAAAGAGTATGTGTCCAGATTCAGGAAAGTGCAGATAGTTCGAGCGGAGTCCCGACAGGGCTTGATAAGAGCACGGATGATGGGTTTTGAGCATTCTACTGCTCCTGTAGCAGTGTTTATGGACGCACATTGTGAATGTTTTCCTGGCTGGCTGGAACCATTGGTGACAAGGATCGCCGAAAATGATTCAATAATTACCACACCTATGATACACGGCGTTAACCCCTTGAACTTTGGTGTTACCATGACAACGAATATCCGGTTACAGTGGGTGTCTTTCCCTGAGCTACGATTTGCTTGGATGAACGTTCCACAGCGTGAGAAATTAAGACGAAAACGACCAACAGACCCCTACCGTTCGCCTGCAATGGTAGGATGCGTCTTTGCGATTAGTCGAAGATGGTTCCGGAAGCTGGGTCAGTTTGATCCCGGCATGGAGGTGTGGGGTGCCGAGAACACGGAGCTCTCCCTCAAGACCTGGATGTGTGGGGGAGGTTTGGAGTTAGTACCCTGCTCCAATGTTGGCCACATGTACCGTCCAAATAAATACTACGACTCCAATCCTCCTTTCTTCAGTCGCAACATTGCCAGAATTGCCAACGTTTGGATGGACGGCTACAACGTCTTCGCCCGCAACCACGACGGTGCCTTGGCCGATGTCGGCGACATCTCTGACAGGTTGAAGCTACGACGGGATCTGCACTGCCATTCCTTTGAGTGGTACCTTGCTAACGTCAACCCGGAGTCTTACATTGTTGGAGATGGGATATATACTGGCGAGGTGCGGAATGTGGGCTTAGGGACTTTTTGTATTGACGACACTTATGGGAGCAAGAGGTTGGTATCACCCATCGCTTTGTTCACGTGCCATGGGCAGCTAGGGAATCAACTGTGGGACTACACAGAGCTCAGGGAAATCAAGAACTTCATGTTTTGCTTCCAGGAGACTACAGGGCCTGTTGCCATGGCAATATGTGACGAAGGTGAGATGAAGCAAAAATGGCGTTATGATCCATCTGCTGATGGACATGGTCCGGTTGTGTCCGCCAGTGGCCTCTGTCTAAGCGTGGACACCACCCAGCTGATTCTTATTACAGAGACATGTAACGGCAACGGCCTCCAGTTGTGGCGATGGAGAAAGAGGCGTGAGCCGCGCACATGGAAATTGAAAAACTCAATGTGAGTTGAGGAGCAAGCTGTATGATTTCAAAGCACCAAACATTTTCTTAATATACCCAGCATTGTGTTAGGACATCCATCATGTCCAACGAACATTTTATAAATAAAAACAAAATAATTTGTTTCCATCTTTTCGGATTTTTTTTTTATAGAACGGAAAAGTGAAAGTGAAACTTTTACTCACTTCAGTCTCCTACAAGTCCGTATGGTGGCCCATGTGTTTTAATCTCTCCACCATTTGTTATTGTTATTGTGATGAGACTTAAATGAACAATCTGTCTGTCTGTCTGCGTGCGTCTTTGTTCAGCCCCTTCTGTAGGTGTAGTTAGTGAGGTGAGGTGAGGTGAGGTGAAATGGGGTTTATTAAGATTATTGCACTTATATAGCGACGTGCATGTACCTGTGTGTGTTTGTGTGGCTGCGTGTACTAGTACGGACTAATGCCGATTTATAGTGCTAGCTCACTGAGATACCATGCCGCAGTTTAACATGAATACCCCACTCAGACACAGTATACTGACTCCGAGCCGACCAGTCCTTGTTTTAGCCCCTTAATGCTGAGCGACAGACTGGGTAACAACAAGTACCATCTTTTAACGTCTTTTGGTATGACGCGGCCGGGGATCGAACCCCTTACCTTCTGCTCTCCGGACGGACGCTCTACCATTTGACCACGGAGGCGGTCACGACAAGTACCTCGGCTTTCTATAGACTATACCTAATACCCACGCATGCCAATACCCAATACCCAATAAGCTCATGTCAACTGTCGTGACATAACCAGCGTTGGAAACCTCTCGTCTTTGGACAAAAAGGGTTCTATATAAGCAAGAGGTAAATATATTCTCAACTAGTAAATAGATATTACATAATGTAAATCAATAAACTATATTTAAAGCCTCTTCTTGTTTTGATCTGACAAATATGACAGAAATATTGACGCGGGAATAGATTTTGTCAGATGTATTTGTTCAACCAAATATTGCACGTATATTTAAGTGATATTCATTACGCAAGCAGTTTGATATGTTAATTTTATCCCTTTGCATTTAATGGATTCTATGCATGCGAAAAGGCGTTTCAACGGAAATTTTACCATTATCACCTACTTGATTGAAGCACTAAGTGGACATTCTAAAAAGCATATTCCAGTACCCTAGATTAAGTGATAGAGCATCACAAACGATGTTGTCATGTTTTCATGATTTCAATTCTGATAAGTGTATACTTGTTGATATGGGGCGGTTTCTTACACTGGACGAAATAGTCTTGTAAATTGCCTTTTGTAAATGCGTATGCCACCAAGTCGCCCCAAAAGGAAGACTACCTGTTGAATTGTTTTGGTAGTAGATTTAGTCAGTGCGTGATGGTGTCATAGGTGGAATGCACAAACCGAAAAAGAGGAAAATTAATAGGAATAAACCTATTCTCGCCCACTCAGCTGTCGACTGCCTTTGTGGTCTAGTGGCAGAGCGTCTGCCCGAAGAGAGGAAGATCGGAGGTTCGATCCCCGGCCGCGTCATACCAAAGGTGGTACTTGTTGTTACCCTGCCTGGCCCTCGGCATTCATGGGCTTAAACAAGGACTGCTCGGCTCGGAGTCATTATCCTTTGGAATACTTTAAGGGACATTCTCGCGATCTCGCATTCTCGACTTTTTGAAACGAGCTAAAAGTGACGAAAACACGAGATCGCGATTTGGCCAAATCTCGCGACATTTCATTTTCTCACTATATCGGTTCTCGCGTCTTAGATGCTGCCCGTGCATATGCGTAATAACATAAGGTCAAGGTGCATGCGCACGTTAGTAGTCCTTGGGCCATGCTCCTATCATGATCTTCATTCTAAAAGTAGCATTTAGCAAACTTATGACTTGACTTTGAAAATGCTATGTAATTTACATACAAAAAGTCCAATGTCGAGTGGAGTAGAGTCCTCTCCCGTTATTACAGTTTCCTATGTACTTTAAATTAAAACCCTCAAACTGCTCTATATAATTTAACAAAAGAAATTCTATATGAATGTCCAATGATAGTGAAAACATTAAATTATCCGGAAGCTGGAAACAAAATAGCACCATCAGTGAGTGAGTAAATATTGCTCAAAGCCGCATCAGCAGTATCGCAGCTATTCGTGGCTACACGTCAATTATTGAAATAATCACAGGCTGTGAGTTTCCCATGAGACAATATTATACACGGCTAGCATATTCATTGAAACAAAATTCTCACAGACCAATTTGTAGCATTCATCTAAAGTGAGATGGTCAGATGTTTTAACACGATACCATATTCGCTACTTTAGGCCATACCAAATTAATAAATAGATTTTCATCCGCTCCCGCCTGACTACAAAACATCCCGCCTTACATTACTCTATTGCCCCCAAGTTCCCAGAAATAGAAATATCGCTAATATGAGTGTTTCTACTTTCTTCACTTGCATGGTGGAATTTGTTTATATTTGAATATACATCTGTGAGGTTTAAGTTGATTTTGACAGCCCGGGCCAAGTCGGACCCAACACTTCAGACAGAGATTTTCTTAAGAAAATACAGGAAAAGTGTTTGACTTTAACGGACCAGTTTTCTTTAAATACGATGTACTGTGACATTATAAAGTGGTATATAGGTAGATAAAATACTAATCTATAGATGTAAACACATTTGATGATACATCTATGTGTTTAAAGTTGATTTTGACAGCCCGGGCCAAGTCGGACCCACCACAAGCTAAACACTTTTGATAGAGAATATGTTGAGAATGTAGAGGGGAAAGGGCTTCACTTTGAGCACCTTGTTTTCTTTAAATACGATGTACTGTGACAATATAAAGTGTTTTATAGGTAGATACAATACTAAGCTACAGATAATAACACATTTGATGATACATCTGTGTGTATTATTGATTTTGACAGCCCGGGACAAGTCGGACCGAGCACAAGCCAAACACTTCTGATAGAGACTATGTTGAGAATGTAGAGGGAAAAGGGCTTCACTTTGAGCACCTTGTTTTCTTTAAAAACCGCGATCTAAGACACTATAAAGAGATATTTAGGTAGATATAATACTAATCTATAGGTGTGAGTCCATTTCATGTTACATCTGTGAGGTTTAAGTTGATTTTGACAGCCCGGGCCAAGTCGGACCGAACACTTGTGAGACTGTTGAGAGTATGGGGAGAAGAGGTCTACTTTAACCAACGTGTCTGCTTTATACACGATGAACAGTGACATTATTAAGTGGTATTTACATAGATATAGTACTATCCTATAAATATAAACGTTATGCCGACAGATGGAAATTTGTATCGCGATAGCTAGAAGTTTTTGATACGTTTCAGATCTTATTTCGTTTAACGATTGCTCTTTTACATGTTACCTCGATCAGCGACGCATACACACAGCTCCACTTTCTGGATTTCAAGCGATTTACTCCAAAATACCTAATTATGTTTCACGTTTTTGGTTGGTGATTGTTCATTAATGTCATGTGTGTATGTTGCATCAATAATATGTAGGTATGTAGATAATGAAGTAATTAGCCAATAACACTTTGGCCCGTCTTGGCCCGGCCCGGCCCGACTTTTAGGCAATGCCACCGATGAACTCCGCCGTTCGTTTTGTCTGTTTGTTTAGGCTGAAGAAATTAATCAACATGCGCCCTTTGTCGAAATCTTTATAGATCACGGTTAACCAATCAGTGTTCAAAAATGGGTAAAACAAATATTGCCTCCAAGTTCATTTTGCTGTCCTTGCAGACGGTAGCCCAGTCTCTTGTCACGCTCAGTTGCGTTGCGTATCATCCGGGTACTCACGGGGAAAAAACAATAACAAAGGCAACAACCAGTCCCGGGGAATTGCTTTAGATCTTTGCCCCTTTAATTAATCCAATCAAACACAACTAGCACCGCTTATTAGCGCTGAGTAGAGCACTCCCGTAAAAACAATAAGGTATATGTTTATTCTGCCGACTGGCATTGAGGACGTTCAAAGACAATAAACTAATTAAACCAAGAACCGTTCTCTGATTGGTATGCGGAGAAGGTGTCAACAAACTTGAAGGCAAGACAAGACAAAGGCTTGCAGAAGTGGTTTATTTCTCATGAATCACCATGGTGACATAAAGAAGTTGACAAGAGAGACATATATACATAAAAATGAGTCAACAGTTTGCATACGCAGTCCATATATTTTACATACTGGGCTAGGCGTAAGAGAAGAGGTTTATAAGAACAAGTCACGAGAGAAACAATTTTTTCAGTATTTGGATATTTACAATAATGTAATGGGAGATATTTATTTCTTGAATGGTCCAGTTCATGGCACTCTAGTATGAAATGAAATTCATCACCAATTTTAAACTGACGGAGAGAGCAAACCTCCCTGTTGAGGTTATTTCATCCCCCCGTTTCAATTGGGAGTCGGTGGTTCTGATTTTAGTAAACCAAATGCGTAAATTATGAGGTAAATACAATATTGGGGGGATATCTTTATACAAATTATAATAGTGTCCTTTTGGGGAATTAACTTTGTTTTTCCTCCAACTTTGTAAACATTGGCCTATAAGGACAGTTTTGACGTTAGCCTTTATCCACTGAACTACACTGGGGAATTCCCGAGGCAGACAAATGTGATTCAGACCTGTTCTTTGTAAAATACGTTGGATTTCATTTACAAGCGGAAACTTAAACTCTGAGTGGGAAATTTGGAGTTTCCCCATAAGTTTGCACATTATACCTGATAATTTGGTTTCTGCTAAAACTAATTTACACCAAAGTGATACCATTCTTAAATTAACATGATGTTTTATGGGTTTCTCCCTAATTCTCCGTACATCATGAAATCAGGGGTAGTTTGCTTAACCTTCAAAATATATTTACTAAATCTTAAATAAACACGTTGCAGTATAAAGCCCCGGACTTCAGATCCGTACAACAATAAAGGTTGAACAAGATAGTCAAACGGTTTAAGTTGACATGTCAGTTGGTACTTCTGGTACTCGTATTTTTCTAAAAATAGCAAACATTGTTCAAGAAGATTGGTCAGATAACCGTTTAATGGCTTTACAAAATCGACCGTTACTTGAAAATAAAATACCCAGAAAGACATGCTGTATTGTTGTTGTTTTTCAATTAGGGGAATCTTTATTTTGAAGTCTAAATGTACAGGCAATTTTAAAAGATCTTTTAGCAAAAGCTACAGTTATTGTTTAAGCAGTGTTCACCTTGAGTTGCCAATGATTGCAATAATTTTCAAATACGTTTAGCATAGTTCAGGTCGGAAGTTATCTCAGACATTAGGACTGTATCATCCGCACAAAGAATTACCAATAGCTTGATAAAACTTCCAATTTCTTTTAGAGCACAATCATTTACTTTTTCAAGACCAATAACGTCATTTTCTGACAATAATGACTCAGGATCATTTAGGATAAAGGGCAAAGAGAAATAGGGATACGTCTTCGCCTTGCCTTACTCCAATGTTACAAGGAAATAATTCAGTGACACTGCCATTATGAGAAACAAATGATTTTATGTGTTTGTACATGTTATTGATAACATTAAAGCATTTACCAGTGATATCACTTTGAATCATTTTGTACCATAGGTCACAACGCCAAACCGTATCGAAGGCCTCACTAAAATAAATAAAAACACAATACAGCCGCTTCTTGTGGTTCAAGTATACATCGACGAATGCTTTTAATATATATATATATATATATATATATATATATATATATATATATATATATATATATATATATATATATATATATATATATATATTATCAGTAGTTAAATAGTGTTTCTTAAAACGGGTTGTCAATATTATTTATACATGTATTACATAGAGCATTGTCACATGTATTTACAGTTTTACGTGGTATCATCCCAGAACTGACACATTTATTTATATATACAGGGTTGACGGGGATATATTTCAGTGAAAAGGACGCACCACAATGTAACTCATTTTTTAGAAATAGTTATTTATAACTATTAAGGCAATTTGGAAGAAAGCGCGAGACCGCGACACTTGACCAATGTCGCACTCTCGTGCTTTTGTGACACTTGCCTATACAGTTATATGTAACAATTTTTAAATACGCGAGAACGCGAGATCGCGAGATCGCGACACGTGATTAATTTCTGCTAATTACCTGTACAGTCATCTTGAGCCGGGAGCACGGGCGGCTCAGCCTTATGGATAAACTCACTGGCCTGTGGGCCTGACTAGATCAAGCACACACACAGGCACGTCGCTATATTAATGCAATAATCTTGAACGCGACGTTAAACTCCATTTCACCTCACATCACCATTTAGCTTTCATCCGAGGAATACCTGACCTTCGTGAATAGTTTCCCACGAACAGGGCCTCAAATATCATAACCGTATATGTAGGCATCACTATATAAAGTGTTTGATCAAACAACGTACAAACACAAGGTGTAAGTGACTTCTTGTATTGGATGCCAAAGCTCCATACACATTCAAACACAGAGACATACAGCGCAGAGTCCAGCGACTGCACCACCAAATCCCTGCCTCAAAGATTAACCATAATCCTTAGGAAGAACTTCTATGTATTCACAAACAGTATTTGAGAATTAATTCCTGTGGATTCACAAAAACTCATAGAATTTGCTTGATATTGTGTGCAACCCCACGCCAAACCTGAGGGGAAACGTAATTCCTTGGCACACGGGTCACTGGTTCCTAAACGTGGTGACAATAGATATATGTGCATCATTGTCTTCAAAGGTTCAGGAGAATTTGTAAAAAATGAAAGGAAAACAAATCTTTACTGAGAAAACACTACGTGAAATGCTGGACTTATACATGGACCCGTGAATATCCGGGGTAGAATAGGTCTTCAGCAACCCATGCTTGTCGTAAAAGGCGACTATGCTTGTCGTAAGAGGCATCTAACGGGATCGGGTGGTCAGGCTCGCTGACTTGGTTGAAGCATGTCATCGATCCCAATTGAGTGGATCGATGCTCATGATATCAATCACTGGATTGTCTGGTCCAGACTCGATTATTTACAGACCGCCGACATATAGCTGGAATAATGCCGAGTGCGGCATAAAACAAAACCAATCAAACAGCGTTACACGACGTTTGCTCAAAATGCAAGACCATAGTAAGGCTTTCAAAAATAATTATTGGAGACATGTGGAGGACATTTTCAAATTTGACACTTCGATGACCAAAAATTATGTCCGACGCAATTTCTTATTTTGACTTGTACCATTATGCTCCCTTGTTTGTTCAGATAACACTTGACTTGACTTGCCTTTGCATGTGTTTTGACGGGTAGCACCGATTGTGCACGACACGCTCACCTTTTCGCGAAAACCTGGTGTCACCACGAGCTGAAAGTGATTCATAAACACATCCTCATGATATAGTCGGAATCGTACAATCGACGCTGCTTTTTTCTTAATTTCATAATACGTTTCTTATGAATATTTGGAAAGGGTTTTGTCGCTTTTGTTAATGTGAAGTGTTAAACCAAAATTCATTTACCCCCTAAGTAACTTCTTACCTGGGGAGAGAACAGCAAATAAACTTTAAGCTCATCCAGAGTCATATGCAGAAGCTTGTGATATACTCGGAATCATACAATGATTGTGTATGATATAGATATTAACGTTTGCAGTTTGTAAATGTTACTATATCAGAAACTGTCGCAGATTATATACTTATAATTAATAGTTATACGAGAATCTCATAGAAGTGGTCGTAAAATATCACTAAAGGTTGTCCTCTACATAGCGGTGGAGCACAGCTTATTTATATTTTGAAGTGAAATTTGTTTTTCACGTTTTTCGTAAAGACAAGTGATGTGGCCTTCACAAAACGTTGATTACAACCTGATTATATTTATCGCCAAAATAATCCTTATTCGATCTAGGTAATCCTACTTTTGAATGTAAATAAATGTGCGCGACTCCCTAACCAAAAAGTTATTCTTATAAACGTTTTGACCTCAAAGAAGGGTATCAGTATGTATGTAGTTTATAGTTATTAGGAAATTATATTTAGCAAACTAAATTGACCAATCATATCAGTCACTCATTGATCGCTCCGTGTTGTAAAGATGGCGCGACCTGCCAGTCGCCATGGTAGATATGATGCTAAGATTTGTAATACATTAGCGGATACTAGTGGTTTTCATTCTTCGGCAGTTAAGTGCAGACATACACAAGGTTTGCTTTGTAGTTTCGTGTAAAGCAGCTGAACTGTCACTCTCATTTGCTTTGTAGACTGTCAGGACTCAGAATCATGGCAATAAATCCAGCCGAGAGTTTGGCCCCCGCACGGCTGTCGAGTCATGTTCAGATAAATCTCAAAATTCATCCATCTTTGGTGGTTTTGGCAATGGAACAACAGCTATTACCCGCTTTATTGTGTCCTCAGTATTATACACAGGGAAAATGCAGTTCACTAAGAGCAGCGACATTTCAGCTGGCATACTGACTCATGACTGGTATATATTCGAAATATTGCGGAAATATCCAATGTTATTGTTCACGTTTATGCATTATTATCATCTTAACCCTTATGGAGTCCGGCCGTCTGACAGCTTTTACCATTAATCTTTGAAACAATGCCTGCCTTAAATAAAAGCCGGATAAACGACCCTCTGCCATGAATAAACACCTGGGATAAATGCTGGGTCTTGTTTGACACTGAGTGAAAATATGGTGAATCGTTCCAATTGTTCTCTGTAAGGATCCATACTGTATGTGTCAGTTTGAGGTACAGAGTGTGAGAAAAAAACAAAAGAATTTGAAGTGAATAAATGCAGAATCTCAGGCCCTTCCCAAATGAATAAACACAAGGGTTTATTGAGTTTATAAGGGTTTAGTCAAGGGTTTACGGTATATCGCTCAATGCCCACTATGTGCTAACGTCATGGTTTCAAAACTGTTTACACAGTGTGTATTGCATTGTCCATATTTCTTCATATGGTGTAACCAAATTGTACAACATTCAAATTAAGTGGGTTGTCTTTCCAAGTTATAGTTAGAGGACAAGTGCCAGTACTTTATTTGGATATAAACATACGTTTATATCCCAATAAAGTACTGGCACAAGTTCTCTATCTATCTTAGAGCACAGGCAAATACTCGAGCTCCGTGAACTGGACACTGCATATCGCACAAACTCATTCACAATCAAAGCAGATTCCACGATTTTATATAAACTGTATGGTTTGTGCAACCTACCCCAGCATGGCAGTATCCTTCTACATGTATATGCTGTATTGCCTGCTTGTTAACAATGTAGGGGCACGGGTGGCCCAGTGGTCTAAGGCGCCGCGTTTCGCTGTGCAGAGTTGCGTCCCCTGGGCACGCCAGAAACCTATGATTGTGGGTTCGAATCCGGTTCGCCCCGATTATGTTTCTAGGTTTGTCAGCACCATACCCTTGCTCTTTGGTACTCACAACCAAACTCACAATTGTTAACAATGTCATGAGAAAGTTACATCCATGGATAGTCATGATGACATTTGGTTATCTCAGGTAAGTGAAAATACAACTTTATCTGATATTGAACTGAGCCAAACTTTGGATGATTTTGAAACTTTACAAAATTTGAACCCAACAACCTCAAAACACATGCAAAAATAATGATCATCTAGTACTTCAGCCATGATAGATGATTTGATTGCAGACCCAGTTAAAACCAGGATTAATACAAAGTGGGGTTTTAACATTTAGACAGAATGGGCAACACATAAAAATAGAAACTTGCATGTCCATGAACCTACATTTCTGTAACACCTGAGTTTTTCGCTATTTTGGCCCCCCCCCACCATCTTTATCAGATAGTGTGCTTCATATTGAGGCATTTAACGGACAATTATTCAAGATTGGATATTGGATTTTCAGGCTGATGAATCAAAACTATCTCTGTCATGACCAATCAAGTCCAGGAAAAGGGACAGTTTTCAAATTTACGATGGAATAGAACTTTAGTCGGTAGAAGTTATTAAATCAATTACAAAATGTCATAATTGATGTTAATGAATAAAAGAACCCGTTGTTTGTTGTTTAAGTCATGTCATGCTGAAATGTACAAAAGTTTCTTGAAGCACAAGAATTTAACGCCTATATAAACTGTTTACTCTACAGTACTTTATCAGAATATTAATGTCCTCCAACTGATCAAAATAGCGACCATCCATTGGACGAAAGTATTTGCCTGTGCTCTAACAACATGAACATCATCATAATTCAGAAAATCAGAAAATCCAACGGTGATAGTGCTGGAAAACAAAGTTGGATATTTTCTACCTTTCCTGTGATAAATAAACACCGTAATGTGTAAGTAAGCACACCCTCATTTGATATCATTTATATGTACATACCACAACGATTATAGACACATGACATTTATGTCAAAGTATATTCATTGTCAAATGCCCTTGAGTTTAACTGACTAATAAAAAGTTTGATGAATAATACTTTTACATCAAAAACACAATCTACGGAAGTGGTTGTGATTTGATCAAACGCAGACTCTTTCAAAGATTTTATGACATTATGAATGACAGTTTCAATTATACGTCTCCAGATTTAATTCCTGGGTTACTTCAATATAGGTTGCAGTGTCAGTGCTTTTTCATTAGTGACAAAAACAACTTCAGGGTATAGGCATCAGACATTTTCAGTGGAAGACATGTAATTGATGCTGAATAATCAGGGCAATCCTCAAAGTCACATCGCTCAGTACAGGACATCCTGAATATGTCTTAATATTAAGGGACTGGTAATTTATTATGGGGAATGGGGTGTCGGCGAGATTGGTCTTTATATATGAAGATTGTATTTAACCAACGTCCCCCCCAATTTTATGTAACACTCCCCCTACCATTTTCTCTTTCATAGTATTAGGTATTATGAATTTTATACATGCTTTTTTAAAATTAAATTTATCAGTCATATTTTTTTTCTCATCAAAATAAATCTTTTATTTGAAATTTCAATTATATGTTTATGAGCGAATTCCTTTTAAAGTATCCACAGATTCATCATTTTATACCTCACATTTATATCAGGAGTATAAAAAGTAAAATACTCTTCACAGGTATTGTAAAATATAATAATGACATTTCTTTCCCCTGACAAATGGAGTTGTCTCCCCTAGACCATCACCATAAAGATCCACATGATACACATGTAGGCTGTGTTTGATCTTGTGTGCTGTATTCACATTGTGATATCAAAACATATCAAAGACATACATGATAGTTCATGTCGAAAAAAAAATCCTATTTCATCCCATTTTAAACAAGAAAAGTTTGAAATTTATAACAGCATTAGAAACAGTTTTGTCCACTAATCCCATATAATGATAACATAGAGCAAAACCCTTAAAATGGCTAATTTCATCGCACTTTAGGGGTTGTATAGTGAGGGACTATATATGCCCCCAACACACTTTAGGGGTTGTATAGTGAGGGACCATATATGCCTCCATCGCACTTTAGGGGTTGTATAGTGAGGGACTATATATGCCCCCATCACACTTTAGGGGTTGTATAGTGAGGGACCATATATGCCCCCATCGCACTTTAGGGGTTGTATAGTGAGGGACCATTTATGCCCCCATCGCACTTTAGGGGTTGTATAGTGAGGGACAATATATGCCCCCATCGCACTTTAGGGGTTGTATAGTGAGGGACCATATATGCCCCCATCGCACTTTAGGGGTTGTATAGTGAGGGACCATTTATGCCCCCATCGCACTTTAGGGGTGGTTTAGTGAGGGACAATATATGCCCCCATCACACTTTAGGGGTTGTATAGTGAGGGACCATATATGCCCCCATCGCACTTTAGGGGTTGTATAGTGAGGGACCATATATGGTCCCATCGCACTTTAGGGGTTGTATAATGAGGGACCATATATGCCCCCATCGCACTTTAGGGGTTGTATAGTCAGGGACTATATATGTTCCCGTGGCCGAAAAAACCCTTCATATCCAGTAAACATCTTTTGGGGGATTAAGGGACCGGTAATTTACAATATGGGATTTTGGGCCAGTGGGAATCAAAAGGTCACCAAAAAATATCACAGTCCCTAGGGGAGGGTTATAAAAAAAATAAACATTTTTGGGAAGGATTGATGAAAAGAAAATATAAAGCGCTTTTGTATTTTATCTTTTCAGGGAAGGTTGTGAAAAAAATGTACAAGGACACAGGGAGGGTTATCTGAAAATAAGACAAAGATTGGGGGAGGGTCATTACTTTCAGTGCATCAGTGCATCAGTGCATCAAAAACCGCTCTTGTTGAGATGATGGAGATGGAATGAGATTATCTCCATTACAGGAGCAGCAGGGAGGTATAAGGAGACAGCCATGAGCCACCCGCAGGCAGGGAGACAAGTGAGACGTTCCAGCGCAGCAGGTGCCTATCACACCCCAACTTCCTCACCCACATTTGGGGACCCCTCACTGCCAAGAGGGGAAAGGTCACACACAGCATCTCGGAGGAGGATGCAAGTCCGACAAAACAGTGTACCATTGTATGTTATTTATGAAGTAGCTTGAGACTGACCCCTGACCTCTGACCTCTGACCCCAGACCCCTGACCCCTGACCCCACCCCCATGATTTTCAGTTGCTTTTTTATATAATCTGTGACAACTTAGTTGTAAGCTATTTTTATTGTTTATGCCCATCCATCCATCTATCTGTACATACTCTTCTTCACCAAGACAACTAACCCTATCAGTATCCCAGAGTTTACATGTAACTTCACAACTAGAGGTCCAGGGGACCCCCAATAAATAATTTCAATGGTTTTGTAAAGACATGAAATGCTGTACTGCACTATAAGATTTGATAATTACTTTATGCCCGTGAAGATCCGGGTTAGAATAGGTCTTCAGCAACCCATACTTGCTGTAAAAGGTGACTAGGGTTGTCGAAAGAGGACTAACAGGATCGGGTGGTCAGGCTCGCTGACTTGGTTGATGCATGTCATCGTATCCCAATTGCATGGATCGATGCTCATGATATCAATCAGGGGATTGTTTTGTCCAGACTCAATTATTTACAGACTGCCGTCATATAGCTGGAATATTGCTGAGTGTAGCGTTTAACAAGAACAAACAAAGAAACAAACAAATCAAGTCTGTACGTATGTTGATCTGCATCACCGAAGGATTAGACTATATATATGTCATCAGTGCTGATTAAAGTCTTGTAGTGAGGATCGAGTGGTTAAAATGTGTGACCTGGATGAATGTTAGTATGCTATCAACCACTTGTTTCACTGGCCCAAAGTCACATTGTGACCTGTCTGAATGTGCGACATGGTTATCTGATGTGTTAAATGTTGGTCATGCTATCAGTCACTCGTGTTTTATGCTTGTGTGTGTGCGCGCGGACATTTGCATGTGCGTGTGTTTTAGTTGTCGACGTAATAAGCACCCCGCTCTAATAAGCGCCCACGACAATATTTGCTAATATATTGGCTAGTGAACAATCACAATTAGCACCCCTTCCGATTGATCAATGTACACAAGACTTATTCGTGTATAATACGCACTCGTGTGTTATATGCAACCTTAATAATGGGCAATTAAATTCTGGAAAAATATATCTGTCATATATAAACATTTCAGGCTGTCAGCATAAACCACAAAATTTATCTTTCAATTCTGTTTTTTCCACCAAAATAATATTCTAATAAGAGCCCCCTATTTCTAATTTTGAGAGCGCCCTGGGCGCTTATTACGTCGAACACGGTAGGAGGTATAACAATATTTATAAACGAACATGATGCATTTCCCTCTGATACAACTTCGTACACCAAGTTCACCTACATGGTTAACACGTCTCAAAGCAGCAGTTTGTTTGTTTGTTGTTTAACCCCCTACTCAGCAATATTCCAGCTTTATGACAGCGAGGTAGACACAATTTTATGGATAACAACTTCTTTAATACTGTGAAAAGCGACGTTTCGGTATAGATCCTTATACCGTTGCTTGATCGAAACGTCGCTTTTCACAGCAGCATAGTATCTTGGTGGCCATGCACGACAAAACCTATGCCTGGACTATACCAACAGCCACATGATATATTTCACACAATATAGGTGATTTACATTTAATCAAGCCACACCAACCATTCTTTCCAACCAGAAGATTTTAAGATATTCAGATATTCAGACTATTTTTTCATATTTATCTCAAATAGTTGATTCAAATGATAACAGAGCTCAAATTGTTTTGGATCCATTGAGTGTTGATGGTTTTCATTTTGGTATTTTCAATATAGCTTTACTCCCCTGGTACCGTGTGAGTCTGTTGAGTATTTTGCAACCAATGAGTAGGGGTGCTTAAAATGCTGACATCTAATTTTCATCTGTTCATGAGCTGCCCAAAGTGTGTCACATGTCACATCAGCTCATATCAGCTCACGTCAGCTCACATCAGCGATATTCTCATTAGTTGCATTATTCACTGCAGATCTGTGAAGAAATACAGGCAGTCGATCTGGAAAGGCTACATGAATAATTACACCCAGTGTTGGTTATAGTTGTTGGAGTTGTCATGCATATTTGTTAATTGTGATTAGAATGAAACGATGCACCAAAATTCTGATGCACCATGACACATTCGGACCTGTATCATGATACACATCTTCCCGAGGCAAGGGAGTTTACTGACTAAAAGTCCAGTTTTCACCCCAGCCGAACTAGGCTGCAATAATGGAGTTACTGGCTGGACTAACGAGTCTGTGCATAGTCCTATCAAAATCTCATTACGAAATCGACATCCGGTTCGTAAACAACATGGATTTCAACTTGCAGATTTTGGTAGACTGCAGGATTTGCAACAGATGTGTACCGTCAACTGGGCGTGGACACATATTTTCCAAATCTTTCTGCAAGGGTGGAAACTGGACTTTTACAGTCAGTTAACTCTCTTGCCTGGGGAAGATGCATGATACATGACAATAAAAAGTACATATTTTTAACTTTCTGAATGTGAACATGCACATCCAACCAGTTTGGGGTCATTTTGGTCTCTGTTACGATTTGTGATGGACACAGTCAACATGGCTAACATGAAAGAAACAGTCTGTCAGTATTACAATATCATGATCTTTGTGGGGGCCGCTGGGTAGTCTATTGGTTAAAGCATTTGCTCATCACGCCAAAGACCCCGTTTCAATTCCCCTCTAGTACAATGTGTGAAACCCATTTCTGGTGTCCCCTGCTGTGATATTGATGAAATATTGCTGAAAGTGGCATAAAACCATACTCCCTCACTCACTTATGGCCTTTATGATGTTATCAAGATATGTCTGGTATTGTGACAAGTGTATCGAGATACATATTGTATCATGGGCTTGTGTACCGTTGCACCCCTGTCATTAACATTAGTGAAAATCTATCCCTATCACATGTTGAGTGGTATATGTGTGACCCATTGTATTTTTTGATGCACAGAGATGATATGGAGAGTCCCCGACCAATGTCAAGTGGTTCTGATGAAGGTTATGTCCCTTCTCCACCCCCTCGTCCACCATCCACACAAAGGGGGCGCCCCATGTCGTCAAGGCAACGACCCACGAGCTCTCGGAGAACTCGACCCTCACCGGTGGAAGAAGGTACTCTGATACTATTCCTTTGTGTTAAAATGCAACAATTATTATGCAATAGATTGTTAATGAAGATTAGTTTGTGGTATTTTCAGATCTTCCAGCAATTTCAATGATTAATTATTATCTTTGTTTGCTAAAACATTGATCACATTGATCACATTGATGATATTTTCTTTAAACAGACATCATCATACAGCAAATTGATTTTAATATTTTAATGTCACTTAACCATTCATCTTCCTGAGGCAAGAGAGTTAACTGACTTTAAAAGTCAAGTTTCCACCCTTGCCGAACTAGGCTGGAATTCCTGGGCTCAATCGTAGCGCCACCAGTGGCTATTATGAGTTATGTCCCTTCTGAGCCTCTCCTATGGACCAATCAGATTCCACCTCTCGTAGCACTTGCATGTGCTTCCAACAAAATGGCGGCACCCAGTCAAGACAATCTGATTGATACCGGTAATCAAGATCTATATTGTGATAAAAAAAGGTCTTACATCGTGAAGTGCACCAAATCAGGTGGGCACCTTCATTCAAAATATGAAAAGATTTGGAAAATATCTGTTGACAATGAGTTGACGGTGCACATGTTATGCAAATCCTGCAATCGACTGAAATCTGCATGACAGTTTACGAACCGGATTTCGATTTCATTGCGCGATTTTGATTGGACTATGCATAGACTTGTTAGTCCAGCCAAAATCTAACTTCATAATACCAGCCTAGTTTGGTGAGGGTGGAAACTGGACTTTAAAAGACAGTAAACTCTCTTGCCTCGGGAAGATGGGCTCCATTGTCTTTCAACTAGTTAGAGTGACAATTCACCATATTAAGTGCCTTGCATCAATAATTATATTTATATATTTTTCAGAAAACAGAAAAATATAATTGCGAAGTAGCTATTATCAAAAGAGGTCTTGTTTCATCAACGTTTGAACTACGTTTGTTCGCTCCATCGCTGTTCGCTGTTAAAAGCAGTGTTAAACCCAACTCACTCACTTTCTCACTCACTCACTCACTCACTCACTCACTCTATTTATTGTGAATATGCATTTGGCACATACATGCTTTGTATGAATGAAACAGTGCATGAACATTTTCATTCACAATTTAATTATTTCTGCACATTCGGCAAAATTATGGTCAATACATTTTTCACCTTGTTTTTTTTTTCACAGATTTACCAAATGTGACTGTTATGAGACCTCCATCATCGTTTAACAAATTCCGCCGTCTGCCCTCCATTGGTGATCCCAACCTTCAACAAGGGGATACAACCTCTCTCCCCTCCAACATGGCCAGCCTTCACCTTGGTGAGACCGGAGACTCCAAGTCCCACTCCACCAGACAGCCTAGTAGTGTGACAGTTGACAAATGTGACAAAACAGAAACTCAAAGAGGTCAGAATGATCCCGACTCTGTGCCATTCGAACCTCTCTCTGGATTAGATCCATTAGCCCCAGAACATCCATTACCCCCAGAACATCCATTACCCCCAGAACCATCGGAACAGGAAAAGCGGTTGCTGCTTGCAGTCAAACTGCCAACTGGCAAACGATGTCAGCGCTATTTCAGTCCATCGGACTATCTGCAAGATATACACCATTTTGCAGAAAACATCACACAACAGAATTTGTCACAGTACGTATTGGCGTGTAACGCACCAAGGAAAGTGTTTTCCAGCTTGACCGTACAGATCCAGGATGTGGAACTGCTGGACAAGACGGTTCTCTACTTCGAGGAAAAATAGGGCTGTGCTTGAAAGATGTGTATAGTTTTATGCACTCAAAGAAGACAAGTGTTTTGAATAGGGGAGACAGTTTATTGGATATGTGATAGTATCCATGATTGCAGATTTAATATTTTTGACTTACGTTTTTATTGATTGGAAAGCAATTCAACACTGCACTGTGTACAGAATCAGATGTTCCACAAAAGGACAACCCCTGCATGGTTGTTGGTTAAAAATAGATAATAGAATGGATCTTGTCTCATCAAAAGCTTTTGCAATCAAAGACACACAGAGGGCTCAATTAGAGCAAATGTTGCTGTGATATGAAATTAGTTGTTCAGTTAAATACCCATCACAACTTGACTACATATCAGATCATTCCCAATCTCACTGAAATCAGATCTTAGTTCTCGCTACCACTGAGGACATCCCATTATGGTTCATGTCAGAACGACCTTTCAACCCACCAATCAGAACGTCGCGAACCAGATTGGGAAAAATACAGTCGGAAAAGGTTAACTTGGGGTATTCCAAATGAAATTTACAGGCTTTACAACTGATTTCATCAAAATCATCGTCTGTCTTGCATTTCAATGGGATAAACATTTGAAATGGAAGAGACTATCCATACTCCATGGAAAGTTTACTGTACAATTTCAGCCATCTGTTACACATTCCAGATATATCTTTTGGTCAGTTTTCATAACTTGAATAGAGAACTCTGTCAAAATATTTTGAAGTGTAGACTGCAATAGAAGCTGGCTGTTTGAAACTAGTTCCGTAAAGGTCCAGAAAGCTGCTTTCTGATTGGCTAACGGCTTTCTGATCGTGATGTCATGTTTTGACATTACCTGTAATGGGATGAATACACAATGCCATTTAGAAAGTGGTCAAATGTAACAAATGTTATATTTGGGATAACACTTTCTTAGTAAAGTACAGATTCTCGAATTTCTTTTAGGTTGAGTCCTGTCCGGGATTCGAACCCACACTTGCCAGAGTGAGGCACCTAATCGCCAGCACACAAAGTCAGCGATCTAACCCACTCAGGTGCCGAGGCTTCCACAAAATGAAAGTCCGACAACTGGTAGTCTAGATCAACTCAAAATAATATTTTAGTAAGCGCCCCCTATTTCTAATTTTGAGAGCGCCCTGGGCGCTTATTACGTCAAATACAGTATCCCAAATATAACATTTGTTACTGTAATGGGATGTCTTCAGATCTTTGTTTAGTGGTAGCAAGAACGAAGATCTGATTTTAAATAGATTGAATCATTCCTCATTGTTGAGGGCATATATTAACTCATTGCTGAGAGTTGAGTGTATAGATCAACTCATTTCCAAGTATCATCCTGATAGAAGCAATAAGGAGATGAACAAACACTTGAAGAATCCCCATACAGGGTTGATGATGCTACAGGGTAGATGGTCTGATGTGATGGCATGACCTGAATCGGATGTTGTTATCACTGTGAAGGTCACTTGATCTGATGTACGATTATCTTATTCTATCACTGCATATATAGAATGCATATATGGCAAGATTATTTCGATGCCTCATTGTGAAGTGTGAACAAGTGTGTGTGTCTTTTTTACTATGAGTTTTTCTTACATGTTACCAGTGTTTTATTGCTACATGTAGCACTTTTCTTCTCGATACTGAAAATGTAGTTGTTTTATTTGTTTGATATTTATGCTTTTGGGGCATTAAATTATGTTTTATTGTAGGTATTTACGTGACTATGTCCCAGTCACGACACAACATTGAAAAGATAATTTGATGAGTTTATTCCACATTTTGCATGTGTGACCATTGCCATGTGCTATCACTGGATGTTCAGTTCCGGATGCTTCACTGCACATGACCGAACAATATCATGTTATCCTTATGACTACTCAAGAGTAGGTATCACAGTTTTGTTGATTTTATTTTTTTAAAACTTTTAATCTAAAAATAGAAATTGTTTTGTTTACTCAAATTGCTTTAAAGTGTTTTGTGTTTGGTAACTGTTGTAAAGTGAGGTTTTTTTGCAGTTAACAGATATCAACACCTTTTTCTTGTTAACCGTCACAGTATTACAATGCTCTATGCTGAAAGTGCTTCTTAGGAAAGCATCACATGTAGTTTGTGCTGCTTTAGAATGGCAAGCTTGTACAGCCTGCTGTATGTTGGGAGTCTGCTGACAAGGGCCATTGTTGTTTTATTGTTGAAACAAGGGCCACTGACTCTGTTTTTCATTTAAAAAATGAGAATATTTTTTATGGATGTATCATACAATTATTTTGTGATAATCGAAAAGACATCTTCAAAGCTCAATACATTTGACATCAATATTTCATGAAATGGGTCAATCAGTGCTGGTTCCAGGTATCAAATCTAGAGTTCTGTCCCCTTGTTCTTGAAACATGATACCGTCTTCCGGGAAAAACAACATTTACACACATTTATGGAGTTTGAAAATCAAACATATCTTGGTTGAAACCGGTGACATTTTTTTTCATTTTCACCCTTTCCCGGATCTTTTGCAGAAAAAAATCTGTGATCCAACAAAAACGGCAATAATGGCTTAGTGATGTTCTGATGAGCAGTTACTCTGGTATTTGTGAGTTTATACCAATTCATGTTTAATTCACAATTGTTTCATAATTGTGATGCACATTATTATATGACATTCACATAAAACACGTGTACAAATTATTTCTTGTCACCATGAATGTCACAACCATTTCAATATTACAAATTGAAACTAACATTAATTATTTACAGTGATAGAGAATTATTGAGAAGAACCGATGACAGGACACTTGATATGCAATGCAAGGGAGTGTCCTACTTGCTTTAGTCATCACCCCTGACAACCAGATATTACTTCTATATGATACCTGTCTGCAAGAAGATGTTTCAAAATCTCCATAGGTCAGGTCAGGTGAGCATTCTAATAAGCCATTCTACATGGAGGATTTTCAATTCTTATTACGAGCGAGCGAAGCATTCAGAGCTGCATATCTCCTATCTGTATTTCAAAATGAACATAAACAGGCAGCTCTAAATGCAAAATAATAAAGGCTGGGCTGGTATATCATTTAAGGTTTTAAGATCCAAATCTAGGTACAGAATTGTTTTAGAAAGCTGACATGTTGTTTGACTCATGGATCCTTTATTTGGCTTGGTGATCAAAGTTCGCTCAGGGATTACATGACATAGCCTATGGTTTAGAGGTCTCGTTGTGATGCTGGTTTTGGTAAAAACAGGGTCAAGGTGTTTTTATTGCATTCTGTTCATGGCGTTCAGATGTAACCGATAATCATTCAATGGAAATGGTATTCCTTCTGAGGTTGCAATACTTGTAAAACCTTTCAAGTAATTGTCTGCTGTGTTGGTCCTGTGATACTGGTACAGCACACATTAGCATCATATTCCATCCATCAACAAAATATAAATATGACTGAGACTCTTTATTATTATTTACTCAACAGATTCATTGATTGACCTTAAAAATTAGGAATATGAAAAATAAATCTAACTTTGAAGCTTTGTTATGAACGCTGCATTATGATTCATAATTGTTGTTGTTTTCATATTTTGTTTGTACCTTCACTGGTACTTTAAGTAATGTGTAACACTATTAACATTCCTGTCACCTTGCCAAAGATGCCAAAAGGATAATAGATCATTTGCATGTAAGATTTCTCTCATCCAACTAAAGGGGGGCACGTGTGGCCCAGTCGTCTAAGGCACCGCGATTCGCTGTGCAGAGTTGCGTCCTTTGGGCACGTGAGAACCCTATGATTGTGGGTTCGAATCACGGTTCGCCCTGATTATGTTTCTAGGTTTGTCAGCACCATACCCGTGCTCGTGGGTTTCACCGAACTGGTAAACGTCTGAGACCTGCATCACTTCGGGCTTTCCTCCCACATTAAGCTGACACGCCGCGATATAACTGGAATACTGTTAAAAGCGGCGTAAAACCCAACTCACTCACTCATACACTCATCCAACTAAATACAAAAACAGAAGAAAGAAGTTCAAGAACCCATGTTAGTTTTAATTTTATTTGACCTACAGCCATAGGTTTTGAAAAACAAAGCTGTTAACCAACTGATAAAACAAGAATGGCCTCTATTTATTCGTGAGACACTTTTTTGTGTTTGACTATGACATGTTGTTTTTTAGTTTTGTTAACAGTTACACAGTTGCTTCATTGATATTTTTGCTTTGTGAACCATTTTGAGTTGCACAACTTATTTAGTTGCTTTTTTTCATTTGTATATAACATGTACATGAAGATTTAGAGGTTGAAAATTGCTTCAATAACCTCCATGTTGTTTAGACCAGAAAAATGTGTGTCATGTTTTGTAGATTTATTTGGTAAAGTATCCAAAAATGCAGCAGGTAGAATACATGTATATAAAATAGAAATAAATGTAGTTGTTGATTTGAGTGAGTTGGGTTTAACGCCGCTTTTAACCTATTCCAGTTATATCATGGCGTGTCAGCTTAATGTGGGAGGAAAGCCCGAAGTGATGCAGGTCTCAGACGTTTACCACTTAGGTTAAACCCAAGATTTTAGCTCACCTGACTGAAAGTTTGGATCTTTGAATGATTGGTGTGTAGTAATATCAATTACATTATACATAGAACATCCCATCAGTTCTCAACCAGAGGGTGAGATTTCTGGAATAGCATGTTCTGGACACAGGGACCAACTAAGGATACTGACTGGGGATACATGTTTAGGACAGGAAAAGTCTTTGGTCACTGCTTCAAAACACTGATTATTTTCTGTTGAGAAGAATATATATGTTTTTATTGCACATTTCCTTTTCAGGACAATAAGCATGTCCTTCAAACAGTTAATTATTTCATAACAACTAAGGAGAAATACTTGAGTTCCTGTTTTTCTGGAACAATGGTATTTTATAGTGATGACAAATGGTCAGTTCTTGATATGGGGTTTAACTTTAATCAAATACTCTCTGTGTCTTATTTTCTTAAAGTTATAATGTTAAGTGAAGGTTTTATGTACATATAGATGATTAATACAAAGTAAAGTGAAATATGTGGACTTTTGCTTGATGGAGTTTGTCGTCATGAAGTCATATTTGTCTAAAGGGATCAAATCAAATGAGATTGTCTTCAAAATACCCAGATTCTGTACCCTGATACTTATGAAATAGATCAACATGTCTTTAAGATGTAATAATGTTACAAAGTTACATTTGAGCTCCTTATTTATGCAGTGTTTTATCTGTCATTGAAGGTGAGCTTCAGTACATCTAGTGCTCTTAGTAGTTTTGGTATTGTTACATGTGTGTGATGTATAAAGATGGAATACAGGGAAACTCGAATATAGTTACCCGGTATACCCGACAGAGACATTTACAGGGAATTCATCTCAAATCGAACACATTTTCAGGTTGATGAATCACTGGCAGAGTGTAATGTCCCATCCATTTGTTGTTTAACACCGCATTCAGCAATAGTCCAGCTTTTCTTATGACGGCCTGTCAGTAATCAAATCTTTGTAAATCACCGATCCATTACGTCACCTGTCATGACCAGCATAGGTTGCTTGGGAACAGTTCTAACCTGCAAGCCAAGGGGTTCCCAAGTTAGTCGCCTCTTACGTTTAGCAATAGGATCCTGACGAACTGTGATGTGTTGACGATGGTGATGTTCCTTATATTTAAAGTAAGGATAATGGGGTTGCATTCTATTTACTATCATACCTGTCCGTGACACAGGTGACACTGTCGTCTAAGGCTCTGCAATTTCCTTGAATACTGATAAAAGCAGCGTTAAACCTGACTCAATCGCTCATACCAGATATTGCCAGTACAGAGAAACCCAGCCAGGACACCCAGGGGGCGGTTCCCTTATTGAGTGGAACCGCCCCCGAGTCTTGTGTACAGAGCGTCTGCCTGGAGAGCGGAATGTCGGTGGTTCCATCCTCAGCCAGTCAAACCAAAACACGTTAAAAGATGGTCGGTCCCCAAAGGAGACAAAACAAGGCCTGTTCGGCTCGGAGTCAGCAAACTGTATTAGAGGGGAATCCATTTTGAACTGTGGCATGGTTTGTCCATGGGATGG